GGTCGCATGGGGACCAGTGTGAGATAGAACGCGCCTGAACTCTCGCAGCGACGTGTTATTCTCAAGCTTTCGCTCGAGCGTTCCCAGGACCACCGCGAGGACGCATCCGCCGGGAACGCACTGCACGTCCGTGGAGACCACGGTCGCGATCTTCCCCGAGAAGAGCTCGCGCTGACGCCGCGCGATCGCGTCCACGACGACCGCACGCCGACGCGCTCGGGTTCGAAGCTCGACGCGCGCGCGGTCGGCCCGGACGCGATCGCGCGGCGTCAGCGCGAGCTCTTCTCGGGGAAGATCGCGACCGTGGTCTCCACGGACGTGCAGTGCGTTCCCGGCGGATGCGTCCTCGCGGTGGTCCTGGGAACGCTCGAGCGAAAGCTTGAGAATAACACGTCGCTGCGAGAGTTCAGGCGCGTTCTATCTCACACTGGTCCCCATGCGACCGCGTCGGCGTGGTGAACGCCGATCCTTAAGGACTTTGCCCGGCGCATCTCTTCGCCCAGGGTCCCTCGCTCACAATCCCGACACACCTCGATGCCTTTCAACTCCATCTGACGCCTTTGAACTCCACCCCGACGTCGCTTCGTATGGGACGGCCCTCAGCGCGAGCGCGAAGGCTCGAGGCCGCGCGCGAAAACGCGCGATCACGTTCATGCACACGTTCATCCTCGAGCGCACCGCGAAGACGCAGCGCGGCGCGGACGACGACGACGACGACGACGACGCCGCGGCGTCCGTGGATGCGATGCGACGCGCGGCGTTTACCATCGCGAACGAGACGTTTCGAAGGTGCGTTCTATACACTGGTCCCCATACGACCGCGTCGGCGAGGTGAACGCCGATCCTTAAGGACTTTGCCCGTCGTCTCTCTCCGCCCAGGGTCCCTCGCTTTCAATCCCCACCCTCGGCGCCTTTCAACTCCAACTGACGCCTTTCAACTCCACCCCGGCTTTCGCTCGAAGGGTGGACCCCGTGGGAGCCGGCGGCGCTTCCGCGGCGGCGACGGCGGCGGCGGTGCTCCGCGCGGCGCTGTCGCCTGTACCGCCGATGTCGCCGATGTCGCGCATAGGCGCGGGCGCGGGCGTTCCACCAGTCGCCGCGAGGGACTTAGCGGGGGACGACGACGCGAGGCGCGTGTTGAACGACGCGTGGATACCGGACAGCGGCGACACAGCCGGCGGCGCGACGAGGGCTTCTTCGCGACTCGCGGCGTCAGGTGCGTTCTACACTGGTCCCCATACGACCGCGTTCGCGTGGTGAACGCCGATCCTTAAGGACTTTTCCCGGCGCATCTCTCCACCCACCCCTCCCTTTCAATACCCGCCCTCGGCGCCTTTCAACTCCAACTGACACCTTTCAACTCCACCCCGACTTTCGCTTGTATAGAACGGCCCTCAGCATCATCGTCGAGCCCGAACCCGTTCAACGACGAGTCCGAGGCCACGCCGCCGAAACCAAAACCGCCGCCGCGAGACGGGAGCCATACTCATCATCGCCCGGTGTCCCCGGAGGTTGGATCGCTTCCGCTGCCGTCGCCGTCGCTCGTGGCGGGGGGCGCGTCGTCGTCGTCGCGGTCGCGGGAGTTTCGGCGGTCGGCGCCGAGGTATTCCCCGGAGGACCACGACGACGCGCGGCGGCGACTGCGCTTGGACGACGCCGCCGCCGCCGCGGCGGCGGCGGCCGCGAAAAGAAGTAGTAACATTAGTTCGGACGACGACGGCGACGGCGAGATGAAGTCCTTATTGAGAGACGGCGTCCGAGACGACGCGAACGGAGGGGGCGCGTGGGAAGCAGTCTCGGACGACGACGACGACGACGACGCGGGCGTCGGACCACTCGGGGGCGGTCGGCTCGTCTCGCTGACGGAGCGCAGCGACGAGGGCAGCAGAGTCGACAGCGAGACGACGTCCACGCGCGGGGCGGCATCGGACGCGGAGCGCACTGAGAGGGAGCGGGAAGACGCTCGAGCGCACCGCGGCGGCGGCGGAGGAGGGGCGAATTCGAGTCGCGTGGATGAGGTGCGTTCTATACACTGGTCCCCATACGACCGCGTCGGCGTGGTGAACGCCGATCCTTAAGGACTTTGCCCGGCGCATCTATCCGCCCACCCCTCGCTTTCAATCCCCGCCCTCGACGCCTTTCAACTCCGACTGACGCCTTTCAACTCCACCCCGACATTCGCTTGTATAGAACGGCCCTGAATTCTGGGCGGACGACGACGGCGAACGACGCGAAGGCCTCGGAGACGAACCCCCGCACGGGTTCGCGCGGTACGGCGGGCCGTCCGTCGGCTCGTCCGCGACGACGTCCCCGGCGATGCGACGCCGCCGCGACCGCGACCGCGACCGCGACCGCGACGACGTCGGCGCCGCGAATTCGCGGCGGTACCCGCCGTCGTCGTATCAGCGCGGCGACGGCTACGGTCGATCAAAGTTTGGGTCGTACTCTGCGGCGGCGTCGCCGGCGACGTCGAGGGCGAACTCGCGCGGGCACGGCGATCACGCGCGCGGGCGCTACGCGCGAGGAGGAGGAGGAGGAGGAGGAGGGCGCGATCGCGGCGGCGGCGGCGGCGGGATCCGTCGCGGCGGCCCGCCGGCGGCGGCGTCGTCGTCGTTCCCTTCCAACCCGAGCCCGCCGCGTCGTCGGTTCGAATCCGCGCCGCCGTCGCCTTCCATGGGCGCGACCAGGGCGAAGGAGTTTGGCGTCCGACGACGCGGCCCGAAGGGTCAGCAGGGTCAAGGCGACGACGACGAAGCGGAAGCGGAAGCGGAAGCGTCGCGCCGGGAGCGAGAGTACGAGCGACTGCGTCGATGGAAGCGCGAGCGCGACGAAGCCGCGGACCCAGACCCGTCGTTGCAGAAAGGGTTGGGGTTCGCCGTGGACGCGCTCTCCGTCCTCACCGCCGGTGCGCGTCCGTCGCGTCGCGTCGCGTCGCTTCGCGTCGCTCTTTCTTTTTCGTTCTTTCGTTTCGTTTTCTTTCTCTTCTGTGGACCGCGACGACGTTCGACTGACCTTGCTCCTTTTTTTTTCTGTGCAAAAAAAATAATCGCAGCGTTACACTTTACGGCCGCGTTCGTGCTCTTCATCGTCCTCGTGCTCATGGTGCGCGCGAACGCGTCTGCGCTCGCGAACCTGACGCTGCGCGTGGACCGCGTCGCCCTGCGCATGCTCAGACGCGAGAGCGGCGAGCCGATGGACGTGAGCGACCTCGCCGCGAGCGACGTGCTGAGACGAGCCGCGTTCGAGTGATGATGATAGCGTTTACAGTGCGACGATCGTTGAATACAGTTACTATCGTAGTTACTATCGTACTCAAAACGAAATCGAACCGAACGTTCATCGCGAGCTCTGACGCGCGCGCGTCGCGTCATCCGGAAACGCGCGATCGATCGTCGTATCCGTATCTCTCCAACCCCGCGCGTTTCTCTTCGATGCTCTCGCTCTCGTCCCGCCACACGAGCCTCTCCTCTATCGGCGCGGCGGGCGCGGGCGCCGCCGGCGCCGCCGTCGTCGTCGCCGGCGCCGCCGCCGGCGGCGGCGCGAACGCGAACGGCGGCGGCGCGAAGTGCGGCGACGGCGCGAAGTGCGGCGGCGGCGCCGCGCCGGGCGGCGGCCGGAACATCCCCATCCCCGGCCCCGGCGGCATTCCCGGCGGCGGGAAACCTCCCATCCCCGGCATCATTCCCGGCATCATCCCCGGGATTCCCGCGCGCATCCCCGGCGGCGGCAACGGCATCCCCATCCCCCCCCCTCCAAACGGCTGCGGCGGCGGCGGCGGCGGCGGCGGCGGCCCGGCCCCCATTCCCTCGTACTCCCCCCCCGTCTTCTGCGTCTTTCGCACGATCTGCGTGTTGGTCTCGTAGTTGAACTCCTCCGCGGTGGGCACGCCGACCATCCCCTCGATCGCGAAATCCGTCACGCTGTCCCTTCCCTCGATCGCGTTCGGGACCTTCGCGACCGTGGTCTTGTGCACGGTGAGCATGTGAATCGCCATCCCGTTCGCGGTGACGAGCTTGCGGTTGCAGCCGGGGTGGAGGCACTTGAAGTGCTGCGCGCGCGACGAGCGAGGCGAGAGGCGAGATGAGGAGGGGGGGTGGGAGGGCGGATGAGCGTCGCGGTCGCGGGGAGAAGGACGGGGGGGGGGGGTGGTGGTGGTGGCGTCGCGGATCCGCCGGGATGGACGACGGGATCGGACGGACGCGAGCGCGCGCGCGCGCGAGCGGGTCGAAGAAGTCGGCGTTCAGAGGATCAGGTCCGGCGATGGGTAGTCGCGGATCGGACGTCGGACGGACCTTCGCGCGCTGGTGGTTCTGCAGGATCTTCTCGTCCTCGAACTCGCGGTCGCAGTAGAAGCACCACGGGCGGTCCGCGGCGAACTTTTTCTTCTTCCCCATCGCGACGACGCCGTCGCGCGCGCGCGTCCGTCGCCGATGACGAAATGGACGACCTCGCCGCGCTCTCTCCGATGAAAACCAGCGCAGCGCCGGTCAGTTAGGGAGAAATAAATGCGGGTCAGCTTGACCGGTAGAACCGGCTGGCTCGATCGGGGAGTGGTTTGAACGTAACTCTAACACTAACATCGATCGCGTCCGCGCGACACAACGGCGGGCGCGATGGCGCCCGCCGACGCGCTCGAGCGCGCGCGCGTCGTCGCGCTCCTCGAGTACCTCCAGACCTCCCCGGTTCCGGAGGTCGTCGACGCCGTGTTCGAGGCTGCCGCGGACGACGACGACGACGACGACGACGACGACGACGCGCAGTCTCTCCTTCTGCGCATTCTGCGCCATCCGCTCGCGCGGCGGTCGCCCCCCGCGGCGTCCTACCGCGCGCGCCTCCTCAAGGCGTTCGTCCTGCGCCTGGAAGAGACGGGGACGGAGGTGTCCGACGCGCTCGCGGACGCGCACGCGGCGCTTCTCCTCGGCCGCGGCGGCGACGACGGCGATGAGAAGGACGACGGCGCGTGGGGGTGGCGCACGTTCGCGTATCGCGCGCGCGGAGGATCCCATCGCCATCCGCCTCCTCCTCCTCCTCCTCCTCTCCCCGACGACGACGACGATGGCGACGACGGCGACGCGCTAACGCGCGCGCTCGCGGACGCCGAGGTCCGCGCGGTGTCGATCCGCGCAAGCAGGAACCTGTTCGAGGGCGGCACGGGCTGCCACGCCTGGCGCGCGGGGTTCCACCTCGCGGAGATGATCATGAGGTGCGTTCTGTCTCACACTGGTCCCCGTACGACCGCGTCGGCGTGGTGAACGCCGATCCTTAAGGACTTTTGCCACCATTTCTCTCCGCCCACACCTCGCTTTCAATCCCCGTCCTCGGCGCCTTTCAACTTCACCTGACGCCTTTCAACTGCACCCCGACATTCGCTCGTATGGACCCTCGACCCTGAGGCGACCCGCGCTCTTCGCGTCGAGAGAGATTCGACACGTGATGGAGCTCGGCGCCGGCGTCGGCGTCGTCGGCGTCGTTCTCGCGCGATGCATGCGAGACTACACGCGCGCGTGCACGACGGTTGAGGGGGATACGGAACGTCAACCGGCGCGGAGTAGGAGGCTGACGCTGACGCTGCAGGAGAAGGACGACGACGCCGTCGCCAACTTGACGGGGAACCTTCGGCGGAACGGCGTCGCGCGCCGACGCGCGGAGACTACTTTAGTCGGACATGATATGCTGTCGGACAGAGAGTGTCGGACGGCGGCGGCGGCGGGCGACGAGGGTAGATACTCATACGACGGGGACGACGACGCGGGCGTGGACGTTCGCGTCGTGAAGTTCGACTGGGAGTGTCGGACGAACGACGAAGCGCTCCGAGAGACGAAGCCGGACCTGGCGCGTTCAGTTTATTATTCTTTCGCCCTCCCCCCGGTTTCGAACGCGACGCGATGCCGATCGACTGACCGACTGACCGACGCCAATCCGTCTGATCGTCTCGTTCAAACCAGGTGATCGCCGCGGACGTGTGTTACGACCCCGCGCTGTTCCCCGGACTCCTGGCCACGCTGCGCGCGCTGTCGTCGGACCGCGCCGCGCTTCAGGATACGGAATCCGAAGCGTCGTCGCGGGGATACGAACCGCCGTTCGCGCTCATCGTGACGACGCTCCGGCAGCCGGAGACGCTCGAGACGTTCGTCAGGGAGGCGACGTCCGCGGGGTTCGACGTGTCGGACGTGTCGGACGCGTCCGACGTCTTCATGGAGGAAGGGAGCGAGACTGAGGTTGATGAGACGCGCGCGGAAACTCTCGGCGGACGCGTCGGGTTCGCGAGGCTTCCGAGGGAGTCGCGCGACGCGTCGTACGGCGAGATGCGCGTGCACGCGCTCAGGGCGAGACGACGACGACGCGCGCGTTAGATAGAATAAGACGGGGACAGAGGGAGGAGAGGGGGGTGGCGTGAGTCGCCCGCCCAGTAGAGGCCGCCCGCGAAATAGGATAAAATAGGTCTCGCGGCCACATAAAAGCCCGACCGACGCCGCAGACAGGGAGTCAGTAACGAACGTACGTTTTGGTACCATTTCAGTTCGGCAAGTTTGCCCGCGAGTCCCAGCACAAAAAGCACATCACCGTGATCGCCTTCATCAGGGCTCATCGCGGTCGTGATTTCGCGCTGGGACTCGCGGGCATTAGGGAGCTACGCGCGCTTGAAGTTGCGCCTCGGTCAAGTAACCTTTGAAAAATTCGCGATGAATTCTCTGGTTTGATCGATACATCGATCAACGCTGAAAGCAAAAAAGTTGAAATGGTACCACCGCGATTTTCAGACTATTTCTCATACAAAAAGTACTACGCCGTTACCCACTCCCTGCCGCGGACGCGTCGCAGATCGATCGATCGATGGCGCACGCGACGCGCGTCGTCGTCCCCGGCGGGGCGCGCGGCGTCGCCCCACCTCGCGTCGGCGTCGCGCGCCGCCGCCGCCTCCGTCCGCGCGCCGCCGCGAACGACGGCGTCGTCGCGGCGGAGTCGTCGCGATCGTCGTCGTCCTCCTCCTCCGCCACTACCCTCTCCACCGCGCACGATTCCGAGACGTGGCGCGCGTTCGTCGCCGCGGTCGCCGGCGAGTGGGGCGGCTGCGCCGTCAACTTCGACGCGTCCGGTACCCCCACGGACGTCCCGCTGCGCTACGTCCACGGCGTCGGGCGCGTCCCCGCGGCGAACATGCCGTTCCGAGACGCCGTGTACAGCTGGCAGACCAAGTGCGAGATCGTGGACGTCGGCGACGGCGCGGAAATCTCCTCCAAGCGCGCGCTGCCGACGATCGGGAACGAGGACGCGATATCGTCGTGCGGCGGCAGCGAGTGGGGCGAGGACGTCGCGCGCGTGGAGGACGAGCCGGTCGTGATCCTCCGCGGGCGCGGGGAGGACAAGACGGTGACGAAACGCGGCGCCTTCTCCGCGGGCGCGCGACGCCTGACGTTCGCGATGGATGGCGCGGACGCGATAAACGTCGTGCGATTTTGCCTCGCGGACGAGGTGCGTTCTATCTCACACTGGTCCCCATACGACCGCGTTCGCGTGGTGAACGCGGATCCTTAAGGACTTTGCCCGTCGCATCTCTCCGCTCATCCCTCGCTTTCAATCCCCGACATCGACGCCTTTCAACTCCACCTGACGCCTTTCAACTCCACCCCGACATTCGCTTGTATAGTCCGGCGCGCGCGTGCGCGTTTCGCTGAGCGTTCGGAGGAAGACGAGCGACGACGGGTGGGAACTCGCGAGCGCGGAGGTGTGGAAGGAGCGGAAGGGGCAGTGCGTCCTGGACTTCATCGGCGTCGAGGAGGAGGAGGAGGAGGAGGGGGAGGCTTTTGGGGTCGGCGGCGGAGAGTGGACGATTGACCGCGACGCGTCTGCGCGGTTCGTCCTGTCGTGGCCGACTACCACGCCGGACGACGACGACGACGCGAACGGCGGGTCGACGTTCGCGGCGGTCGCGGTGGGCGAGGAGGAGGAGGAGGAGGAGGGCGGCGGGCGCGGCGAAGGGACGCTGAAGCTTCCCGCCGGCGGCGACGGCGACGTCGTCTGGGTCCGCGTCGGCGGCGGCGGCGGCGGCGTTGGCGACGCGCGCGTCGCGGTCGAGGCGGGGTGGATCCCGGCCGGGTCCAAGCGGAGGCACGTCGGGCGGCGCGTGCACGATGTCGCCACGGGGAGGCTGGAGGAGGTCAGTCTGACGACGAGCGAGCGACGCCGCCGCGGGTGAGAGAGAGACCGGGTGGGGTGCGTTCTGTTGTTGGGACGATACAATAATTTTTTCCAACTCGCGTTGCGCCGCGCTGCCCAGGGCCTGGGCCTCGGCGACGCTTCCAGAAAGATGGCCTCGCGTCGCCTCGTCGGCACGACATGACATGATCGATCGACGCTTCGTTCGACGACGAAACCGAACCCCCTTCCTTCCTCGCCTTCGCGTCGCCTTCCATCGAATCTGTCTCCGAGACGCGCGCGATCGCGCGCTTCTGACGCGATTCGCGACGCGCGCGCGCGCGACGCGCTTCCGTCTCGCCGCGCGTCCGACGGAGATGAGGGGAAATATCTGCATTGACACGCAAGCAAATCGGAATTTCCCTGCGCTTTTTCTCGAAAAAGCGAAAGGTGACGACGATTCCGAGACGACGCCGCGCGCCACTCCCCGACGCGCGCGCGCTCGCCCCACCCCCGAGCACCTCCCGCACGTCACGCACACGATGTCCACCGCGTTCACGACCGCGCTCGCGCCCGCGAGGCTCGCGCCGCGTCGCGCCGCGCCCGCGCGAAAACGAAGCCATCATCATCGGATCGCGCCCATCCCAGGCAGCGTCGGGGCGCCGCGGGCGATGTCGCAGTTCGCCTTCGACGCCGCGCGGACGGACGCCGCGAAGACGCTGTCCGACTACGTCAGCGACGACGACGCGCCGTGGCCGAACGCGACGCCGTCGCGCCTCGTCACGCGCGCGGTCGCGCCGCGCCGAGGCTCCGCGGCGCGCCCGCCGCCGCGCCGCTTCAACGGACGCTACCACGCGCACTTCGCCCCTCTGCCGACGCCGACGACGCCGCGTGATTCGATGCCCGGCGCGGTGCGCCCGTCGCGTCACGAGGATTGCGTCGGCGACTGGTGCGACGAGACGTACGAGCGCACGATGTTCGCGAACGACCTCGCGCTGAGCGCGGACAACGGGCTGCTGGACGCGCCGGGGCCCGCGCGCCCGCCGAGGCACTCCATTGACCGCGCGCGCGACGTCGTCGTCTTCATGGAGGACGGGGACGTCGAGTACGGTGCGTTGATCGGTCGCGTCTTTTTTTCGACCGGTCGTTTCGCCCCTCTTCGGTTTCGAGCTCGACGAGGCTTGACCGCGCGGATCCGTTCAACGCCAACGACGCTGACCGGTCGATCGATTCTTCCTTTCTTCCCTGAATAAATTCGCAGGCTTGTTCGAGAACGACGTCGTCCCCGCGCCCGCGGGCCTCCCGAAAAAGCCCGTCAAGCCGCTGCCGCCCCCGAAACGCGTCATGACCGGGCGTTACCACGCGTCCTACGCCCCGAAAGCGACGCGCAGGGAGATCGCCGACGCGATCGGCGGCAAAAACAACGCGGTCTCGCGCGTCGTCGAGAAGAACCCGCGGAAGCAAAAGCAACCCCGAACGATCCCGCTCATCTCTCGCTACGTCAGCGACTCCCCGGAACACCGCGAGGACTTCCCCGCGGTGTGGGGCACGAAAGACCGAAGAGTCGCCGTGATCAACGAGATCATCGAGAGACGGCTCGCGGGTGCGGCGGAGCAGTGCGGCGACGTGGACTGGAACAACGCGTCTGATCTCTTCGCGGGCGCGGATCCGTTCGGCGGACCGAGCGGCGGCGACGTCCAGTGCGGGCAAGACGTGGACGCCATCATGAACACGATCGCGACGCACGCGGTCTTCTCCGAAGCCGCGGGCGTCGTCCGAGAGCTCTGCGACGTCGGCGGCGTCGCCGCGGCGAAGGCGATCACGAGCTGGTGCGAGTCGCATCGCACGGTGAGGAACGCGCCGGAGCTGATGCGCGTCGCGGAGGAGGAGATGAAGTACGGCGCGATGGCGTGGTGACCACCGTGACCCTAAACCGACCGAAGGCGCGTGTACAGTACCCTTACTTCAACGACGACGTTGAGAAGAAAAAGCCAACCGCGGAAAAAGTGGAGTCGCCTTCCCCGGGTCGCGAACGACGAGCGACGAGTGTACTACGAACATATCCTACATACCACGATGTGTCATGTGTTAATTAAGAATTAAAATAACATAAACGTATATTTTCGCGCGCGCTCAACTCCCTCTAATAAGCAAGTGTACGTGTACAGCATAACAAAACAAAATCAACCAATTAATCATCGATCGACGCCGATCGCGGCCATCATTCACCCCTCCAGGTTGACCGCGTGCACGAACGCCGGCGAGAGCCTCGCCTCTCTCGCGCAGTTCCTCAGCGTGCACCACACCTCTCTGTTCGCCTCCCAGAACGTCGGCGCGTCCATCGTCAGCCCGTGCGCCTTCAGCCACGGCCTCAGCGTCTCCTCGCGAAACCGCCGCAGCTTATGCCGCGGCATGCGAGGCACCAGATGATGCTCCGTCTGGAACTGCAACCCGCCGTGGAACCAGTCCATGTACCTCGGGCAGTCGATGTCCATCGTCCCAGAGAGCTGCATCTCCACCCACTTCCCGTTCTCCGGCCGCCCTTCGAAGATATTCCGCGAGAAGTGCGACAGGCAAATCTGCACGTGGATGACGCCGCCCACCGCGTGCGAGAGGAGGAGAAACCCCAACCGTTCCCAACCCGACGGCACCGCGGACACGAGCGCCGCCAGCCACGCGAAATACGCGCCCATCACCGCGAGCTCCAACGTCCGCCGCTTGAGCGTTATTTCCTTCGACGTCAACAACAGGATGATTGACTGCGCGTACAGGTTGAACCGCGCCACCGCCATGATGGGGTAAAACGTGTAGTGCTGCTTCGACACGAGCCACCGCGCCGCCGCGTCGAACGGCATCCGTCGGTTGTGATACAAGCTCCAAACCGATTTGAAGTACTTGGGCGTCACCGCGATGATGGGCATGTGTTGAATGTCCGGGTCGCACTCCAACGAGTTGCACGCCACGTGGTGCACGTTGTGCGTCGTCGTCCACCACGTGATGCCGACGCCGTTGCAGAGGTTGCCGACGACGAGCCCCACGAGGAAATCTCTCCGGTGGTCGTGCGTGATGGCGCCGTGACCCGCGTCGTGGCCGATGAACATGCTCTGCTGCCAAAACAACCCGAGGAGGCACGCGCCGAGCGCGCGCACCGCGACGCCGTGCTCGCCCTCGTACCCGAGCACGCAGTAGAACGCGCCGGAGAGGAGCGTCACGAGGAACGCGGCGAGCTTGAAGTAGTGCGCGTAGTCGGTGTGAAACTCGTCCTCGAGCCCGGCGACGAGCTCGCGAAACGCGCCCACGTGATCGGGATAATCCGCCCGTTGTTTCTCCTCCCGCACCTTCGCGCCGTTCGCCTTCTTCGGCGAGACGGGGACCTCGCTGACCTCCTCCGCGCCCTCCTCCTGGAACTCGCTGCCGTCGTCGGACGACGCGTCGGACGCGACCGGGTCGAGCACCGACGCCGGGTCGACGAGGTCGCCGATCGCGTACGCTCTCAGCGTCCGCGCCGCTTTCCCGCTCGGTCCGTGATACGCGTTGAACGCGTCCGTCATGTCGCGCCCGGCGTACTGCCTGAGCGGGATGCTCCCGCCCGGGTGCTTCGAGATCCAGTGCGTGATGTCGTAGACGACGTCGTGGACGACGCACCACGCGTCGTCCGGGGCGTCGTGCCTCGCGACGTCTTCGAAGGTGTAGCCCGGGCGCGTTCGAGTCTCTCCTTTAAGTCCTCCGGTCGTCGTCGTCGTCGCGGGCGCGTTCGCTTTCGCGGCCGCGGCCGCGGTCGCGCGCGCGCGGATCGTGGACGACGCCATGGCGGTGGCGGCGTCCGCTGCGGAGGAGGTGAAGACGAACGGCGACGGTGCGCGCGCGGTCGTCGTCGACTCGACGCTCGCGCCTCCTCCCGGTTCAAATTAGTTTCTCGCGCCGCGTGACCGAGATATTCTTGTCGTTTCCTTGGCGGGTCGAATCGACGGCCGATCGGTCCACGTCGACGGTCGCGCGACTGCGAGAGGGGGACGGACGCGCGCGGCGATCGCGACGAGCGGTCAGTCGACGAATCGGAGACGCGCGACGACGAGGAAAGCGAACGGCGGGACGACGACGCGATCGACGCCGCGCGAGCGCGGCGCGGCGTCGATCGCGATCGCGCGTCCAAGGCGCGGGTGGTTTCAAGCGGCCGTTCAACGACCGGCAGCGTCGTGGACGCCAAAACGAGCCGAGCGCGCGGGGGGGGATCGGACGACGCGCGCGCGCGCGCGCGGCGCGGCGGCCGCGATCGCGATTCGCGGACGCGGACGCACCTCGGGTCGTTCGCGGCGAGAGCGCTCTCTGGACCTCGCGCGCGCGGGCGGGGGGCGGCTCGGTAATGGCGCGCCTGAGGCGCGGGGCCGCGGCGGGAACAGGCCTCGGAATAAATATTTGTCGTCGAACGCCTGGCTCAAAATCGCCGCAGCCGTTCGGGGTCAAACCTGAGACGTTGACCGTGCGTTCAGGCTCAAAACGACGCCGTCCCTCGGTTTCGACGGAGCGACGTTGAACGGCGTTCTCGGTTTCGAGTCTGCAAGGCGTCGGTGCGGTGCTCACTTTGAGGCGACGGGCGCGATGGCGCCCCCCTCGCGCGTCGCGCGCCTCCTCCTCCTCCTCGTCGTCGCGATGACGACGCGCGGCGTCGTCCCGGGCGTTCTCGCGACCTCGCCGCTCGCGACGTGCGCGCCCTCGGACGCGCCGTTCCCGCGCCGCGCGGACCTCGGCGGCGGCGTCGCGCGCGGACGCGCGTCGTCGTCGTCGTCGTCGTCGTCGTCGTCGTCGTCGTCGTCGTCGTCGTCGTCGTCGTCGTCGTCGTCGTCGTCGTCCATCTCGCGCCAGTCGACGCGCGATCGATACGTCGTCCGCTTCGAGACGTATCGCATGATACACGAGCACTACGCGACGCTCGCGGACGCGCTCGGACCGCCGTCCGACCGCGTCGTCGACGGCGACGACGGCGACGGCGCGAACGGCGACGCGAACGACGACGAGGGATCTATGCGGTGGCGCTGGATCGATCGCGACAACGCGGCGATGCGATACCCCACCGACTTCGCGCTCGTGAAGCTGCCGCCGTCGTCGTCGTCCGTGGACGTCATCGCGTCGATCGCGGGCGTGAAGGACGTCCACGCGGAGCAGATCCTGACGCGATCGCTCGCGTGGGCGGACGACGATCGCCCGGAGAACGATCTGGAGGAGGAGGAGGAGGAGGAGGACGACGCGGGATGGCACGAGAAGAGGAGGAGAGGAGGGGCAGACGACGCCGGGCGGCGCGACCACGACCACGACGACGCCGCGACCGGGCTGCGTTGGACGGAGACGGAGGGAGAGAACCGTCGCGCGCGGCGGTCGCGGGCGCGGCTCGCGTCGCGCCGCGGCGGCGGCGGCGGCGGCCCGCGACCCGGCAGGCTCACGACACGACCGACCATCGGGATGGAGCCGCCGTGGTTCGAAGGAAGAGACGACGACGATGATGATGATGAGGAGGAGGAGGTTGAGTTTGGCTCGAACGCCACCGCGCGACGGCGGAGGCTCCAGGCGCGCGCCGCCGCCGGCGCGAGGCGTTCCGTCGCGGAGGCGCTGGACGCCGAGAAACTGTGGAAGCGGGGTCACACCGGCGAGGGCGTGAGGGTCGCCATCTTCGACACCGGCGTGGACGCGAACCACGCGCACTTCAAGAACGTCAAGGAGCGGACGAACTGGACGCACGAGAAGACGCTGAGCGATGGGTTAGGGCACGGGACGTTCGTCGCCGGCGTCGTCGCCGCCGCCGCCGACGCGCAGGTGAGAGAAGAGCGGCGGTCGCGGAGACGAGACGTCCGTCTCTTCTTCCCGTCTCTTCGTCACGTTCGTCGTCGTCGCCGCCGCCGCCGCCGCGCGATCTTCCTGCCACGTCACCGAATCTGCCACGTTGTTCGTTTCCCGCTACACGATATGCCACGTCATCGATTCTGATCGCGCGCTGACCAATCGCGTCCCGCCGCGTCGACGCGTCGCGCAGTGCCCCGGGTTCGCGCCGGATGCGGAGATTCACACGTTTCGAGTCTTCACGAACGACCAGGTATCGTACACGTCGTGGTTTCTGGACGCGTTCAACTACGCCATCGCGACGGAGATGCACGTGTTGAACCTGAGCATCGGCGGGCCGGATTACCTCGACCGACCGTTCGTTGAGAAGGTTGGCGAGATCACCGCCAACGGCATTTTGCTCGTCAGGCGCGTTCTAAATCGTTCGTTTTTCACCCACCGCTCGGTTTCAACATTTGATCGCGCGTGTGGGTCCCTCCCTTTCAACTGACCGATGAATACATGCGATCACCATTAAAAACATCAGCGCCATCGGCAACGACGGACCGCTGTGGGGCACGCTGAACAACCCCGCGGATCAGATGGACGTCCTCGGCGTCGGCGGGATCGACTACAACGACAAGATCGCGTCGTTCTCGTCCAGAGGGATGTCCACGTGGGAGCTTCCGAACGGGTACGGACGCGTCAAGCCTGACGTCGTCGCGTACGGCCGCGACGTCTCGGGGTCGAAGATAAACGGCGGATGTCGAAGTCTATCCGGCACGTCGGTCGCGTCGCCAGTCGTCGCCGGCGCGGTGACGCTACTCGCGTCCGTGGTCCCGAAGGAGAGGCGATGGGACGTGTTGAACCCGGCGTCGATGAAGCAGGCGCTCGTCGAGGGCGCGACGCGGATCGGCGACGGCGGCGGACCGAACGCGCCGAAGATTTACGAGCAGGCGAGACCCTAGACCGACCGCCGCGACCGAGACCGAGACCGCTTCCCATACGAACGACCCCGTCCTCGTCTGTCGTTCGCTGCCCACCACGCGATCCGCCACGTCACCGAATCTGATATCGAGCTGACCAATCGTGTCCCGCCACCTCGCTCGCCGCTCGCAGGGCGCCGGAAAGATCGACTTGGAAAACGCCGGACGCATCCTCTCGTCGTACCCGACGAAGGGCCGCGCGAGCTTAGTCCCCGGGACGTTAGACTTCACGGACTGCCCGTACATGTGGCCGCACTGCACGCAGCCGCTGTATCACGGCGCGATGCCGTTCATGTTCAACGCGACGATCGTCAACGGGATGGGCGCGGTGGGCTGGATAGAGAAGCCGCCGACGTTCACGCGGGCGTCGGACGACGATTTGTCCGAACATTTGGACGTGCGATTCGCGCACAGCGAGACGCTGTGGCCGTGGACCGGGTTCATCGCGATGTACGTCCGCGTCAAGGCGTCCGGGAAGGAGCTCGCGTCCCCGGGGATCGCGCGCGGGACGATCGCGTTCACGGTGGCGTCGCCGCCCGGCGCGGGCGAGCGCGAGGTTCGAACGAGCGACGTCGCGGTTCCCGTGACGTTTCACATCGCGCCGACGCCGCCGCGCGAGAGACGCTTGCTGTGGTCGCAGTACCACAGCGTGAGGTACCCCCCGGGGTACGTCCCGCGGGATAACCTGGACGCGAAGGCGGACATATTGGACTGGCACGGGGACCACCCGCACACGAATTTTCACGCTACGTACGATTGGCTGCGGAACAACGGGTACTTTCTCGAGGTGCTCGGATCTCCGCTGACGTGCTTCGACGCGTCGCAGTACGGCGCGATCCTCCTCGTGGACCCGGAGGAGGAATTCTCGGAGGAAGAGATCTCGAAGTTGACGACGGACGTGAACGAAAACGGTCTATCCGTGGCCGTTTTCGGGGAGTGGTACAACGTCCCGATCATGGAGAAGATGAAATTTTTCGACGACAACACGCACAACACGTGGACGCCTATCACCGGCGGCGCCAACGTCCCCGCGCTGAACGACCTCTTGAAGCCCTTCGGGTACGCGTTCGGCGACCGCGTGTTACAACAGGCGGTCGTACCAATCGGCGGGTCGAGGTTGAACGTGCAGGCGGGCGCGAACGTCGCGCGCGCGCCCGCGGGGGCGTGGACGCACGTCGGAGACGTCTCCGAACGCGACGCGCGTCACGAGAAGCCCCGGAGGACGAACCGGAAGTCCGCGGTGGCGTCGTTCTTTCAAGTCGGCGAGTTCACCGGTCCGCCCCAGGGTTTAAACCCTAAACCCACAGCGGAGGGGTCGTCGGCGAGCCCGAACGCGACCGCCAAATCCGGACGACTCGCGCTTTTCGGCGACAGCGGGTGCCTCGACAGCTCGCACCAGGGCGCGCCGTGCCACGACTTTTTGGGCTCGATCCTCAGATTCTTGACCGAGAACGATCGGTCCACCGGGCTCACGGACGCGAACACGAAGCGCGGGGAGGCGTACGCGACCCCCGCGGACGAGCCGCTGCCGTCGCGGCGCGTCGGCGTCGATTTCGACGCGTACTCCACGACGAGGGGCGGGAAGCCGGGGAACGAGGGGTCGACGACGTGCGGCCCGAACGACCCGATGGAGTTTTGGCCGGCGGGGGAGACGTTCGAGAGCGTCTCCGCGTGGTCGTCGAAACGCGCGACCTCCGGGCGTTTCAGTGGGAGGACGCCGCCGGCGCGCACGGTGAAAGACGCGAGGGATGATTCGCCGGCGGAAGTCCCGCGGGCGCTGATCCGCGCGGGCGGCGGCGGCGGCGGCGACGTCCGCGTCCGGGCGACGCGCGACGACGACGACGACGACGACGTCGACGCGAGCGCGCCGTTCTTCTCTTCTTCTCCCGACGCGAAGCTCGGCGTCCCGCTCGGCGCGGCGATCGTGGCGTCGTTACTGATGATCGCGCGGCGGCGGCGGCGGCGCGGCAAACGCGCGGGCGACGCGCGGCGGTCCGTGCAGGGCGTCGCCGTGGGCGCGAGCGCGACCACGGAGCGCCTGCTGCGTCGCAAGATGTGACAAGGCGCCGTCCGTAGAAAATAAAAAGACTAGCGACGACAGACCCTCGCGTCTCCAGAGGTCGCCTGCCTCATCGCGGCGGCCTCGACCGATCCGCGAACTCGAGGTCGCCGACCCCGCCCACCGCCCCCCCCCGATGCCTCGGCGAGAACCCAAAGTCCACGGAGACGCGCGCCCCTCGCTGCTGCAGCCACTCCTCCGCGCTCCGTCCCGCCCCCGCGACGGCGGCGGCAGCCTCCGCCGTCGCCTCCGCCACCGCCGCCCTCGCCTCCGCCGTCGCCTCGGTGAAGTCCGCCTTGATCCTCTCCGCCGCGCGGCCGATCGCGCGCCGCACCAGGTGCGATCCCGTGTTCAGCCGTCCTTGTTCGAACAACCCGGAGGCGCCGACGAGGACCATGAGCGCGAACGCGAGGACGACGAGCGCGACCATCCACTCGGGCGCGAGCGTCCACGGCGCCTCGGACGCGGCGCCGCTGAAGAGCCGGAGCCAGGAGGTTCGGATGGAGCCTCGAGCGCGCGCGGGGTGCCACAGATCCTCGTCCTTCTTGTCGTCGTTTTTGTCGTTGAAGCCGCCGCGCGCGAAGAAGAAGCCGCCGCCGCCGCGGTCGCCGCCGCCGCCGCCGCCGCCGCCCGAGGAGGTCTTCGCCGCCGCGGCGGCGCTCGTCGCGTTCGAAGAGTTCCCAGCGCGCGTGGCGTTCGCGGAATAATTCGAATTCGCGCTCGCCGCGCGCGTCGACGCCCCTCCGAATCCTCCGTCCTCTCCCTCTCCCTCTCCCTCTCCTTCCGACTCGACCCCGGGCCCCGCGACGAACGACGAAAACCCTCCGTGTCTCTCCGCGTACGCCTGCGTGGGTGAAGCGATCGGTCAGTCGAACGTCTTACCGGTCAAACGTTGAAAGGGAAGCGCGGGTGAAGAGTGACGACGGGGAAAGTCCTTAAGGATCGGCGTTCACCGCGCGAACGGGGTCGTATGGAAAGCAGTCTCACCTCCAAGGACCCTGGACACTCGTTCGTCTCCATCAGCACCTCTCTCGCGTTCACCCTCGACGGGTTGAACGCGCTCAGCGCGAGCTGGTTATCCGGAGACGCGCGATCGTCCAGCGGCACGCCGTGCCGGACGCGGTAAAACACGAAGTGGAAGAGCGTCCAGAAGTCCACCTATACGAGCGAACGTCGGGGTGGAGTTCAAAGGCGTCAGGGGTGGAGTTGAAAGGCGTCGAGGTGCGTCGGGATTGAAAGCGAGGGACCCTGGGCGGAGAGATGCGCCGGGAGAGAAAGTCCTTAAGGAACGGCGTTCACAACGCCGACGCGGTCGTATGGGGACCAGTGTGAGACAGAACGCGCCTTGACGTGCCGCCGTCGCATGTGCCACGCGTACATCCGCTCGCTGCTGTCCACGCCCGTCGGTATCTTCGCCGCCGCCTTTCGAAACCGGACGTCGTCCGCGTCGTCGCCGTCGACGTCGTCGGGACACAGCTGGTCGTACAGCGACAGGTACTCCGCCGCGCCCTCCGGCGGACCCATCATGAACCGATCGTTCACGCCGCCGCGGCCGTGGAACCACGGGACGTTGACGCGCCTGCCTCCGGGGACGACGCACGCGCGGTCGATGGGGAGGTCATCCGCGAACGCGACGTCGGGACGCGCGAGGACGACCCACGCGAAGGCGACGCCGGTCGCGCGCTCGCGCCTGACGCGCGCGTCGTCCGCGATCTTCCGCGCGCGGTACCGGGAGAGGTGCTTCCGGACCGTCGCGACGGCGTCGCGACGCCGCGACGCCGCGACGGAGTTTGGCGCGATCCCGCGCGCGCCCGTCGACGATGAGACGACCGGCTGCGGGCCGTTCACGCGCGCGTCGAGCGCGGCGACGCACGCGCTCGGCGTCGGCGTCGGCGCGGTCGGGATGACCTCGACGTGGTCGAGGTCGTGCTCGCGTCGAACGCGCTCGAGCGCGGCGGCGACGGAGGAGGGCGGGATCGACGACGACGGAGCGACGATCGCGTCTTCCTCCCCGAAGAGCGCCCTCGACCGCGCGCGGCGTCGGCGGATTCCCTCCATGGCCTTCTCCGCGCCCTTCTCCGTCCTCCTTCCCGCCGCCGCCGCATCCTCCTCCTCCTCCTCGTCGACGGCGAAGAACAGAGACACGCGGTGCCCCCTTCGCCGCAGCGGCGCGATGACGTGCGTCGCCGCGCCGCAGTGCGTCGCGTTCACGTCTCGCACGCTCCCGACGAGAAGGATCGCGACCGGCGCGGACGCCGGGAGCGCATCGCAGTGCTCGCCCGCGAAGACGTACCGCGCGAGCTCGACCGCGACGTAGAGCGCCAGCGTCGCCATGACGGCGATGTTGAGAGAGATGCGGCGACGGCGCGTGACCTGCGACGCGTGCGTGGCGATCGCACCGACGCGCGATCGGAGCGCGTCTCGCGAGGGATGAAGAAGCAGACCGTGGGGGGTTCCGTGGTGCGGGTGCGACGACGACCCGGTTGGTGGGCGCTTTTCCTTGTCGTCGCCGTCGTCCGCGCCGCCGCGCGGCGGCAGCGGTTGCGAGTACATCGTCGCCGTCGACGGGCAGCGCGCGACGACGCGCGGCCGCGGCCGGCGATCTTCTGTCCGCCCTCCGTATCCGGCGCCGACTTTTTTAACGGCCTCACGGCGTCTCATCACGACGCGTACACGTACAAGTACTCGCATTCCATTTGTGCTTTTCGTCAGAACGAGTACGCATACACAGGCAATTTTTTTTTGACGCTGCCGCCATGCCATCGTCCAAGTCGAGTCAACAACTAGTGCTCCGTCGCGCGAGGAGACCGCTCTCGCCGCCGCCGCCGCGACGACGACCGCGACCGGCGCGCGGGGGAACGAGACCGAGCGAACGCGCGCGCGGGCGAGGCGTCGTCGGCGACCCGCGAGACGTCTGGTGCGGTCGTCGTCGTCGTCGTCGTCGTCGTCGTCGTCGTCGTCGTCGTCGTCGTCGTTCGTTCAAAATGTCCGCGGCCGCGACCGCGCCCAGGGGGACTCATCCGACCGGCGCGCCGTCGCTCTCCAAGGTCGTGGACAAGGCGGTGACGAACCGCGCGGTCGTGGACTCGCCGTTCGCGCCCGGGCAAGACACGCTCTGGACGCGCGTCATCGCGCAGAACAAGAAGGACGCGAAGGATCGAGGCGACGCGTCCGCGCGCCCCGACGCCGCGTGCTTCGTCGTCGGCGCCGCGCGATCGGGGAAGAGCACGCTCGTATCCCGGTTCCTGTTCCCGGACAAGCGCGATGCGCCCAAGCCGACGGAGGGGATGGAGTACAACTACGCGCGCAAGACGCACGCGACGAACGTGGAGCGGAAGGACGTCGCGCACGTCTGGGAGATCGCGGGGTCGCGGCGATTCGCCGACGCGTGCACGGAACAAGACAACGTCTTCATGGGGATGCGACACGTCACCACCGCGGTCGTCGTCATCGTGCTGGATCTCTCGAGACCGCACGAGGCGCTGCCGACGCTGGAGTATTGGCTCGAGCGCGTAAAGTGTCGGACGCGCGCGACGTTCGCCAAGTTGGAGAAGCGCGGGAGCAAACTTCCAGAGCAGCTCAGGACGCGGAGCGCCAAGACGTTCGGACAAACGCATGAGGATGTCGGACATGTCCGACACCTTGGCGTGACGGTCGTCGTCGTCGCGGCCAAGTACGACGCGTTCGAGCGCGCGGACGCGGAGCTGAAGAAGATCATGAGCCGCGCGCTGCGGCACGCGTGCCACGCGCACGGCGCGTCGCTGTTTTACACGTCGGGATTAAACGCCGCCGCCGCCGCCACGGGCGGGGGGGAAGACGAAACGTCAACCGTCGCGTCGCGTCGCGCTCGGTCCGCGGACGACCGCGAGGACGACGCGCGGCGGTTGAACCGCTTCCGCGCGTACCTCAACCACCTCGTGTTCGTCGGCGCGGACAAGCGGTATCCGGGGAGGATCGACCCGGAGATCGATTACGGCGGCGCGATCACCGTCGTCGCCGGGAGCGATCGGTTCGCGTCCATAGGCGCGCCGAGGGGCGCGTCCGGGGGCGCGAGCGGCGGCGACGCGTCCGCGGCGTGGCGCGCGCTGTTCAGAGAGGCGTTCCCGCCGCCGAACGGCGACGGCGGGACGTGGGTCGGCGGCGGATTCGGGAGCGACGACGGCGGCGATGTGAAGAACAGGGGGTGCCCGGATTTGGGAAAATATCCGGAGCGCGAGGTGGACGCGGAGCGCGAACGGAAAGCCGAGGAGCTCGCGTCGTTCCGGAAGCGGCAGGCGATGATGAAGAGCGGGGGGAGCGCGGTCGCGTCCGCGGCGGCGACGCTGAGGGCGAAGGTCAAGAGCGGCGGCGGCGCGGCGTCTTCGCGGTCGTCGTCGTCGGCGTCGGCGGCGCCGGTTTCGTCGTCTCGATCGTCGGCGTCGGCGGCGTCGGCGCCGAGCCGGGAACGGTCGAGCGCGACCGGGAGCGCCGCCGCGCGGCCGAGCAGCGCGCGGTCTGCGAGCGGCGTCGCGAGCTCGAGGCTGAACAGCGGACGGACGAGCGCGAGGGGGGGACCGGCCGCGCCGTCGTCCGCGCGACGCCCGACGATGCGATGACTTTTAAAACGTTCGAGCGAAGTCTTTTGGTTTTAATAAGGTAATGACAACCTCATCTCGGCATGTGTCTTTTTCAGATCAAGCCTTGCTTCCGAAGGTCCTCATAGGTCTTCTTGTTGTACACGTTCCCGTCCGCGTCCTCGTACTCCTCGTCCGTCTTCCGGTCCCACTTCCCGTCCTTTCTGGAATCGAGAGCCTTGTGAAGGCTGAGCGCGTCCGCGATGGACGTGACCTGCGAGTGAGTGCGAGTGAGTGAAAACAAGACGAGACGAGACGAGACGAGACGAGAACGCCGAGCGCGCGCGCGGCCGTGGGTCAGGTTACGGGTTTTCTAGGCCCTAAAGCGTATGCATCAGGAATCGATCAGTGCCCAGTGCGTGATTCCATCATGCCCAGTCGCCGGCCGCGAGCGCGCGACGCATATGAAAAGAGAGAGAGAACGAAAAAGCGAAAATCGAAATCGAGTCGAGTCGTGCTCGCTCACCTCCGCGAACGCTTTCGTGTTCGGAATCCCCAGGCACCGCATCCCGTGCACGTGCCGGAACTGCTTGAAGTGCTGCTCGAACGCTCTCCGGCCCCAGTAGCTGTAGTTCCCGCAGATCTCGCACGTGAACTCGAGGTTTAACCCGTGCAGCTTGTAGAGCCAATACGGAATCGGCTTCCCGTCCCATCCGAGCGGCAGCTTCAGCGGGTTGTACACCTCCTCGTCCTCGTCGCTCGCCTCCTCCTCCACGAAGTCGTCGTCCTCCTCCGCCTCCGCCTCGAGCTCCGCGGCGGACAGCGTCGCCTTCTTCTCGACGTTGCCCTTAGTCGCGTCTAGCACTTGAGAGAGGTGTTCGAGCAGCGCGGCGATGAAGTGCTCCCGTCGCGCGATATCCTTCGCGCGCGCCTCGCGCTTCGCGCGCTCCGCGCCGTCGATCGCGCTCGCGGGCCGCAACCCTTTGTTGAAGAGCTTCGCGTCGAGGTCCGCGAGCGTTCGCCCGCGCGTGCTCCACAGCCGCGCCGCGCGTTCGGTCGCGGTGCCGCCGGCTTTGAGCCCCGCCGCTTTCAACGCCGCCGTCACGCCTGGGTGGAGTTGAAAGCCGTCAGAAGCGGAGTTGAAAGGCGTCGAGGTGCGTCGGGATTGAAAGCGAGGGACCCTGGGCGGAGAGATGCGCCGGGAGAGAAAGTCCTTAAGGAACGGCGTTCACCACGCCGACGCGGTCGTATGGGGACCAGTGTAAGGAGAACGTGCCGTCGACGCCGCCCAACGCGGCTTCCATCTCTTCCGTCGTCGCGAACGCGGCGAGGTCCGCGAGGGCGGCCTCGTTACCGTCGTCGTCGCCGGCGTTGGCGCCGACGCCTTTATCCTCCCACCCTCGCGCGTCGCCGTCGCTCCACAGTTTCTCGAACTCGTCCGACGCCTTCTTCTTCGCCGTCTCCGCGAAAGTCAACGGCCGCGTCCGCGCGTGGAAGTCCTCTGAGGGTAATTGTCCATACAAGCGAATGTCGGGGTGGAGTTCAAAGGCGTCAGAAGCGGAGTTGAAAGGCGTCGAGGTGTGTCGGGATTGAAAACGAGGGGTGGGCGGAGAGAATCGCCCGGCAAAGTCCTTAAGGATCGGCGTTCACCACGCCGACGCGATCGTATGGGGACCAGTGTGAGACAGAACGCGCCTAAATACGCGAGCAGCCCGTCCAGGTACTCGCCGTACGCCCTCGTAAACTTCTTCGCGCGGTCCGGGGTCATCGCGTTGTTCGTTTTGGTATCGTCGGCGTCGTCGCCGCCGCCTTTTCCGCCGCCGCTCGAGGCGAACGCGCCGTCCGCGCCCAGGTCGACGAGATACGAGATGTATTCGCACTTCCGTCCGAACGCGCCGTTCACGAACGCGCGGTGCGCGAAGTGCAGATCCAGGTACCGCCCGTTCGCTTCCTCGCCGCTGAACGCGATCGCGACGTTCTCTCGGAACGGCGCCACGAGCGTCTGCTCCGGGTCCGCGGCGTGGAACCCCGAGTACGCGCGATGGTACTCCCTCGACTCGCGCAGGCGATCGTAGAAGGCGGCGAAAACGTTCGCGCCGCCGCCGAGCGCGGCGATCTCCTCCTTCCTCGCGCCGTCGGCGTCCTCGTACGTCGCGCGCAGCCGCTTCGCGCGCGACGCCATCTCGTCCAGCGCGCGGTTGACCCTGTGGTTCTGCGCGAGCCGTTCCTTGTGCGTGACCGCCTCGGTCTTGAAGTCGCTCACGATGAATCGTTCCAGGCGCTCGATCGCCTCGTGCGCCTCGCGCGTCTGCTCGAGGAGCGTGGACGCCATGACGACGACGCGACGGCGTGCGGCGATCCGAGGGCGGCGGCCGAGGGCGACCTCGGGAAGACGGGTTGGAGACGGCGCCGATGCCTCCGGCGTGCGTCGCGCGCGGGCGTTGTGATCGATCAACCCTAAATGCGCGCGCCATTTGTTTTTCAGGAGAGAGCACGACGCGCGACGATCGAGAGTAATGCGTCGATCTCGTCGTCATTCGCCCTCGCGCCGGGGCGGTCGTCGTCTCGTCGTCATGGCGCCCGGCATGAGCGACCGCACGGACGAAGAGTACGACGCGATCGTCAACATCAGCGCGTCGAAGCGCGCGGCGGTCGACGCCGCGTGGGCCGCGCTCGCGCGGCGCGGCGACGCGGACGGAGGCGGCCCGGGAGCGGGATCCACCTCTCGATCGTCGGCGTCGACCGCGTCAACCGCGGCGGCGTCGAAGGGCCGCGCCGCGCTGAGCGTCCTCGCGAAGCTGAACCGCACGAACGCGGGCGGCGTGAAGAAGGGCGGCGATGGAGGCGCGAAGAAGAAGAAGCTCGGATCGGACGGCGCGGGGTGGATGCGCGCGCTCGGCGTGGACGCGAACGCCGCGAACGCGAACGCGAACGCGAACGCGAAGGCGACGAACGGGAGAGGAGGGAAAGGCACCGGAAAGTCGAAGGTCTCCGCCGCCGCGCTGGAGGCGGCGAAGAGCGCGCTCGACGCCGCGGCGGGGGGCGTCCGCGTCCGCGCCGCGAGCAGGACGGACGGCGTCGTCACCGTCAGCGAGACGCGCGTCTTCGCGGGAAAGGCGCGTGCTGTAGTCCGCGTCCGCGTTCTCTCTCCGCTCGCGTCCGATTCCGATTCCGATTCCGCCGCCGCCGCCGCGCGTCGTCGTCGTCGTCGACCATCTTCTGACGAATCAAATCATCTCGCCCGTCCACGTCACCCGTCACCCGTCCACGTCAACAGGAGATGACCGTCGAGAAGACGTACGAGGAGGGTCCAGAGAGGCGAAGCTCGCGGCGAAGAAGAGAGCCGCGGAGAGCAGAGGCGGCCTCGACGCGGTGCTGCACCAGATGGAAAAGGCGAGTTGATCCGCGAGTCGCGCGTCGCCGACCGCGCGTTACGCCACGTCATCAAACATCTGACCAATCGCATCCCTCCCTCCCTGATCATCCACCGCAGACGAAGAAACTCAACGTGTTGGACAAGAGCAAGATGGACTGGAGCGCGGTGAAAGCCGCGGACGCGGACGTGGAGGAGGACCTGGAGCGGCACAAGAAGGGAAAGACGTATCTCGAGGAGCAGGAGTTTTTGAAACGCGCGGAGCTGCGGGAGTACGAGCAGGAGCGCGACGCGAGGCTCGCGGGAGACGTCCGCACGCGCGGGAGGCTGTGATGAGCGTCTTGTCTTGCTTGTCGTCGTCGTCGTTTGTGGTACTTTTACTGTACTTATTATTCGCATCGATCGACGCGAACGGCGAAAGGCGCTGAATGAATTGATATTATTTTTGTGAAGAGTGCCATGCCAGCTGTTAGGTGCGGTGCCGACGCGACACGTCCGCATTTCATTTCACTCGTCGACCGCGCGGGGATGACGCCGGCGATGGCGACGCGCGCCGCGAGCTCGCGCCCGGCGTCGGCGCGCCCTCGAGGCGCGGCGCGCGCGTCGCGCCGCCGCGCCGCCGCGGTCGCGTCGTCGTCGTCGTCGCGAGACGACGACGACGACGACGGCGACCGCGCGCGATCCGCGCCCGGTGGAAGACGCCCGCCTCCGCCTTCGTCGTCGTCGCGACGTCGTCGTCGAACCGTCGGCGAGACGCTGCGCATCGCGTCGACCGCGGCGCCGATCCTCCTCGCGATCGCGCCGCACGCCGCGCACGCCGCGGGGTGGTACGACGACGTCCCGAGCGGCGGCGGCGGCGGCGGCGGGTTCGCGGTCGGCGGCGCCGACCGCGGAGGCCCGGGAGGCGCCGCGATGGCGGATCCGGAAGACTATCCGTACGGCACGAAGGACCTCGCCGTGGATCTGGCCTCGCCGTTGGTCGCGTACAAGGCGGTGTCGTGGGCGCTGAACCAGGAGGTCCCGGCGTGGTTGGACGCTATCATCCTGTTCTTCACGCTCGCGGCGATCTACGTCTGCGCGTTCGACGTCACCGCGCTCGACGACAGGTTGGTGTAGGAGCGCGGAGGAACGGAGGCCGACGACGACGACTGGAATAAAATGAATAAAATGAAACCAACCGACGAAACCAACCGACCAACCTATCGGCTCCTCGTCGCGTCCGCCGCTTCCGCTTCTTCTCTCGCCGCGCGCGCAGCCTTCCTCTCGATCTCGTACGCCGCGTGCGCTTCCATCATCGCCGCCGCGGCGTCCTTCCCTTCGCCGTGCGCGCACATGCGTAGCTTCCCTAGGTTCTCCGCGAAGACGTCCCATTCCTCGTCGCGAAGGCTCGGCGCCAGCGACGGCTCCAGGACGTCCCTCGCGAACGCGTCCACCTCCGCGCGGACGGCGTCTGACGCCTCGAGGCGCGCGAGACGCGTCGTCGGGAGGTCCGCGTTGACGACGGCCGCGGCGTTCGCGCTCGCGCTCGCGCTCATCTTCTTCCCGTTCCCGTTCTCTTTCTCTTTCTCCGAGCCGCCCGCGGGGGACGGTTTCTTCTCTCGGTTTTTTCGAAACTCTGAAAACTCCGCCTCCCTCAGGTACAGCGTCGACGCGGGCGCGATCGGCGTCGCCGCGCGCGCGGGCCGCGCCAGCGTGACGGGAATAAACTCCCGCGGGATCCACCCGAGCGCGACGCCCACCGCGGTCGCGATCATCTTGCGGATTTGATACAGAACGAACGAGTCGCCGGCGACGACGACGCGAACGAAAGGCTCTCCGGGGCGGTCGTCGTCGTCGCCGTCGCCCGCGGCGACCTCGACGTCGCCCGCGGTGAACGACGACACGACGCGCGCGTGGCGCTTCCCGACGAGGTCTCGATCGTCCCTGCCGAGGAGCCAGTAGTACCCGGACGCGCGCGAGCCGACAGAGGGAGTTTCCGACGCGTCGACGTCGTCGACGTCGTCGTCGTCGTCGCCGCGATAGTCCGAGGATTCCATCTCGTCCTCCTCCTCCTCCTCGACGTCGCCTCTCCTACCTCTGCTCCGTCGCCTCTTATCCTCGGGGGCGTACCGCGACCGGCGCGTGTAGTTGTGGAAGTAATGCGACCCTTCGAACGCGCGCAGGGCGTCTCGAAACGCGTCGAGCACGTCCTCCGAAGATCGCGTCTCCCCTCCCGGCGCGCCCGGCCAAGACACCTCTCTCTCTCCTGATACCCCTAACCCTAACACCCGCGCGGGGAGGAGGTAGTGGTACGTCCGACGCGCGCACGCGCGGCGCGCTTGGAACGATTTCGGCGCGGAATACGCGGCGAACACTCGCACTCCCGACGTCGCCGGCAGCTTCGCGTTGATTCGCTCGACGACGCCGCCCGGCTCCCTCGCCTCGACGTCCGCGTCCCAGCTTCGCTCGTCCGTCTCCATGCGCAAGCTCACGACCGTCGCGAGCGAGGACACGCCCTTGTCCGTCCTCGAGCTCCTGGACCACTTCAACCGCGACAGCGCGCGGCTGCGGTAGTTGGACAGCAGGATCCCGCCCGCGTCGAAGACGGCGTCCTCTGCGTTGAGTTGAAAGGTGTCAGTGGTGGAGTTGAAAGGCGTCGAGGTGTGTCGGGATTGAAAGCGAGTGACCCTGGGCGGAGAGAAACACACGCCGGGAGAGAAAGTCCTTAAGGAATGAAGTTCACGACGCGAACGGGGTCGTACGGGGACCAGTGCGAGGAATACGCACCCAACACGTCGTCCACCGTGGACCCGCGCGGCAGCGCCGGGTTCACCGTGTTCCCTCGGTAGTCCCTCCCGACGTACCCCAACAGCAGCGCCACCGCGCGCTTACGGTACGTCTCCGGTACGCACGGCCGCGTCGTCCCCTCCGGTATGCGATGCGACGGGTGGACGTGGTCGCCCGCCTGCTGGATGGCGATCTCAGCGAAGGAGCGTCCGGGCGGTGGGAGCGGCGCGTCGCGCGTCAGCGCGCGGCGGTCCGCGCCGCGACGACGCGGCCGCTGCTCCTGCTGCTTCCGCGGGCGAGGCGCGCACGGCGGCGCGGGGTCGGGGTCGGGGTCCGGGTCGCGCGCGGCGGCCGCCTCGACGTCGTCGTCGTCGGCGGCGGCGGCGAGGCGCGCCGATCGACCGGGCGGCGCGCTGCCGTCGGGGCTTCGTCGCCATCGTCGCGTCTTCTCGAACCGATGAGAGGCGGTGGAGAAGAACGGCGACGACGGACGAGGCGCGGCGGCGAGCCGTGACGACGACGACGACGACGACGACGACGACGACGCGAACATCTCGCGAAGAAGAAGGCGCGGGAGCGCGCGTCGCATCCACGCGGCGCGGCCGCGCGCGGAGGAGTGCGCCGGCCCCGCGCGGGTAACAACAACAGAATCCATCCCAGAAGTTTTCGTCAGCTCCGAGGGACATTGCGCGCCACGTCGTCGTCGCGTCGCCTCGTCACTCGCGCCCGCGCTCCCAAGGCTGGCCGTCCACTACATGATCCACGCCGCGCGTCCTGCGCTCGTGCACGCGACTCGATCGCTCTTCCGCGTCCGCGCGTCCGCCGCCTCCTCCTCCTCCGCCGCCGCCCGGCTCGCCGCGCCGCGACACGTCGCGTCCTTCGTCGGACGTCGTCGACAGCCTCTCGTCGTCGTCGCGCGTCGATCGAACGTCGCCATGGCTTCCGCCGCGACCGCCGCGCCCGCGGACGTCGCGTCGTTCATCGAGACGTTCAACGCGGACTACGCCAAGGCGCACAAAGCGTACGAAGACAACTTCTGGTGCGATGCGCGCGACGCCAGAAGGCCTCGCGACGCGCCCCGCCCTCGATCTCGCAGGGTCTTCCTTCGCTCGTCCGTCCTACAGGTAGTCGCGCTCGTCCTCGATCGGTCCGCGATCGACGCGCGATGAAGTGACTGACGACCCGATGCCCCGCGCCCCGCGCCGACCCAGGGAGACGAAGATGAACCTCGAGGGGAACTCCGTGGACGCGCTCACGTCCTCGTTCAACGCGCTCGAGGCGTTCTTAGGCGACCAAGCCGCGCTCGACGCCGTGCGAGGGTTCCTCGCGCGCGACGAGCGCGAGATCCCGGAGTCGTCCAGAGTCGTCCTGAGACAGGTGCGTTCGATGCGTGCTCCACCCATCCATCGGTTTCAACATTTGATCGCATGGGTCCCTTTCAATATTCAACTGACCGATGAAATTTGCTGGCCCACAGATCGAGAAGACGCTCAAGTGCTACATCGTGGAGAGCGCGGACGCGAAGGCGGTCCGCGAGAAGGCGGTCGGTCTAGAGAACAAGATGAACGGCGCGCGGAACAAGCTCAAGCCGACGTACGTCGAGGCGAACGGCGAGACGACGGAGGCGACGTTCACGGTGCTCCGCACGAAGATTCGATCCGCGGCGGAGGAATCAGTGCGAAAGTCGTGCTGGGAGGCGACGCGCACCACCGGACCGTTTCTCCTCGCGAACGGCTTCCCCGAGATCATCGCCGAGCGCAACCGATTCGCGCGGACGCTGGGGTACGAAGACTTTTACGACATGAAAGTGACGCAGGCGGAGGGGTTTAACAAGAAGCGATGCTTCGAGATGCTCGACGGGCTCGAAGCCGCCACGGCGCCGTTGCTGAAGACGGCGCTCGAGAAGCTCGAGAAGGAGAAGGGCGCGGACGCGCTCAAGCCGTGGAACCTCTCCTACGCGCTCAGCGGCGAGCTGTCGCGCGATCTCGACCCGTATTTCCCTTTCGAGAACGCGCCGGAGGTGTGGGGTCGGTCGTTCGCCGCGATGGGGATCGCGTACAGAGGCACGAAGATGCGCCTCGACTTGTGCGACCGCGCGGGGAAGTATCCGAACGGGTTTTGCCACTGGCCCGTCGCGCCGCATCGAGGCGCGGACGGGACGTGGCACTCCAGCGAGGCTAACTTCACGAGCCTCGCGACCCCGGACGAGGTCGGCAGCGGGAACACCGCGCTGACGACGCTGATGCACGAGGGCGGGCACGCCGCGCACTTCGCGAACATCGAGCAAGGCTCACCGCTCTTCGCGCAAGAGCGCGCGCCGTTCTCCGTGTCTCTCGCGGAGACGCAGAGCATGTTTCTCGATTCGCTGTGCGGCGACGCCGCGTGGCTCGGGCGTTACGCGCGCGACCGGTCCGGCGCGCCCGTGCCGTGGGCTCTGCTCGAGCGCTCCATCAAGGAGAAGCACCCGTACGAAGTCTTCGCGCTGCGAGGGATGATCGCGGTGCCGTATTTCGAAAAGGCGCTGTACGAGATGCCGGAGGAAGACCTCACGGCGGAGAACATCGCGAGAGTGGCGGACGAGATCGAGCACAAGATCCAGGGCGGCCTCGCCGCGCGGCCGCTGCTCTCAGGTGCGTTCTATACACCGGTTCCCATACGACCGCGTTCGCGTGGTGAACGCCGTTCCTTAAGGACTTTCGCCGTCGTCTCTCTCCGCCCAGGGTCCCTCGCTTTCGATCCCCGCCATCGACGCCTTTCAACTCCGCCAACTGACGCCTTTCAACTCCACCCCGACGTTCGCTCGTATGGACCCTCGACCCTCAGTGCCGCACATCACGAGCGACGAGAGCTCGTGTTATTACCACGGCTACGTCTTCGCAGAGATGGCGGTGCATCAGACGCGCGCGCACTTTCTGAAAAAGTACGACGGCGTCATTGTGGACAACCCGAAGATCGGCCCGGAGCTCCTGGAGTCGTACTGGACGCACGGCAGCGGCGAGCCGGGCTTCCTCAAGATGGTCGAGAACCTCACCGGAAAGCCGCTGTCGCACGACGCGTGGGTCGCGTCCATGGCGAAGGACGTGCCGAGTCTGTTGGCGGATGAAAAGAAGGAGTACGACGCCGCCGTCGCCGCGCTGCCGAACACTGGCGCCATAGACCTCGGCATGCGCGCGGTGTTCGTGCACGGCGACGAGGTCATCGCGGACTCGGAGAGCGCGGGGGGGTACGTCGAGGCGACGAAGGAGTTTAAGAAGTGGGTCAACGCGAACTGGCCGAAGACCGCGGTCGCGGCGTGACGAAACCGTCGAATCGACGACGACGACGAAAACGCATCAGACGACGGATGAGACGTGATTGATGATTTTTGTTACGAGCGCGAGTATTCGTTCGTCGCTCGCGCGCTCTTTCTTCGTCACGCTTTGAGGCTATCCGACTCCTGACACACGAGCGAGAGCCACTCGCGAACGCCGTCCTCGTACATCACCTGGTGATCGCCCGTCGTCGCGTTGTACTTCACGATGGACGCGTCCCACCACTCCTCCTTCGCGCTCTCTTTCGCGTCGTCGTCGTCGGCGTCGTCGGCGGCGTCGGCGGCGGCTTCGTCGGCGTCCTCCGCCCCCGTCGCCGGCGCGTCCGCGTCCGTTTTCCTCTCCGTCTCCTCCTTCTCATTCTCATTTTCCTCCACGCGCGCCGCGTCCGTCATCGCGACGTCCTCGTCGACGCCGCCGCCGCCCTCCGCCGTCGGCGCGCTCTCTTCGGCCGCCGCCGCCGCTGCCGCGTCGGTCGCCTCCGCCGGAGCCGCGTCTGTCGCCGCCGCCGCCGCCGCCGCCGCCGCCGCCGCTTCCTCCCTCTCGCGCTTCTCGCGCTCGTACGCCTCGTCCGCGACGCGCTCGCCCTCGACCAGCGCGTCCTCGGTGTACGTCCACCCCCACGGCCTGAGCCGAATCGGCCGCCCGACGATCGCTTCCCCCCACGCGCCCCCTTGCTGCAGCAACCACCGCCCGATGGAAATCTCCTTGTGCCCGCCCCGGTGTCTCAGACGCTCGGACGCTCGCGACGCGTCGAACCGAATCGTTCGGCGCCATCGCTTCGGACCTTCCGTGTCCGGACACTTGGTGTTGTTGAAATCGACCGCGGACATCACGACCGTCGTCTCCTCGCCCGTGCTCGCGTCCTTCTCGAGAAACGAAATTTTCTCTTCCCCGCGGCGCGGAGACGGGAGGAACCACGCGCGCGTCTCGCCGCCGACGACGGGAATTCGCACGGGGGGCATGCCGTGGATCGACGGGAACGAGAGGGAGGAAAGGGAAGAAGTAACGCCCGCGCCCGATCCGTTACCATCCCCGTCCCCGTCCCCGCGCTCCACCGTCGTCACCTTCTCTTTGTTAAAGTTCAGACGCTCTTCGACGCCGTCGTAATACTTCACGGCGTGCGTCTTGGTCTCTTCGTCGTACGATAACACCTCGCCGCCGTACCACGCCTCGTCCAGCGGCCACCAAACCCTGACGTGCGCGCCCGCGCGCACGATCTGGTCCTTCGCCACCGCGACGACGCGAACTTTCGCCGGCGGCGGCGCGCGCAGCTTCGGAGGCTTGGGCGGTTTAATCTTTTTCGGTTTTTTCGGCTTGGGCTCTTTCGGTTTTTTCGGCTCTCTCGGTCGCTTCGGCGCCTTCGGCGCCTTCGCCTTCTTCGACGGGTCGCGGATCGGCATCCAGCTCTCCTTCGCGCCGCGCTTGTGTGGCTTGTATCGCAGCTCCACGCGCTCGTTCTTCAGGTCGATCGTCTCCTCGACGCCGTCTTCGATGTACAGGAGCGTGTGCGTATCCGTCGCTCGGTCCACGGCTTTCACGCGCGCCTCGTAGAAGCACTTGTCGTCCGGCCACCACACGCGAATCGTCGCGCCCACCTCCACCGCGGTCCGCCGCGACAGCGAGCTCGTCGGTTTCCGCGCGATAGGCTTCCCGTCCGGACCCAACCGCGGGCCCCTCGCGCGGGGTTTCTGCGTGCGATAAAACCTGCGGGGTGGGAGTTGAAAGGCGTCAGAAGCGGAGTTGAAAGGCGTCGCGGGCGGGGATTGAAAGGAAGGGGTGGGCGGAGAGAGAAGACGGCAAAAGTCCTTAAGGATCGGCGTTCACCACGCGAACGCGGTCGTATGGGGAACAGTGTGACGCGACTCTTACCCGCGCGACTTGACTTGCTTCGTCCACGGGTTGTAGTACCCGAGACGCACGAGCGCGTCCGTCGCGGCGTCTCGCACGCCCTCGTCGCCGTCGCCGCTCATCAGACGATTCAGCGCGTCCACGTGCGGGGTCGCGTGCGCCTTCAGGAGGCCCATGAGCTCCGCGCCGGCTTCGCGCACGCCGCCGTCGGCGTCGTCGAACGCGCGACGCGCCGCGAGCGCGACGAGGGCTTTGCCCGGCGCGTCCAAGGCTTCTTTCGCTCGGTCGGCGGCTTCCTTCGCTCGGTTGGCGGCGGCGACGTCCGCGGCGGCGGCGCACTCGACGGCCGCCGCGGCGGGCGCGGCGGCGGCCGAGGCCGAGGCGTCGTCGACGACGACGCGCTCCGCGGGTTCCGACTTCGTCGTCGCCGCCGGCGACGCCTCCGCCGCCGCGTTCGTCGTCGTCTCCGTCGCGTTCGCGTTCGCGTTCGCGTTCGCGCTCGCGGCCGCCGCGACGGCGAAGTCGACGTCCCCCCATATCGACGCCAGCGCCCTCAGCGTCTTCTCGCGCAAGAACGCGTCGCGAGACGCGAGGTTCGGAAGCAGCGCGTCCGTCGCTCTCTTCGCGGCGGCGCCGTGAGACGCGAGCGCGTGCGTCGCCGCCAATCTGACTTGCGCGCATCCGTCCGAGAGCAGCGCGGCAGCCTGAAGGACGAGGTCGTCGTCCTTCAGCTTCGCCGCGTCGGGGGTTTCGGGTTTCGTCGCGGTCATCGTCGCCGCCGCGGCGGCGGCGGCGGCGGCGGCTTCGTTCGACGCCTTCTTCGTTTCCGTCTCCGTCTCCGTCTCCGTCTCCGTGTCCTCGCTCAGGGGCGTTCTATACAAGCGAACGTCGGGGTGGAGTTCAAAGGCGTCAGGTGGAGTTGAAAGGCGTCGCGGTCGGGGATTGAAAGCGAGGGGTGGGCGGAGAGAGACGCCGGGAAAAGTCCTTAAGGATCGGCGTTCACCACGCGAACGCGGTCGTATGGGGACCAGTGTATAGAACGCACCTCAAGTTCTTCTCCGCGAGTTCGCTCTTCGCGTCCGCTACGTCTTCTCTCTTCACCACCGCCGCGCTCGGCGCCGCCGCGGCACCGGCTCCCGTCGCGACGCCGCCGAGCGCGGTCGCCGCCGCGTGCCGGATCCACGGCGTGCCGTCGCACAGGAGCGCGAGCAACGCCGGCGGCGGTACAGCCGGCGCGTCGTCGCGGTCGTCGCGGTCGCCGCAAGCTGTACCTCCGCCGCCGGCTGTACCGCCGCCGCCGCCCGCCCCGCTCGTCTTCCTCTTTTTCCCCCACGGGACCAGCTCGGAGGCTTTGCCGAGCACGCGCGCGGCGCCGCCGCGCGCGTGCGGCGACGCGTCCGAGAGCATCGCGACGAGCCGCGGGATCAGCGACGCCGCCGGCGACGGCGTCGTTCCCGCGCCTGATGCTCCGAGGATGCGACACGCGCACGCCACCGCGGCGGCCCACACCGTCGTCGTCGACGCGTCCGAGGCGGCGCGCGACACGAGCTCGACGCTCGCGGCCGCGAGCGTCGCGGGCGCGCGCGCGCCGACGAATCCGAGGACGTCGAGCTCGGTCGCGAGCGCGTCGCCGTCGTCGGATTCGTCGTCGGCGATCGCGGCGGTCGCGGTTGCGTTCGACGACGACGCCCGCGCGAACGCGGCGAGGCGCGGGAAGACGTCGCTCGCGTCCGCGTCGACGTCCGCGGTGACGTCGAGGTCGCCGCGCTTCCCGCGAAGCGCGGCGCGCGCGAGCAGCGCGGCGGCGCGGCACTCGGGCGTCTCCGTCGAACGCGCGTCGACGGCGACGCGCGTCAGTAATTCCGCCAAGTCGTCGCGTCGGATCGTCGTCGTCGATCGAGGGTCGTCGTCGGTCGCGTCCGCGGCGACGCGGGACAGCGTCTCGATCGCCGCGAGCCGCGCGTGCGGCTCGCGCGCCTCCGCGGTGCTCCCGCGAAGCGTCGCCGCCGCGGCGTCGAGCTCGGGGTCGGACATGACGCCGCCGCGGACGCCTCTCCGGCCCGTCGCGCGCGCGCGAATCTACAACACAATTTATTTCCTCCCGTGTCGCGCTGCCGACTTTCGCGAACTCGTCAAGTGATGAACAAACGAACGCTCCCGTCGGCCCTCGTCGCTCGTCAGTCGCGGCGACGCATCGCGCGAAGCATGGGCTTCCTCACGCGCTGGATCGCGTCGAAGATGGAGGACCCGGCGGAGCGGGAGGAGAAGTGGGTCAAGCACATGCGCGAGACGGACGCGAAGTGCGATGAACTGTGCGTCGCCCGACCCGACGCGTTCTCCGGACCCGCGCGCGCGACGCGGGGTTTCTTTCTTCGCGAGGGGACCGCCCATCAACGATCAACCCTAAATTCTTCGCTCTGACGCCCCCCCCCCCGCGCCCTCCTTCTCGATCGCGACAGGAAAAAGCGATGGAACCAGCCGACGAAGACGCACGGGTACTGGGCGAAGGACAAGATGCAGACGACGTTCAAGTTCTCGCTGGATCCTATCCTCACGAACGCGCCGGGGAAGACGCAGGGGTGGTGAAGTGATGGATCTTTTGATGGCGTCAAAACGTGTCAGGGTCGGACGCGCGCGCGCGGGGGTCGCCGCGAGATCGGCGGCGGAGGCGTCCTCGCGCGCGCGCGCGGACGGGACGACGCGGTTGTAATTCTAACGTAGGTTTCGAAAACGAAGCCGCGCGACGCGACGCGACGGCGGCGTCTTCGACGGCCGCGAGCGCGCAAGCGTCCACGCCCGATCCGGGCGGACTCCCCTCTCACACACAGAACCGACCTCTGTCGTCGTCTATCGTCTGCATCATCAGCTCGGAGAGGGCTCGAACGCGTCGAACTTCGGATTTGCCGGCGCCGGCGCCGCGCCGCTCCCGCGACGGACGCGGAACACCGCGCACGCGCCGTTCATCGCGCCCGCGACGAGCGCGCCGTCGCCGAACGCGCACGCGGCGAGGGCGCCGACGCCGCCGCGGCCGCGCGCGCTCTCCCCCTCCTCCTCCCCCCTCTCGCCGCCGCCGACGATTTTTAATTCTTTTTCGATTCGACCGCGCCCGAGTCGCTTCCCGGTGAACGCGTCCCACGCGTGCACGCTCCCGCTGACGTCCGCGGCGACGACGCACGTCCCTGCGCCCGCGAGCGCGACGTACGGTGGACATTCTTCCACGTCATCATCCACGTCAGATACCCGCCACTCGTCGTTCGCCACGTCGCCGCCGACGACCCACCCGCGGCCGTCGCGGAGATCGCACGCGAACGACGCGCGCGGGACGGAGGACGCGGCGCCGCCGTCGTCGTCGTCGTCGCGCCGGCTCGCCAACGTCATCGCGGTGGCAACGCACGCATCGTAGCCGTTACTTTCATCATCATCGTCGTCGTTACTCACGGTCTCGACGACGTGCAGCGCGCGCAGCCTGTGCGTGAGGTGGTAGTCCACGCTCAGCAGCCGCGGCGTCAACGTCGTCGTCGTCGTCGTCGTCGTCGTCGTCGTCGCGCCGCCCGCGTCGTCCAACAGCCGCCAGCGCGCCCACAACGTGCCGTCGAACACGCCGACGAGCTCCCTGCCGCCGCGCGCGAAGCACAGCGCGTCCGGCGCGACGCACTTGGGGCGCTCGCGCCGCAGCGACGGCGTCGCGAGCGTCACCCCGTTACGCGAGCCGCCGCCGCCGCCGTCGTCGCCCCATCCGTCGTCGGGGAGAAGCCACGCGTGCGCGCGCCCGCCCTCGCCCGCGGCGACGAGCACGCGAAGCGCGGGGGCGTCCGCGGCGCGACCGTCGTCGTCGTCGTCGGCGGCGGCGACGTCGCCGCGGCGCCTCTTCCTCCCGCGCCCGCCGCCGTTCGAGGAAGACGCGAGCGGCGGCGACAGCGCCAGCGCGGTGACGCGGAAATCGCACGACAAACCGCCGCCGCCGCGCGGGGGCGCGCGATCGCTCCCCCCCGCGACGCGCACGAAGATCACGCCGGCGTTCTCGCCCGGCGCGGCGACCCACGCGCCGCTCGGCGACGTCGCGAGCGGCGCGAGCGGCGAAATCGTCCACCCGCGCGTCGTCGCCGCGTCGGCGCCACGTCGGCGCCACGTCATCAGACACGCGCCGACGTGGCGCGGAAGCCTCGCGCTGCCGACGAACGTCGTCGTCGTCGTCGTCGCGTCGTCGTCGTCGCCGCCGCCGCCGACGGAGACGCGCCACGTCGTCACGTCCGTCGCGTCGTCGTCGTCGCCGCGCCGCGTCGCGAACGCCGCCGCCGCCGCCGCCGCCGCCGTCGTCCGACGCGGACGCGACGACGCGGTGACGACCGCGGCGAGCGCGGTCGCGCCGTCGTGACGCGCGCGCAGCACCGCGCGCATCGCGTATTCGTCTGACGTGTCGCCGACGTGGCGCCGACGTGGCGAAGTCGCGGGAGGCTTCGCCGGCGTCGCGCCCCACCCGCGCACCGTCCCCCGCTCGCCGCTCCGCCGCCTCCAGTCGCCTCCGGTCGGCGGCTCGCTCTCGATGTTCCCCCACCCCACGGTGCCGCTCGCGTCGAGACCCCACGCGGCGCCGGACGGCGGCGGCGGCGGCGGCGCGTCGCCGGATCCGGATTCGAACCGCGGCGGCGACGGGAACCGCGCGCGCGCGGGCGTCTCCTTCACGCGCGTCGTCGTCGTCGTCGTCGTCGTCGTCGTCGCCTCCTCCGCGGAGCCGCCGCCGCCGCCGCCGGAGACATCGTCCTCCTCCGCCGCGATCGCGACCGCGGCCGCAAGCTCCGCGGCGTCGCTCAGCGAGTACGCGCCGGGCATCTGCGACGACGCGAGCGGCGCGTACGACTCGGGCGGCTCGACGGACGCCGACGCGGCGACGAGAGGGGGCCCCGCGACGTCGGCGTCGGCGTCGGCGTCGCTCGCGAGCGTCTCCGGCGCGGCCGCGGCGGCGGCGTCCGTCGCGAGCGCGTCGGCGTCCGTCGCGAGCGCGTCGGCGTCGGCATCGGCGTCGTCGTCGTCGTCGTCGTCGTCGTCGTCGCGTCTCCCCTCGCTCGGCGGCGGCGGCGGCGGCGGCGTCTCGCGCTCCGAGGACGCCGGGGCGACGTCGACGCGAAGATCTCGTCGCTCGATCCGCGCCCCCGAGGACGTCGTCGCGCGCGACGACGCGCGTCGGCCGCTTCGACGCCGCGCGCTCGTCGTCGCCGCCGCCGCCGCCGCCGCGACGGCGGCGGCGGCGTCGTCTCCCGCCTCTTCCTCGCGGAGCGCGCGGAGCTCGTCCGCGCGCGCGTCTCGCGCGCGACGCAAGATCGCCCTCGCCGCGCGAAGCCGCTCGAGCGTCGCGCGGCGCGTCGCGCCGTCGCCGTCGCCGCCGCCGTCTTCGTCGCGTTCCCTCCCGCCCGCGCCGCCGCGGTCGAGGAACGACGGCCAGCGCGCGCACGGCGCGACGACCGTCGCCATGACGCCGCGGTGGATGCCGCGCGCGTCGACAGCTGAGCGCGAGCGACTTCAAAATGTTGCAAATGATGACGCGTCGCTAGCGCTATGCAATGAACTTCTCGATTTCAACCTACGTCGCTTTCAAAAGTTGACCGCAACGAACCGGTCAACAACGCGGGTCAAACAAACTATTCAGGCTTCTTCTTCCGCTCCCACACCCCGCACGTCTCTCCCTCGACGTCGTTCTCCAGGTCCTCCTCCTTCAACAAGCCATCCTGCGTCACCCCGTGCGGCCACCCGAGCGAGTACAACCTCCGAGAGTCCACGTACGCGAGCGTGTCCCCGCACAGGCTCCGGATGCCTTTGCGATACGCCGCCAGCTCTTTCGCGTCTGCGAAGGAAACGAACGGTCGAGGGAAGACGAGCGTCAGTCGCGCGCGGCGCGTCGTGATTGGTGGATATCGTTCCCACGTGTCAAAACGTGAGGCTCACAGCGCGCGACGATAAAACGCCTTAAGGAACGGCGTGCACCACGCGAACGGGAGTGTATGGGAAGCAGTCTCACCGGTCATGACGGGCGCGTTCCAATCGCGTCGCCGCGCGATGGCCGCGCGGCTCAGCGTGCTCGACACCTCCGGGTCCATGATCGCTTCGTACCCCTCCGCGACCTTCGCGTTGGGGCCTAAGGTGGTTCGGGTACTGTCGTCTTTCGGGTTTAGGGTTTCGCCGCCGCGAGGGACCACGAGCTGCGCGCACTCCCTCTCGAACGCGTCGCCGTCGATCCATTTCCCGCCTCGCAGATCCGCGTACGCGTCTTCGCCCATCACCCACGTGAACTTCACGTCTCGCCCGCGGTTCCTCCGCGCGATCTCTCTCAGCACGAGCGCGCTGCCGTGCCGCGCGATCCCGCGCCTTCTCGCGCGCTCCGCCACCTCGCGCTCCGCGTGCAGGACGTGGATATTCGTCGGCCGCATCGCGGGATCTTCGATGTAGCGTCCGTCGCCGTCCGAGTGCACGAACGCGAGCACGCACATCTATACAAGCGAATGGCGGGGTGGAGTTGAAAGGCGTCAGATGGAGTTGAAAGGCGTCGAGGACGGGGATTGAAAGCGAGGGGTGGGCGGAGAGACACGCCGGCAAAGTCCTTAAGGATCGGCGTTCACCACGCGAACGCGGTCGTATGGGGACCAGTGTATAGAACGCACTCTGTGTCGATGCTCGTACGCCGCGAGCTCGCCGTCCTTCTCCGCGAACGCGTGCGAATACACGGGGAGGACCCACACCTCGTCGAAGTCCTCCGCGAGCTTCCGCACGAGCGTCGCGTGCCCGCCCTTGGACGTCGGCGGGTTGGCGCTGAGGCCGTAGATCGCGACCGAGCGCACGCTCGCGGGCGCGCGGCGGATCGCGGGCGGGTCGCGGCGGCGGCGGCGGCGGAGGAGCTCGAGGAGGAGGAGGAGCAGCGCGACGACGACGATCGAGGGGAGGGGGACGCGCGGGCCCGGCGCCGACGGCGGGGGCTTGGGGGGCGGCCGGCGCCACGCGAGCGCCATCGGTTCGGTCGGCGCGCGCGGGTGTGACGTGACGACGACGGCGCAATGACGACTTATTATTCCTCGCTCTGCCCGCTCGTCCACGGCGTCCGTCGTCACTTCGACGGGCGCCCTCGCTCGCGTCTCGCTCTGCGACGGCATGGCGGCCGCGTCGCTCGCGGGGCCGGCGACGTCGCTCCGAGCGTCGCCGTCGTCGCCGTCGTCGCGTCGCGCTCGCGTCGCGCTCGGCGTCGCGAGAGAAGAGGGGAAAGTCCTTAAGGAACGGCGTTCACATCGCGAACGGGGTCGTATGGGAAGCAGTCTCCTCGCGACGAGGCGGACGATCGATCGCGATCGATCCGAGGGACGCCCTCATCGCGTCCTCGCGTCCTCCTCCTCCTCCTCCTCCTCCCCCGACGCGTCCGCGTCCGCGTCCGCGTCCGGGCGCGGCGGCGGCACCCCCGGGTCGTGGAACCTCGGCGTCGCGCACTCGGACGCGAGCGCGAGAACCCAGCGCGAGTACGTCGACGAGCTCTTCAAGGCGTACGCCTCGCTCGTCGCCGCCGCGCGATCGGGCGACGTCGGCGCGCTCGCGCGCGTCCTCGAGACGGACGCGTACGCCGCGGACGCGCTCGACGCGAGCACGCGGAAGATCCGCGACGCGCAGCTCGGCGCGGCGGCGAAGGAGGCGTGCGACGCGGGGGAAGGGAAGACGCTCGAGATGCTGTTCGAGCGCGTCGACCTCCGAACTCCGCCGGACGCCTTCGCGCCGAGCGTCGTGAATTCGGAGCTGATGCACCGCGCCGCGCGCGAAGGGCACGACCTCGTCCTCGAGCTGTTGATCGAGAAGTGCGGCGGCGACGTGAACGCGCGCGAGGAAGATGGAACGTCAACCGTCACGGTGTTGATGGCGGCGGCGGCGCGCGGGCGGACCGCGTGCGTCGCGAGGTGCGTTCGTATTCACACTGGTCCCCATACGACCGCGATCGCGTGGTGAACGCCGTTCCTTAAGGACTTTCTCTCCCGTCGTTTCTCTCCGCCCGCCTCTCGCTTTCAATCCCGACACACCTCGACGCCTTTCAACTCCGCTTCTGACGCCTTTGAACTCCACCCCGACGTTCGCTCGTAAGGCTCGTCGCCGCCGGCGCGGCGGTGGACGCGACGTGCGACGACTACCGCGAAAAAAACGGCCGCGTTACGAGCGTTACGACGACGACGTACGGCGGCGTGACCGCGGCGATGCTCGCGGCGACGTACGGCCATCCCGGGTGTCTGAACGTCCTCAGAGCCGCGGGCGCGGAGATGGAACGGAGACGGACCCCGGACGGCGCCACCGCGATGGCGTTGCATCGCGCGCGCGTGGAGGAGGATTTGAGGCGGTTCAAGACGCTGACGGAGCGCGACGCGAGCGACGCGCTCGACCGCGTCGTCGCGGCGCCGTCGCAGTAGGTGAGGTACTGTAGTAGAGATGTATTACGTAGTATTAGCAGCGTTATTCCTTTCTGGTCTGGACATCGCGTCTATAGCGATATACGTAGGATACTCCAAACGTCATCATTATTTCCGATTTTGCGGCGCCGTCCTGCTCGGTCCGTACTTTTTATACTTCTTCCGGAAGCTCCGCTTCCGACTGAACGCGCTCTCGACGCCCTCGCCCCTCCGCGCCGCGTCCCTCACCGCGGCGACCAAGTCCGCGTTGACCTCGCCGTACAAGTTCGTGACGCGCCCGGGAGCCCCCGCGCGCGCGGTGCGTCCGATCCTGTGCAAATAGTCCACCGCGTTGCCCGCGAATTCCGCCTGATAGGGTCGAGGGTTCATTCAAAGCGACGTCGGGGTGGAGTTGAAAGGCGTCAGAAGCGGAGTTGAAAGGCGTCGAGGCGTGTCGGGATTGAACGCGAGGGGCGGGCGGAGATAATCGACGGGAGAGAAAGTCCTTAAGGATCGGCGTTCACCACGCCGACGCGGTCGTATGGGGACCAGTGCGAGATGGGACGCGCCTGGACGACGTGCGTCACCCCGGGGACGTCCACCCCGCGCGCGGCGCTGTCCGTGCACACGAGAACGTCGAGCTCGCCGCGCGCGAACGCCGCGAGGCGCGCCGCGCGCGACGACGCGTCGACGTCCGCGTGGAAGGACGCGACGCGGTGAAGGCCCTGACGCGACACCTCGGCGGCGACGGCTTCGCACGCGTCCGAGCTGTTCACGAACACCATCGTCCTATCGCGTCGCGACACGTCGGCGTCAGTTTTGTCCACGTCAGCAGAAGGTGCGTCCGAACTTTTCGCCAAGGGGATGCCGAGCGCCGTCCCGAGCGCGTCCGCGCGCGTGCGATCGTCCACCGAGATCCACTCCTGCGTGACTCTGAGGGTCGTTCCATTTCAAGGCGAACGTCGGGGTGGAGTTCAAAGGCGTAAGTCGGAGTTGAAAGGCGTCGAAGGCGGGCGTTGAAACCGAGGGGCGGGCGGATATGAACGCCGGGAAAAGTCCTCAAGGATCGGCGTTCACCACGCCGACGCGGTCGTACGGGGACCAGTGTGAGAAGAACGCACCTCTCCACGGCCATGTGGAGCCGCTTCCCCTGCACCCACCGCGCGTCAGGGAACCCGTGCCGGATGATCGCCCCGGGGGTCTTCTTCCCGTTGCTCATCACCGTCGCCGCGGCGAAGACGTACTGCCTACGGAAGTCACGTCCCGCGCCGGAGCCGACGAGGCCCTTGCCGCCGAGCGCGGGGCCGCGGTGGTACCCTCGCGGCCGCCGGTCGCGGTCTCGGCCGCCGCCGCCGCCGCCGACGTCGTCGTGGTCGTCCCTCCAGTCCTTCTCGTACGCCGCGTCGTTTCGCTTCGCGTCGCCGGTCCACCCCGGGTCCGCCGTCACGTCAGCAGAATCACGATCCGCCGCCACGTCACCAAGATCCGACGAATCAGCGCTCGCCACGTCGGCGTCGTCGTCGCTCGCCGGCGGCGCGGTCAATCCCAACGCGGCGAGTTTCTCCTCTCGATACAACACGTCGAAGCACCCGCGCACCGCGCGCAGATACCCCCCGCTCAGCAGCGCGTCCGCCTCGTCGAAGACCACGTGCCTGATGTGCACGACCGCGGGGTGGAAGTTCCCTCGGCGCCACCCGCCGTCGTTGAACCGCAGCACGTCGGCCGCCGCGCGCGCCGGCGTCGCGACGACGACGTCGGGTAAATTTCGATCGTCGAGCATCGCGTTCGGCGTCAACGCGACCGTCCGCACCAGCGGCGTCGCGCCGTCCGCGCGTCTCAGCGAGTCCGCGGCGGCGGCGACTTGCGCGCAGAGCGTCGCGTTCGGGCACAGGATCAGCGCGCCGACGCGGCCGACGCCGACGGCGTTTCGCGCGGTGAGATTCGATATGATCGGCGCGAGGTACGCGAAGGTTTTCCCCGAGCCCGTCTCCGCGGCGAGAACGACGTCGTCGTTCGCCGCGATGGAAGGGATCGCCGCCGCCTGCGTCGTCGTCGCGTCGTCGAACCCGAGCGCGGAGAGCGCGCGCGCGACGTCCGCGTGTAAGGAGGAGGAGGACGCGAGAGACGCGAACGACGTGGACGTCGCGGATCCTTCGTCGGCGGCGGCGGCGGCCGCGGCGGCGTTCGTCGTCGTCGTCGTCGTCGTCGTCGCGCGCCGTCTTCCCGGCGCGACGACCGACGGCGGCGGCCGCGCGCGCGACGACGACGACGACGACGCGAGTCTTCCCATCGCGCGGCACGCCTCGCGCATCATCGCGGCGTTGGAAGTCGTCGTCGGAGCCGGCGCGCGCGTCGCCCGCATCCGTCTTCGTGCCGAATTCTATGACGCGCTTCAGTTGTTGTTTTTTTCCTCGAGTCTGGGGGCGTCGTTTTATCGTTCGTGCTGTGCGCCCGGTTCCGGCCGATCCTCAGCAGACGGCATGCGCGCGGCGTTCGTCGCCGCACGCGTCGCGCCCTCGACCCTTCGCGCCGCCGGCGCGTCTTCTTCTTCTTCTTCTTCTTCTTCGCGCCGCCGCTCCCGCCCGGCCGCGATGGCGTCCTCCGCGTCGCCGTCGCAGGCTGACCTCGATCTCGCGAGCGCGCTCGCGGACGCGTCCGCGGACGTCGTCCTCGGCTCGGAGAGCTGGAGCCGGCGCGCCATCTTAAACGAGATGGGGATCCCGCACCGGACGGTGCCCGCGCGCATCGACGAGAAGGCCATCCGCGTCGACGACCCGGGCGAGCTCGTGATGGCGCTCGCGCGCGCGAAAGCGACCGCCGTGGTCCGAAAGCTCAGGGAGGAGGCGTCGTCGTCGGCGTCGTCGTCGTCGTCGTCGTCGCGACGCACGACGCTCGTCATCGCTTCCGATCAAGTCGTCGTGTGCGACGGCGTCGTCCGCGAGAAGCCCGCGGACGCGGCCCAAGCGCGCGCGTTCATCGCGTCGTACGGGCGCTCTCCGCCGAGCACCGTGGGCGCGATCGTCGTCGCGGACGTCGACACGGGCGCCGTCTTCGCGGCGAGCGACACGTCGACGATCGCGTTTCGAGGACCGATCCCGGAGGCGACCGTGGGTGCGTTTCTGTATTTTTCACCCGCGGCCACAGTCTTTCAACATTTGATCGCGTGGGTCCCTTTCAACTGACCGACGCTCCTCAATGATGAACTTAACTTTTACAGACGCGTTGCTCGAGCACGACGACGGGTTCGTCATGAAGTGCGCTGGAGCGCTCATGGTCGAGCACCCGCTCATGGTGGAACGCATAGAGCGCGTCGACGGCACGAAGGACTCGCTGATGGGGCTGTGCAAAGCGAAGACGCGAGAGCTACTGACGCGAGCGATCGACGACGCGGCGTCGCGGAATAATAATAGGAAAGACGAGCGATGACGAGTCCCTTGGCGACTTACAGTAGAATACGGTAGCGCTTTTATTAGACGTGTGTGGTAGCCCTATATAAGAACGACACGACACGTACCCCCCCTCCCCGCTCGCGCGGTCTTCTTTCTTCTATCTGAGGGCCATTCCATACAAAAACAGTTCACCGGTCAGTTGAAAGGGGACGCGATCAAATGTTGAAACCGAGCGATGGGTGAAAAACTTTTGTATAGAACGCACCTGACGTTCGGGTAGTGCCGCTTATACAGCGCCACGAGCTCGTCCGGCGTCGCTCCCAGGTACCACGACATGCCGATGACCACGTGCACGAACGTCGCCCTGAGGGTCGTTCCGAGGGTACGAAAAATGAATGTTCATCGGTCAGTTGAAAGGGATCCAGGGACCCACCCACGCGATCAAATGCATGTTGAAACCGAGCGGTGGGTGAAATACAGTAAACACGCGCGCACAGAACGCGCCTGAAGTTCCCGAGGAGCTCCACCCGCCGCGCCGACGTCGTCGCGACGCGGTTGACGAGGACAACCTTCCCGCGCCGCGCGCCGTACGGCCGCACCTCGGTCTTTTGAAAACGGTTCAACTGGGGCGGTTTCTGTTTTTGTTCGTCCTCGCCGCCGTTACCGCCGCCGCCCCAGCCGGGAAGGAGGCCGGCCGGGAGCTTCGGGAGCGCGGGCGGTTTCGGTTTCGTCTCGTCCGACGGTTCCGACGCGCCGCCGCCGCCGCCGCCGCCAGACTGTTTGCCCATACCGCCGCCGCCGCCGCCGTCGCCGACCGCCTTGGCGCCCGCCGCGCCCCTCTCTCTCGCCCTCTCCCTCTCCCTCTCCCTCTCCTTCGCGCGCTTCGCCTCCTCCTTCTCCGCCGCGCGCAGCTCCGCGGCGGTCCGCACGCGCCTGGGGTGAACGGCGGGGTGAAAGCGTCGGTCGGCGGGGTGAAAGCGTCCGTCGGCGAAACGTCTCGCCGGTCAAACGACCGACGCGCGTCGAAAGGGAAAGCGCAGGGTGGGTGCGCGTAGAGAAACGAACGAACGACGGGGAGAGAAACAGAACAGAATCCTTAAGAAGGAACGCATCGCGCCGCGCGATAGGGGTGGGTCGTCGTATGGGCAAACAGTCTCAAAACGCACCATTTCCCGTCGCTCGTGAGCCGCCGCTCGACGCGCCGCGCCCCCGCCGGCGTCTTCCCCACCTCTTTCCTCGTCAACCCCTCCTGCGCGTTGATATGCCGTCCCGCCTGATGCATGCGCTCGCACAGGTCCGCGTCCTCCATGATCGGCAGCGACTCGTCGAACTGAGGGTCGAAGGTCCATGCGAAGCGACGAATGTCGGGGTGGAGTTTAGGCGTCAGAAGCGGAGTTGAAAGGCGTCGAGGTGTGTCGGGATTGAAAGCGAGGGGTAGTGGGCGGAGAAAAACGCCGGCGAAAGTCCTTAAGGAATGACATTCACCACGCGAACGGGGTCGTATGGGGACCAGTGTGAGAAGAACGCACCCCGCCGACGTAGCGGAAGTCCACCGCGCGGACGAACATCGCTTGGTCGCCGAAAAGAACGCGGTAGCCCTTCGCGAACGCTCTCGGCTTCAGGGTCGAGGGTCCATACGAAGCATTGTCGGGGTGGAGTTGAAAGGCGTCAGAAGCGGAGTTGAAAGGCGACGCGGGCGGGGATTGAACGCGAGGGACCCTGGGCAGAGAGATGCGCCGGGCGAAGTCCTTAAGGATCAGCGTTCACCACGCGAACGGGGTCGTATGGGGACCAGTGCGAGATAGGACGCGCCTTCAACAGCGCGGGGTATAAGAAGCTCTTGACGACGTTGTGGAAGGACAAGAACCAGAACGTCTTGTCCGCGCGCTCTAACAGCGAGACGAACCCGCCGGCGACGACGCGCGCGTCGTTCGCGAACGTCTCGCGCGCGACCGTCACCGCGTCGCTCGGCACCGTCGTGTCCGCGTGGAGAAAGAGCACGACGTCGCCGCTCGCGGCGGCGGCGCCGTCGTTCATCTGTTTGCTTCGGCCGCGCGCGCCCGCGACCACCTTCGCGCCGTGCTCGGTCGCGATCGCGGCGGTCGCGTCCGCGGAGTCGCCGACGCTGACGATGATCTCGGCGGGGGGCGGGTCGAGCGTGGACAGGTGCTTCAAGACGCGCGCGACGCACGACTCCTCGTTCAACGCGGGAATCACGACGGAGACTGATTGATGAGGGCCGAGGGTCCACGCGAGCGAAGCGAACGTCGGGGTGGGTGGAGTCGAAAGGCGTCAGAAGCGGAGTTGAAAGGCAACGCGCGCCGGGAGAGAAAGTCCTTAAGGAACGGCGTTCACCACGCCGACGCGGTCGTATGGGGACCAGTCAATGTGAAGAGGAAAGGACGCGCCTGACGGCGGCGGTCGCGGGACCGTCTCTCCCGTCGCCTCGTCGACGATCGCGTCAACTCCCTGGTCGTCTCCTGGCTCTTCGTACCGCGGCTCGTGCTCGACGTAGTACCCGACCGCGGCGGCGAGCGTCGCGAGCGCGAGGAGCCAGAACGCCCACGGGAAAGGATCCCTCGGGGGTCGCCGGCGCCGCCCGCCCGAGTCGCCGCCGCCGCCGCCGCCGCCGCCTCCTCCTCCTCCTCCTCCTCCTCCTCCTCCTCCTCCGCCGCCGGGGGTGATCTTGGAGTAGTCCACCTCCCCCCACGTCCGCCACGACAGCGCCTCTTCGAGCTCTTTCTCGTACAGCGAGCGCGATTTCGCGTACTCCTCAGCTCCCGACGACGGCGACGACGCGTTCGATTTCGATGATGTCGACGAGTCCTTCTTCTTCCCCGGCGTCTCCCCCGGCGCTTCTTTCCCGCCTTCTCTCCCGCCGCCGTCGCCGCTCGACGATCGCGGTGGCGACGGCGCCCCGCGCGCGATGAGGTGCGGGTTCGAGCGCACGAACGACGCGACGACGCCGACGCCGACGCCGACGCCGACGCGCGCGCGCTCGACGCGTTTTACGACTACGCTCGAGGGGAGGGTGATTCTGTTTCTGATTCCCCGGAGCGCGCGCGCGCGCGACGCCGCGAGGACGCGCGACGTCGGCGGCGAGACGCGGACGCGGACGTGACCGGACATCGTCGGTCGCGTCGTCGTGTCTCCGCGCGGACAGATCTGACGACGGCCCGGGCGAACTCGGCACGAATGAGAATTGACAACTTGCGAATTTCGGATGAGAGCGACGCGAGAGTCGTACTGAGTCGTAGAAATTGCTGCCTCGGCGCTCGCAGACTCGCTCGCGCGCGCGAGGAGCGTCGCCCGCGACGCCATGGTGAAGGTCCCGGGGTCAAAACCAGAGGACGCCGCGGACGCCGACGACGCGCCGAAGGTGCGCCCTCCCTCCCGCTCCCGCGCGGCGACCTCCCGCGGCGTCCGTTCGGCGGCGTCCAGTCTCTCGGAAGGATCTAAATTCGCCCTGCGCTCGCGTCCGTCGTCGTTCTAAGTTGCTCACCACCACTCCGTCCCATCATCCTTCCCCCCCCCTCCTCCTCCTCCTCCTCCTCCCCCCCGCAGCCCACGCCCGGGGAGATATGGTTCGCGAAGAAGATGGCGGACTACGACGACGCGCGCAAGGCGGCCGCGCGCAAGGTGGTCGAGGCGGACGCCGCCGCACGATCGCGCGCGGCGAGGGACGACGCGGAGACGAAGCGCGCGGCGCGACGACGCGACGTCGAGAGAAGCGCGGTGCTTAAGCTTCGGAACCACGTCGACGCGCGAATGACGGCGTTGCGCGTCGCGAGGGACGAGCGCGTCGCGGCGCGCGCGGCGGCGGCGGCGACCGCGGCGGGCGACGACGCGACGGCGACGACGACGACGACGACGGAATCGACGTGGGTCACGACCAAGCGCCCCGTCTTCGTCTCGTTCGCCGCGGGAGAGGACGCGTCGTTTCACGAGCTCCGATTCGTCGCGCGGTTCGCCGCGCGCATAGAAACCGCCGGCGCGGGGGCGTTATTCCGCATCGAGAGCGGCCACCCAGTGCCCGGGGTAACGCGCGAGGATAAGGCGTTACTACGCGCGGAGGCGGCTAAAGACGCGGAAGCCGTCGTCTTCGTCGTCACGCCGGCTTCGCTGCGATGCGAGCGGTGCGAGCTCGAACGCGACGTGGTGACGACGCGCCGAGAGCCGGTCGACCTCGGCGGCGACGGCGCGCGCGTCCCGTGCGTCGCGTTGCTCGACGCGGAGGACGTCTCATCCGAGTCCGCGGCGCGACCGCCGAGCGTCGACGTCCCGCCGCGGTTACTCGCGCGAGACGACCCGCCCGCGTTTCGTCTCTCGCTCCCGGATCGTCCCGCGGACGGCGTCGCGCCGCACGCGGACCCGGCGGCGGCGGCGGCGCGGTTCGTGCTGCGATCGCTCGTGGACGTTGGGGTGCTGTCGCCGCTGGACGTGGACGTGGACGCGATCGAGGACGTCGCGGACGTCGTCGACGAGACGAAAATTATCGCCAAGACGAGGTTCGAGACGAAACCCGCGACCGCCGCGCCGCTCGACGACCGGCGCGTCAAGGCGCTCCTCGACGCGATGGGCGGGTCGTGGAAGAAGCGCCGACCGCTCGAGTGGAGCGTCGAGGAGGTGGCCGCGTGGGTGTCGAGCTTGGGCGGCGACGTCGGCGCGGCGTCGGAGAAGTTTCGAGCGCTCGGCGTGGACGGCCGCCTGCTCTTCGCGCTCAACGACCAGACGCTGAGACAAACGTTGGGGGTGACGCTCGCGGAGACCCGGACTCGGACGCTTCGGTCGATCGCCGACCTCGCGACCGATCGAACGCGCGCCCTAAACGGCGACACGAGGACGGTTACTTTCGACGGCGGCGACGACGACGACGACGCGGCGGCGCGGCTCGCGCGAATGAACGACGACGAGCTCGACGCGTTCGTCGCGGATCTCTTCGTCGCCGCCGACGCCGACAGATCCGGCGCGCTCGACCGCCGAGAGTTTAAGACGCTTCTCAAGAACGCCAACTTGGGGTTCAGCGCGAAGGAGAGGCAGGCAGTCATGGAGGAGTGCGACGACGACGGCGACGGGCTCGTGTCGTTCGCGGAGTTTTCGAGGGCGACGCGCGGGGTGATTCGAACCGCCGCGGCGCGGCGACGCGCGGCGATCAAATCTCGACGCGGCGGCGGCGGGCGACACTTCGGGTCGACGTTTAAGGTCACGCGGAATACGAACCGTCGTGCGGAGGCGTCGAGCGCGCTGCTGCGCGGCGTCGACCGCGCGACCGTGGAGGGATGCCTTCGTAGGGTGTTCGACGCCGCGGACGTCGATGGGAACGGGTGGCTCGACCGAAGAGAGTTCGCGCGGTGTCTCCGGTCGCACGATTTGGGGTTCACGCGGAAAGAGGTCAACTCGCTCCTGACGTCCGTGGACGGCGACTTCGACGGGCGCGTCCAGATCGACGAGTTCATCCCGGTCGCGTTCACGCTCCTCGTGGAGCGGCTCGCGGACGACGCCGCGCGCGTTGAGGCGAGCTCGAACCCGACCGCGTTGGCTCGCGTCCTGTACGCCAAGTTGAAATCCGCGGCGAAGGGCAAAGACGCGGTCCCGACCGTCGTCGCTCGAGACGCGCTCCTCTCCCTCCGCGACGACGGCATCGGGATCACGCGCACGCACGCCGCGCTCGTGCTCGCGGAGGCGCGCGTGAATTCCGGAAATAAAACGCTCCCGTGGCGGCCGTTCGTGGAAACCGCGGTGACGTCGCTCTGGTCGCTGCTCGACGACGACCTCGCGGCGACGCGGCGGAAAGTCGTCGCCGCCGTCGCCGACGGCTCGGGCGTGACGACGCTCGCGTCGCTCGACCGCGCGGCGCTGCACGGCGCGCTGTCCGCGGCGTTCGCCGCCGCGGACGTCGACGGCAGCGGCGCGCTGGACGTCGACGAGGCGAAGGCGGCGTTGGCGTCCATCGGCGCGACGATCAAGGCGCGTCCTCCTCCTACGTATCTCCTCGCACTGGTCCCCATACGTTCCCATCCGCGTGGTGAACGCCGATCCTTGAGGACTTTCTCTCCCGGCGCATCTCTCCGCGCGCGCCACGGTTTCATCAATCCCGACGCGGCGCGACGCCTTTCAACTCCCACGATCTGATACCTTTCAACTCCACCCTACTGACGCCTTTCATCGATCTCATCCACCCCGCTCGACCCTCATCAGGGCGCGACGGTGCCGGAGAATGCGGCGACGGCGATGATTCGCGCGCTCGACGCGGACGGCGACGGCGTCGTGCGCTACCACGAGCTCGTCGACTTCTTCGTGGACGTGTTGCTGCACGCGGAGAGGGGTGCGTTCTCCTTCACACTGGTTCCCATACGACCGCGTCGCCGTGGTGAACGCCGATCCTTAAGGACTTTTCCCGGCGCATCTCTCCGCCCAGGGTCCCTCGCTTTCAATACCCGCCCTCGGTGCCTTTCAACTCCGCTTCTGACGCCTTTCAACTCCATCAGAGCGCGCGGTGTGCGCGGCGTTGGAGAGCGCGCGACGAAGAGACGACGCGCGCGCCATCGGCGCGGCGGCGAAGGAGGCGGTGTACTTGGCGAGTAAGAGAGCCGAGGCGGACGCGATCGCCGCCGAGCGCGCGTCGCGTCGCGACGCGGACGTGACGGACGCGTGTGAGGCGTTAGCGTCCATGGGCATCGCCGCGGACGACGCGTACGAGACCGCGGTTCGAACGGTCGTGAAACACGCGAGCGAGGGGTTGGGGTCGCGACTGAAAGATAAGAACGCGCGCGCCGGGTGTTACGTCGGGGAATTGCGCGAGAGCGGCACGGGCCGGGATAAGTCTTGGGCGGTGACGTACGTCGCGTCGAACGCGTCGCACGCGTTCGTGGTCGGGAAGACGCTGCAGCCGGGGATCGGCGCCACGTGGCAGATCCTTACTGGTCCCGTCGACGATCGCGGGAGTCGACGCGGCGCGGTGCTGGACGTCGAGGACGCCGCGCGCGCGGGCGCGGCGTCGCTGCGACCGGCGGAGGGACCGCGCGCGTCGCGACCGACGTCCGCGGCGGCCTCAGGCGATACCGGGGGATACGAACCGTCGCAATCCACGACGGTTCGCGTCCCCCCGCCGCTCGAGCCCGGCGCGTACTTCGCCGCCGCGTTCGACGGCGGCGGGCGGAGAGGCTTCGTCGCGATCGACACCGTCGGCGTCGCGCCGCCGCGCGTGACGCACGGCCCGCGGGAATATTCGGTGCCGATACTCGAGGACGACAAGGCGCTCGTGATGCGCGTCGCGGAGGCGCTCAGCGCGTGCATGGAGGGCGCGCGCGAGGCGAGGGAGCGCGCGCGCGACGAGGCGATGGTCGCCGCGAGGGAGGCGTTCGACTGCGAGGAAGCGAGGGAGGCGAGGGCCGCGGCGAGGGCCGCGGCGAGGACGGCGGCCGAGTGAGGCGAGTCGCGCCGCGGGCGTTCACAGAACCACGACGACCGCGGTTAGCGATGGCTCAGCGTCGTCAATAACTAGTGCTCGTCTAGTTTAAGCCGCCGATTGGGTGAGGCCGATGCTCGAACCGAGCTCGATGAGTCTTCGGAGGCGTTTTGCCGCGAAAGCGTCGCCCTTCTCTGCGGCTTTCGTGTACCACTCTATGGCCTTGGAGATGTCTTTCATCACGCCGCGACCGTCTTCGTAGAGGACCCCAAGGTTATGTTCCGCGTCAACGTAGCCTTGAGCGGCCGATTTAGTGTACCACTTGAACGCCTCCTCGTATCGTCCCTTCTCGAAGTGACAGCTGCCAACACCGCTTTGTGCCGCGGCGTGACCCTTCGCGGCTGCCTTCTCGAAGTATCGCAACGCCGTGTCGAAGTTTTTCTCCACGCCGCCGACACCGTGAAAGTAGAGGGTCCCTACAATGCTCTCACACTCAGTGTTGCCATGCCGTGCTCCCTTCTGATACCACTCCAGCATCTCGGGTCTTAAGTCGAGCGCGTCCGGCTGCGCAGACGCGACTTTCGACGCCCTGCGCCACACCGTGTTCACCTGGGAAAGGGCGACGCGCGTCCGAACGTCCGTGACGTGCGAGAAGACCACGCTCGCGAGCTGCTAGTTGACGTCGAACGTCGGGTTCATGGATTTGACGACATCAGTGAGCTCGGCGAGCGCCCGCCGCGTCGCCGTGAGCTCCGCCCGCGTCTCCACGTGCTCCTCCCTGACGCGTTCGAGCTTTTCTTCTTGCTTTTCGAACCGCGCTAAAAGGAGGCGAAGGGCGTCGCCCGGGGAGACGTCGTCGTCGACGTCGACGCTCGGCGCTTCGCGCGCGGGCGGATCAGGTCGACGGCGCTTGGATTCATTGCTCATGGTGTCCTCGATCGGTCTTGTACGTGCGTCGGCGCGAGAGGAACTGGGGCGGGGACGGGGTCGTCCCCTCCGAGAAAATAACGGCGGGGACCTGCGCAGAACTCTCGCTCTCGTCACCGTCAACTTGTCCGTTTAGAGAAGATGATGCGTTCATTCTTCGTCGTTCCCATCTCGAGGCGCGCGCGGCGAGGCGCGAGACGCGCGCGGCGTCGCTCCGCTCCGCGTGTCGTCGAGAGAGAAGCGCGCCGAGGCGTCGCGCGTCCTCGCGCGAGGCTTGCCCCGCGGAGGAGAGCGAGAGAAGACGACGCGCGGGCGGGAGGAGCGATGGGCGGATCCTCCGTGTATTTTCGCTCGACGCTCGGCGCGTCCGACGGCGCGCGCTCGCCGTCCGACGTCGCGTGGTCCCCGCCCGGGGCGCTGAACCCGCTGGATCCCGCGTGCGCGTCGCCGGTCGTCGCCGTCGCGTTCGACGACGGCGCCGTCGGCGTCTACACCGGTGCGTCGCGTCGATCGATCGACGGCGGTCGACGTCCGCGTCCTCTCGTCGTTCCTCCCTTCCGTCGTCACACGGCACCTTCTGTTCGCTCCTCGGGCCGCGTCTTTTCTTCGTCTCTCGTCCGCTCGTCGCTCGTCGCTCGTCGCGCGCGCCTTCCTGATCCGTCCACTCCCGCGACCGACCGACGTCGTCCGCGCAGAGGAAGGCGAGCCGTTAGACGCGGACGTCGCGCTGATCGTCGAGCCGTCGTCGAGGAAGAAGACCAAGCCGAGCGCGCGCGACGACGGCGACGACGACGACGAACGATCGAAATCGAAATCGAAGCCGACGTCGAAACGGGATCACGTCGCGTGGCACCCCTCGCGGCCGCTGCTCGCGTGCGCGTCCTCCCGCGGCGTCCTGCACCTGTGGTCGCGCCCGGACCGCCACCTGAGCAGAGTTCCCGCGGGCGATAACCTTCACGAGTCGTCGGACGCCGCCGCGGTTGCGAACGGCGGCGGTACAGCTGGCGGCACAGCCGGCGGAGCGCCGATCACCGCGCTGGCGTGGAGCGACGACGGCGCGAGGTTACTCTCCGGCGACGCGCGCGGCGTGATCGTCGCCTGGCGCGTGGACGACCGCGGTCGTCTGAAGCGAACGACGTCGGTGTCCGTGGAAGGGGTGGTGATAACGCACGTCGTCGCGCCGTCGTCGCGAAGTAATACTTCCGGAAGCGCGGCGTCCGCGCCGACGCGGTATTACTTCGCGACGAGGGACGTCGACGACGCCGGGCGAGGCGCGGTGTACACCGCGCGCGACGACGCGGACGACGGCGGCGACCCCGCGCCGTCGATGCTGTTCGAGCTGGACGCGGGCGTCTCCGAGCTGTTGCATCGTCGCGTGAAAGCGGAAAAAGAAAAAGTAAGCGGCGGCGTTTTCGACGGTGAACGGCTGGTGACGGTGCGTTCTATCTCACACTGGTTCCCATACGACCGCGTCGGCGTGGTGAACGCCGATCCTTAAGGACTATTGCCGGCGTGTGTTTCTCTCCGCTCATCCCTCGCTTTCAATACCCGCCCTCGGCGCCTTTCAACTCCACCTGACGCCTTTCAACTCCACCCCGACATAGCTCTGCGTCGACTGCTCGATGAGCGCTTTTACGCCGTCCCCGGGGTCGACCGGCCCCTGGAAGCGGACGTGGACGACGCGGCTGCCGTCGTCTTCCGACCCGGGCTTGGGTTTAGGCGCCGCCGGACCCCGCGCGGTTTGGACGTCGGCGGCGGACGGCGTCGTGGCCGTCGTCAACGCCAAGGTGAGACTGGTCCCCGTACGACCGCGTCCGCGGGGTGAACGCCGTTTCTTATTAAGGACGTTTCTTCCCGGCGTCGGCGTCGGCGTTTCGTCACTCTCCGCGCGTCCATCCCTCCGTCGGTTTCGACGCTCGACCCATGGGTCGCCTTTCATCGACTTCATTCATCGACCGACGCCTTCCGACTCCGGCTTTCGACTCCGCCCCGCAGGATATCGCCGGCTGCGTCCGCGTGTACGACCTCGAGAGGGACGGCGCGAACTACGCGCTTCTGCCGCCGTCGTCCGGCGCGGGGTCCACCCCGGACGTCGCCGCGCGACGGCTGACGTGCGTCGCGTTCGACCGAGGCTCGGGGGTGCTCGCGTGCGGACGCGCGGACGGACGCGTCGCGATGTTCCGACGCGACGCCGCCGCGACCCGGACGACGACGACGCGCGGGCTTGACGCGAACCGTCGCGGAGGATCCGAACCGTCACCGGACGAAGACGCGACGTCGTGGACGCGCGTCGCCGGCTTCGCGACCGCGTCCGGGCTGCGGGAGATCGCGTTCGGGCCCGACGGCGCGCGATCGATGAGCGCGCGCGGCGACGAGACCGCCGCGGCGATGACGCGCGCGACCCTCGACGACAAGACGCGAGACGGCGTCTCCATCTCTCGCGTCAGCGCGTCGGACGTCGTCGTCGAGGCTCTGGACGGCTCGCGGCTGCCCGCGTTCCTGCGCGCGGACATGAAAGTCACCGGCGCGGACGCGACGGCGACGCACGCGCTCGTGTGGAACTCGCGTCGAGCGAAGACGTACGAGCTCGCCGGCCGCGGCGCCGGCGTCGGCGGCGGCGACGGCGGGTACGTCCACGTGGCGTCGTTTAAATCCTCGCGCGCGATGGCGATGCACCGCGAGACCGTGTTCGCCTCCGGCAAAGCGCGCGTCGAGGTGTGCACGCTGAGCGGCGTCGTGAAGGACGCGCTCGCGTACGAGGCGACGCACGGTGCGTTCTACTTTACACTGGTCCCCATACGACCCCGTCGCCGCGGTGAACGCCGATCCTGAAGGACTTTTCCCGTCGTTTCTCTCCGCCCACCCCCCGGTTTCAATCCCCGCCCGCGTTGCCTTTCAACTCCACCTGACGCCTTTCAACTCCACCCCAACTTAAGGTGACGTCATCGCGTTCGACGCGCGCGGGAATTTTCTCGCCGCCGCGACGGAGAAGGGGCGACTGAAGGTGTGGAAGTGTCAAGGCCGGACGCCGAAGCCGCACGGGCCGACCGGGGGGAGACGGATCTGCGGCGGCACCGGCGGCGACGATTCGTATTCCGCCGCGTATTCCGGCGGCGATATGAACGGGCTCCCGCGCGGCGCGTGCGTGAGCGCGCTGCGGGTCAACGGCGACGGCTCGAAGATCGCGGCGTCGTTCGTCGCGTCCGCGTCGGGCCCGAGGCGCGTCCTGGTTCCTCGCACTGGTCCCCATACGACCGCGTTCGCGTTGTGCACGCCGTTCCTTGAGGACTTTCTTTCCCGGCGGTCGTTTCTCTGCGCCCATCCCTCGCTGCTTTCAATCCCCGCCCTCGGCGCCTTTCAACTCCGCTTCTGACGCCTTTCAACTCCACCCCGACGTCCACCTTCAGCGCGCCGCTGGGCGTCGTCGCCGTCTGGGACGTCGACGCCGACGTCGTCTTATCCTTCGACTTTTTGAGACGGTGCGGACGCGTGCCGGAGACGTTCGGGTGGGACGCGCGCGTGGGGTCGCTCCTCGGCGTGCAGACGGGGAAGGCGGAGAAGACGGACGGCGGTGACGACGACGACGACGACGACGCGGGAGAGGATAAAAAATTGAAAACGTTGGAAGACCACCGCGACGACGACGACGAGGGCGGGTTCGACCTCTCGCGCGACGCGGACAACCCCGGGGTCGTCGTGTACACGCTCTTCGCGACCTCCACCGCGATCGCGCCGCAGGAGACGCACCCGCTGCCTCCCGGGTACGAAGCTCTCCTCGGTCTGCGCGCGCCGTCGTTGTACGTGTGCAAGAAAAACCGGGACGAAAACGTCGCCGAGGCGTCGTCGTCGTCGTCGCCGTCGCCGTCGAGATCGGGGGGGGGCGCGAAGACAGACGGCGTGTGCTTCAGCATCACGATGCGCGACTTCGCGGGCGTCGAAAGCGCTTCGTCGGAGACGATCGACGCGTTGATCGCGTTCGCGATGAAACTCGCGATGAAGGACCACGACGGCGCGTACAAAGCGGTGAAGACGATGACGGGCGCGGCGGCGTGGAGAGCGGCGGCGCGCGGGTGCATCCGCAACAAGCGCCTCGAAGCCGCGGAATTTTGCCTCGGGAACATGGGCCACCTGCGCGGCGCGCGCGCGGCGAGGGACGCGAGGAAAGAGCCCGAGCTCGACGCGCGCGTCGCCGCCGTCGCCGTGCACCTGGGTCTGGTCGAGGAGGCGGAGCGTCTGTACGAACGCTGCGGGCGGCACGACCTCCTGAACGAGCTCCTTCAGGCGTCGGGACGATGGGACGAGGCTCTCCGAGTCGCGTCCGCGAGGGACCGGATCCACCTCAAGACGACGCACTATAACCGCGCGAAGCACTTGGAGACGACCGGGGACGCGCGCGGGGCGATCGAGGGGTACGAACGCGCGGGGAGAGCCGCGGACGAGGTGATGCGACTGTTTTTTCAACGCGGCGACGTCGACGGCGCGGAGGCGTACGTGACGTCGCGGTCCGGGCACGACGCGAAGCTCACGCGGTGGTGGGGGAAGTACTGCGAGAGCGTCGGCGAGACCGAGCGCGCGATGGTCGCGTACGAGCACGCGAAGGATTACCTGTCGCTGACGCGGATGTACGCCGCGGCGGGGGAGTGGGACGCGGCGGAGAAAATCGTCAAGGACGCCGACGACGCGGCGGCGGCGTTTCACCTCGCGCGGAGTTTCGAGGCGCGAGACGCGACGAGCGAGGCGCTGGAATTTTTCGAGCTGTCCGGACGCTACGGCCACGCCGCGCGGCTCGCGCGATTGAGGGGCATGGACGGCGAGCTCTTCGCGCTCGCGCTCAAGTCGAGACAGCGACGAACGATGCTCGACGCCGCGGCGTACTTTCTCGAGAGCGGCGACGTCTCTAAGGCGGCGAAGTTGTTTCACGCCGCGGGGTCGCGCGAGCGCGCGATCGAGCTGTGCTTCGCGAGCGGCTTGCACGATCAACTCGCCGGGTTCATCGACGACGTCTTGGCCGCGGGGAAGACTTCGCCCGGGGAAGACGGAACGTCAACCGACGCGGGAGGAGGTGTGGTCGACGCGGCGCTCTTGGCGCGCTGCGCGGAGTACTTCGCCGCCAACGGGCGCGCGTCGGAGGTGCGTTCTCTCTCACACTGGTCCCCATACGACCGCGTCGGCGTGGTGAACGCCGATCCTTAAGGACTTTTGCCGGCGTGTGTTTCTCTCCGCCCATCAGGGTCCCTCGCTTTCAATCCCGACACACCTCGACGCCTTTCAACTCCATCAACTGACGCCTTTGAACTCCACCCCGACGTCGCTTTGAACGATGGAACGACCCTATCAGGCGTTTTCGCTGCTCGCCAAATCGGGCCGTCTCGACGACGCGATCGCGCTCGCGGAGTCGACGCCGTCGGTGACCATCACCGACGAGCTCGCGGACCTCGTGACGCCCCAGAAGAAAGTCGACGGCGAGTCCGCGCTCGAGGAGGAGCGACGCAAGGCGATCACGTGTCGCGTCGCGAAGCTGTGCAAGTCGCGCGGCGCGTATCATCTCGCATGTAAAAAATACGCGCAGGCGCGTTCTATACACTGGTCCCCATACGACCCCGTCGGCGTGGTGAACGCCGATCCTTAAGGACTTTTGCCGTCGCATCTCTCCGCCCACCCCACGGTTTCAATCCCCGACTTCGACCCCTTTCAACTCCATCTGACGCCTTTCAACTCCACCCCGATGTCGCTTTGTATGGAACGACCCTCAGGCTGGCGAAAAGGTGAAAGCCGTCAAAGCGTTGCTGCTCTCCGGCGACCGCGAGAAGATCGTCTTCTTCGCGGGCGTCAGCCGCGCGCGCGAGGTGTACATCCTCGCCGCGAATTATCTCCGCACGCTGCCGTGGCAAGACGACGCGGACCTCGCGAAGCAGATCGCGACGTTTTACCAGAAGGCGAAGGCGATCGACCACCTCGTCGCGTTTTACGAAAGCGTCGCGCGCGCGGAGATCGACGAGTTTCGCGATTACGACAAAGGTCTCGCCGCGCTCGAGAACGCGATCGCGGCGCTCGAGAAGGCGGGCGGCGGCGGCGACGCCGCCGCGAACGCGAAGCTCGCGTCGCTCCGACAGCGCGCCGCGCTCGTCGGTCGGTTCGTCGAGACGAGGGCGCGGCTCAAAATCGCACCCGACGCGCAGGCGTCGCTCGCGGCGGCGCGCGACCTCCTCGCCGACGCCACCGCCGCGGCGCGGCGCGACGGCGACGCCGCCACCGCGAGCGTCGCCGTGCGTCCCGGGGACGTTTACGCGATGATGATCGAGCACGTGTACGCGCGCGGCGACGCGAACGGCGCGTGCGATTTACTGGAAGAGATGTCGCGGGAAGGGGTCGTCGTCGGTCCGTACGTGGACGATCACGTGGTGGCGGCGGCGACGAGAGACGCGGGGCGGACGCTGAGCTTATTGAAGGGAGGCGGAGTTCGCGATTCGGGGTTGGTCCAAGGGGTCACCCTCGGTATTGACGGCGGAGTGGTCGACGAGGAGTGGTCGCCGCCGCCGCCGCCGGAAGACTTCGACGACGACGACGACGACGACGCGTGACGTGACAGTCGTCTGTCGTCTGCTTTTCCATCTCAACTTTAATCGATCGACGACGTTAACTGAATCATCAAATGATCTCTTCGCGCGTCGTCCGTCCGTCCGTCCTCGCGCCGACGCGGCGACGCGCGCGAATACACCCTCTACCTCGACGCCACTCTACACCCACCACTAAGCAGCCAAATTAATGCCACGAATGAGACTTTCTTCGTTTACTGACCGCCGGTGAGCGCCTCGAGCGGGGAGAGGCCGTTCTTCGCCGCCTGAGGGTCGTTCCATACAAAGCGATGTCGGGGTGGAGTTCATTGGCGTCAGTTGGAGTTGAAAGGCGTCGAGGGCGGGGATTGAAAGCGAGGGATGAGCGGAGAGATGCGCCGGGAAAAGTCCTTAAGGAACGACGTTCACCACGCCAACGCGGTCGTATGGGGACCAGTGTATAGAACGCGCCTGGGAGGCGATGCCGAGCATGCCGATCATCGCGAGGCGGCCGTGCTTGAGCTCCGCGGTTTGGAGCTTGAACAGCGCCTCGGCGTCCGCGGACGCCGCGAGGCCTGAACGATGATTAATAACGATTCATGGATTCGGGGGTGGGGTAGGGTTAGCAGATGGTTTACTGGGGTGGGGTTTCGTCGGCGACGAAATGTCCGCGGAGAGAACCGAATTATGAATAGGTTCGCGGAGGCGCGAGGAAAATGAAGAGCCGCTTCGACGCGTATACGCGGTACGCACCGAGGGGATCGAAGTAGCCGCCCGGGTAGCAGCGCTTGTTGGAGTCGAGCTCGGACGAGCGCTTCACCTCCGCGAAGCCCATCGTCAGCACCTCGATCCACACGAGCGTCGTGACCGGGACGTTGATGTCGAAGCCGAGGTACTGCGGCTGCTCGTTCAGAACCTTGCCCGCGTCGACCCAGGAGATGCCAGTCTCGGACTCCGCGACGACCGCGCCGACGAGGCCGAGCATCGCCCAGCGGGAGTGCTGGAGCTCGCACTCGCGGAAGCGGACGATGTCGAACGCCTCGTTGAACGGCTGTGTTATCGCGTTGTGCGTTGGGGTTGTGAGACGAGGGTGGGGGGCGGGGCGGCGTGAGTCGTCGGGTGGGCGACCGGCGACCGATCGATTCGATCGGGAAAACGTCCTCCGCTCGCGGCTCGCGGGGAAAAACGAGCGATCGGAACCGCGGTCGATCGCGGCCGGATCGATCCGGAGTCGCGCGACGCGCCCCTCGCCGCGCGTCCGCCCGCCGCGCGTCGAGCGGGGCGCGGGGTATCGCGCGTAAACGAGAGAGAGAGTGCGCGACGCTTCCGCGCCGCGCGCGGACGCCGACGGCGCCGCGCGCGACCCGTCGTTCACGACGAAGGCGATAAAATGAAGCGTGTCGCGGGGTTTGTTTGAGGAAAAAAAGCGTACCACGATGGTGCGCTCCGTCGGCTTGTTGTCCACCTTCTTGAGCTTGCCGATCACGTTCCCGCTCGGGTTGATCGCCGCGCTCTGGTTGAGCGCGTCGAGGTCGAACTGAAGGTACTCGACCGGCTTGGAGAGCCCGAACGGGTCGAAGCCCGCGTCGCCCGGGAGCGTGCCGTCGAGGTACGCGGGCGGCTCCGGGTTGGACTCCCAGCCGTTCCACAGCGTGCGGTTGGGTCCGATGTTGCCCTTGCGCGCGCCGGAAGACGCGCCGCGCTTCGCGGGCGCGGACTTCTTCTTCGGCGCGGTCTTCTTCACCGGCGCGGCCTTCTTCTTGCCGAAGGCGGCGGACACGTTGAGGGAAGCGATGCAAGCCATGGTAAGGGTCGCGGTGTTGTCCGGACGGAGGCGGAGCGTGTGCGGGAATGAAGCGGTCGCGCGAGACGCGAGCGCAGATATCGAGCGAGACCGCCGCGGCTTCGGCCAATGAGATTTCCGCGCTGGCGCGCACGCGATCTTCTCTGTCGTGCTGACTGATTGCGCGTACGGCGAGTACGCGCTCGCGTAGTACGCGAGTGCCACTTGTCAGGAATCAGGTCTCGTCGCGGGTTTTGGTTTTTTTTGGCAGCGCCCGCTCGAGCGAGAGTGGGCACCGAGCCCTCTGTCATTTCGACGCGCCGCGTCGCTCATCTCTAGTAGTCCTCGTCGTCATGCCCGCCGCCGCCGCCGCCGCCGCCGCCGCCTCCGCCTCCGCGGCGTCCCGCGCCGCGCCGCTCTCGACGCCGCGCGCGTCGCGCCGCGCCGCGCCGCGCGCCGCCGCGCGGTGCGCGGCGTCCAACACGACGAACGCGCGATTCGCGCTCCTCTTCGACTGCGACGGCGTCATCGTCGAGACCGGTACGATCGTCCCTCCCCCTCCCTCCCTCCTCGACGAACGAACGCGGATCGAACCCTGACCCCGCCGCCTGGGTTCGAGCCCGAGGGTAGCGGCGACGGCGCGCGTCGCGTCGCGTCGCGCGCGGCGTCGCCCGACGCGCGCGCGCTTCTTCGCTTCCGTCGTTCGTCCGGCCGTCTTATCCTCCGCCCCGCTCGCATCTTGTTTATACATCGACATCGCATCTATCGACGCGCTCATCGTCGTCGCCGCCGCCGTCGTCCGCGCAGAGGAGCTGCACCGCCGCGCGTACAACGCGTCGTTCGAGCACTACGAGCTCACGATCGACGGCGTGCCGCTGAGTTGGAGCGTGGAGTACTACGACGTTCTCGCGAACACCGTCGGCGGGGGCAAGCCGAAGATGAAGGCGCGTTCAAAACGTTTTTCACCCGCACCTCGGTTTCAACGTTTGATCGCGGCCCCTTTCAACTGACCGACGCGACGTCGAACTTTTTTCGCACGCAGTGGCACTTCGGGAAGAACGGTTGGCCGAAGTCTCCGCGGTTCTTCTCCGGCGCGCTCCCCGCGTGCGAGGACGACGAAAACGCGCTCGTGGACGCGCTGCAGGATAAGAAGACGGAATTTTACAAGAAGATCGTCGAGGAGACCGCGGAGGCGCGGCCGGGGGTGTTACGTTTGATGGACGAAGCGATCGCGGACCCGTCCATCGCCGTCGGCATCTGTTCCGCCGCGACGAAAGCAGGTAGGTAGACTGGTCCCCATACGACCGCGTTCGCGCGGTGCACGCCGTTCCTTAAGAAGAGCTTTCTTTTCCCGCGTCCTCGTCCATTTTCACCCACACGATGTGCCACGTCACCGAATCTGATCCCGCGCCGGCCAATAGGCTTCGAGAAAGTCGTTAACAGCGTCGTCGGGCCGGAGCGCCTCTCCAAGCTCGACGTCATCATGGCCGGCGACGACGTCACGCGGAAGAAGCCGGACCCTCTGATATACAACCTCGCGCGCGAGAAAGTGGGTCTCCCCGCGTCGAAGTGCGTCGTCGTGGAGGACTCGCTCGTGGGACTCCGCGCCGCCGTCGGCGCCGACATGCCGGCGCGTTCTGTACACTGGTCCCCGTACGACCGCGTTCGCGCGGCGCACGCCGTTCCTTAAGGACTTTTCCCGGCGTCTCTCTCCGCCCACCCCCCGCTTTCAATCCCCGCCCTCGGCGCCTTTCAACTCCAACTGACGCCTTTCGACTCCGCCCCGACTGACGCCTTCCGACTCCGCCCCGTTTTCCCTCATCAGTGCTTGATCACGCCGTGCCCGTCTTCCGACGTCCCGGACTTTAAGAAGGAGGGCGCGATGGCGGTGTGCGACGACAGGAAAGGTTTGGAAGGGCCGCCGCGGGTGACGGTGAAGGGGTTGTTTCCGGAGGGCGCGGAGTCGCCGTCGTTCGAGGGGCTGTGAGAGCGGGCTCGGAGCGGCGGCGCGCCGCGGTGGTTTTATTCTTAAATTATTTTTTCTGTGCTTTTTATTTTCTCTTCTCGAAAAAAAACGCGCGAGATATTTCGCTCATCACAACCGACGCCCGTCGCGCCTCCTCGGTCCGGCCGGCGCGGCCATGATCCTCCGCGGCGTCGCGCCGAGCGCGTCCGCCGCGCCGGTCGCGATCCGCGCGTCTCGCCGCGTCGTCGTCGCGCGCGGCGGCGGCGTCGCGACCGCGTCGCGACCGCGACGAAGATCGTCGTCGTCGAAATCGTCTAAGGCGCGTTCTATACACTGGTTCCCATACGGCCGCGTTGGCGTGGTGAACGCCGATCCTTAAGGACTTTTGCCGTCGTTTCTCTCCGCCCACACCTCGGTTTCAATCCCCGCCTTTGACGCCTTTCAACTCCACCTGACGCCTTTCGACTCCACCCCGATATCATCGCTCGTATGGAACGACCCTCAGATGAAAGATTCGCGACGACGCGCGACGCGCGGGAGGATCTCCCTCGCGGCGTCGCGCGCGTCGCCCCGAGACGACGACGGCGGACCGTCGCCGCCGCCGTCGCCGTCGTCGTCGTCGTTCGCGGACGACCTCGCGTCCGCGACCGGCGACGTCCCCGACGACGTCGAAGCCGCCACCGCGACGCGCGACGCGAACGCGCGATCCGAAGCGCTGCTCGCCGCGAGAGCGGTCGACGCGTCGCGCGAGCTCCCGCCGGACACGATCGCGCCGATGCCGGAGTGGCTCTACGACCGCCGCCTGGACATCGTGCCCGCGGTCTTCGGGCGTCTGAACCCGTTCAGCGGCGTGCTGGTGTACTACACCGGCGCGGTGTTGGGCGAGTGCGGCGGCGCGCCGCTCGTGGCGCTGCAGTGGATCGCGTTCGTCTTCGCGCCCGCGTTGGCGGCGACGGCGTCGTTACGGTGCGCCACGTGTACCAACCGCGCGATTTGATTGGCCGGTTGGCTTCCTCGTTTTCCACGTGTCGATTCGTCGGCGAGCATCGCGCGTCCACGTCATCGCCACGTCAGCACCGACCGACGCCCACCCGCCCTCCGCGTCGTCGCCAGGTACTTTTGGCGCGAGCGGCGCATCCGGCGTCGACGCGAGAGAGCCGCGGCGAAGGGCGCGTCGCCGCCGCCCCCCGAGTACCCGTGGGCGCGGTCGTGCCGCCCCGCGTGGCTCGATATTCACTTGGGGTACGCGCTGCTGCTGCCCGCGGGCGCGGCCGGCGGCGAGGGCGCGAGCTGGTGGCTTCTGTTGGCGCCGGCGTTCATGGCGATTCGATTCGTCGGCGGCTTGAGGCGCGTTCATATTTACACCGGTCCCCGTACGACCGCGTCGGCGTGGTGAACGCCATTTCTTAAGGACTCACTTTATCTCCTCGCGCCGGCGGTCCCGGACATCTTTGCCTTTCTTTGAACTCCACCCCTGACGCATTTCGACTCCGCCCGACGTTCGCTCGCGCAGACTCGGAGGCGGCCGACGGTTCGCGTTCGGCCGTCGCGTCTTCGCGATGGCGAAACGCGTCGTCTGCGTCGTCGGCGGCGCCGCGTGCCTCGCCGCGCTCCTCGCGAACGCGTCCGCGACGCTGAAACTCGCGCTCGCGGGCTTGGAGGGCGGCGGGTGGGTCGCGTACGCGCTCGCGCCGTTGGCGTTTCTCGCGACGTTCCTCTTTTACCTCGCCCCCGCGGCGTTATTACCGGGCGCGATATCGCGCGCGTGGCGAGGCGAGGGGTTCGATAAACCTCGCTTGAAAGACGAGGACGAGACGGCCGCGATGCTGCTTTCGCTCACGAAGGGTTCGGGCACGGGTTCGAGCACGGATTCGAGCACGGATTCGAACGCCGCCGCGCGGTCGGTCGCCGCCGCGAAAGAGGCGGACGAGAAGCGGAAGAAGAACGCGTGGACGGCGATCGGATTCGTCGCAATGGCGGTGCGACCCCCGCCGAGACCTTCGAGCCGCCTTCCCGCGCCGCCCTCCTCCCCCCGTCGCTCTCTCTCGTCCAACGAAACGTCCACGTCATCAGCACACTCACCAATCGCATACCTTCCCGCCCCAATCACAGGCGTCGATCGCGTCCGGCAGCGACGTCCCGATCTTCGCGTGCTTCTTCGCGCAGCTCTTCTTGAAAGACCCGACGAAGTTGATGCAGGTGATGATAGACAAGGGGGACCCGAGCCGCGCGGAGATGGACGAGAAGCTCGCGGCGAGTGTGGGGGGGGTATTAGGAGGATGGGGAGGAGGGCGCCGGCGGGAGAAGGAGAAGGAGAAGGGCGACGGCGACGGCGCGGCGGCGGCGTCGTCGTAGCTCGTGCCTACGAGGCGCTGAGGCAAACGCTAGTCTAACTACCCTGAATTCTGAACCTAGCTAGTCTACCTACCTAGCGACGGCGTCTTAAGTTATCTTCTACGCGCGCGCGCGGACGACGCTCGCGTCTCAAACCAGTCGAAGCTCGAACACGCGGACGAGCTCCTCGCCGTCCTTTTTGTCGAACGCAACGTCGCGGACGGCAAACCCGTGCGGGCCCGCTTTCGACAGAAACGCCGCCAGGTGCGGATCCGGCGACAGCGGCGGCGTCTCGCCCGTGTTCTCCGGGCGGGGCAGCGGCGGCCGGCGCTCCGTGTGCGCCATGATGAAACGCCCGTCTCTCGCGCGTTTATTACTATTGTTTTGAGCGAGGTCGCCGCCGAGGAGCTTACGCGCGGCGCGCAGCAACGGCGCGACGACGTCGAAGTCGTACACCACGTCGGCGGCGACGACGACGTCGAACGGAGCCGGGGCTGGGGATTTCTTCGACGCGTCGACGACGTCCCCGTCCCCGTCCCCGTCCCCGTCCCCGTCCCGCGCCGCCCACGGATCCATACGGAGGAGTGCGTCGATATCGGCGTCGTCCCTGAAGTCGACGCGCGCGACGCGCGTTTTCACGCCGCCGCCCCGTCGCGGGTCGTCGTCGTCGTCGTCGTCGTCGGGATTCAGGGGCGCTCTATACGAGCGAACGTCGAGTTGGAGTTCAAAGGCGTCAGATGGAGTTGAAAGGCGCCGAGGTCGGGGATTGAAAGCGAGGGACCCTGGGCGGAGAGAAGCGCCGGGAAAAGTCCTTAAGGATCGGCGTTCACCACGCGAACGCGGTCGTATGGGGACCAGTGTGTGGAACGCGCCTCAGATTCAGATTCATCGCGACGTTCTCTCGCAACAGCGACACCGCCCGCGGGAGCTTGTCCGTGATGATCACCGCGTCCTTCCTCTTCTTCTTCCGCGACGAAGATCGCAGCGCACGCGCCGCGACGATCCCGACGACGCCCATCCCCGCGCCGAGCTCGACGACGCGCGTCCCGGGGCCCGTCGCGCCCGATCCGCCGCCGTCGCCGTCGTCGTCGTCGTCGACCGTCGCGGTCATCGCGATCGCGCGTCGCACCGCCGCGCACGCGCCGCGGACGCCCGTCCACACGAGCCCGAGGCGCATGCGCTCGCCGCCGTCCATGACGCCGTCGTCGTCGTCCTCCTCCTCCTCCTCCTCCGCGTCTCTCGCGCGCGTCGTCGACGCGGGCCGCGCGTGGCGATCGCATCGGACCGTCGTCTCGTCGTCGTCGTCGTCGCATCGGCACCCTCGAGGCAACACTCGCTGGTCCGCGGCCCAAACGAGCGCGCAGCGGCGGCGGCGTCGCGTCGTGGCGCGCGGCGGGACCTCCCCATCCTCCTCCTCCTCCTCCTCGTCGTCGTCGGAGTCGGAGTCGTGGAAATGCACGAGGCGAAACGCGTCGTCGTCGGCCATCGCGCGCGGCGGGCGGCGGCGTGGCCGACACTGATGAGAGCGACGAACGTGGGGCGGACTCGTCATCAACGCGCGAACACTCAACGAAGAAATTCATGCGCCCCTCCGCTCGTCCGTCGCGCACAACGCAGCGCGCGGTGGACCCTCCACCCCCCGAGGAAGCGCGCGCGACTTTCGCCGCGTCTTCGCCGCCCGTCGCCGCCCTCGTCGCGCCGTCGTCGTCGCCGCCCGCGCGCGAGCGAAGCGAAGCGAAGCGCGCGACTCGACGAGATCGTCGTCCGCCTTTCCATCGTCCGTCGATCGCTCGCGCGACCGCGCGTCGTCACGCCGCCGTCGCCGTCATGTCGCGCCCGCAGGAGTTTAAGAACCGGCCGGGCAACGTCGCGAAGGTCGTGACGTTCGACTCCACGCAGCAGCAGGTCGCGGTGTACGAAGCCTCCGACCCTAACGAGGTGCGCCCCCCGATCGGCGGAGATCTCGCGTCGATCGATGAACCCCGCCGCTCGCGCCGCGCCGCGTCCCGCCCGCCGACCCCACACCAAACCCTAATAACCCTAACCCTCGTAACCCTACCCCACCGAAACCACCATCCGTCATTCCCCAGGGCAAGACCGGCGACCCGGTGAAAGACCTCGAGGCGAAGCTGAACTACATCACCGAGGCGGTGCCCCTCGTGGACAACATCGTCGCGGGCTCCACCGCGGGCGCCGGCTCAGGCGCGTTCTGTCATCTCACACCGGTCCCCATACGACCGCGTCGGCGTGGTGAACGCGATCCCTTAAGGACTTTCTCACCCGGCGTGTCTCTCCGCCCATCAAGGGTCCCTCGGTTTTAATCCCGACGCACACACCTCGACGCCTTTCAACTCCGCTTCTGACGCCTTTGAACTCCGCCCCGACATTCGTCGCTTTGAACGATGGAACGACCCTCAGGGGAATTCCACACGTATCGCATGCACCGCCGCCGAGAGATGCTGCGGCTGAACGCGATGCACGCGGAGGACAAGGCGAACGCGGCCGAGGAGGCGTTCCGGAAGCGCCGCGCGGAGGTGGACGCGATGGAGGAGGCCAAGCTGGAGAAGAACCGAAGCAAACGCGCGAAGAAAAAGGCGAAAGTCGCGGCGGCGCGAGAGGCGAAAAAGGCTGAGAGAGCGGCGTCGAAGAACGGACGCGGCGACGGCGGGGGAGGAGACGGCGGCGGCGGGGACGGCGGGGACGGGAAGGAGAAGAGCGGCGGGAGCAGCCCGAGGGATAGCGACCAGGGCGCGGGCGCCGCGGACTTCGAGACGCTCGATTAGAGAAGATGTCAGCGAGCACCACGCGGACAGGAACGAACCTGAACCTGACTCTATCCGCGAATAATAATGCACTCTCCGCCCGTCGCCGCGCCGCACTCCGAGCCGCGCGCGGGCCATGTCGTCCGTCGCGTCGCTCGCGCGCGCGGCCGCGATCGCCGCGCCGGCCACGCGCCGCGCCGCGCCGCCGCGGCCGCGCGCGTCGCCCCGCCGGCTCCCTCGCGCCGCCTCGCGCGTCGCCGCCTCGTCGTCGTCGTCGTCGTCGTCTTCGTCCCCGGACGACGCCCCCGCGCGCAGGCGGCTCGAGCTGACGCCCAAGGGGGACGACACCCCCGAGCAGATCCTGCGCGTCTCGCGCGGGACCTCGTTCGAGGGCCTGAAGGTGGCGCGGCGAGACGCGCTCGAGGCGGCGAACGCGGAGGGAGGCGGCGGCGCGGCGCGCGTCGCCAAGGTGGAGATGGCGTTCGACGCGCTCATCGCGGAGTCGCGGAACTTTTTCCTCGGCGCCGTGGAGAGCGCGCCGACGGACGCGAACGCGCGGTTTCGGCTCGGGAACTTTTACCAGACGCTGGAGAAGTTCGACGACGCGGAGAAGTGCTATCGCGCGGCGGCGGCGCTGGACAACGCGCACGTGGACGCGATGAACAACCTCGCGATGATTCTCCAAGAGCGCGGCGGCGACGCCGTGGACGAAGCCGAGGCGTACTACCTCCGCTGCGTCGAGGTCGATCCAAAGTACGTCGCACGCCACGTGTCAACCGACGTGTTGTCAAAAACGTGTCGCCTTGATCACATTCATATCTCGACCAATCGATAGCATCCACGTCATCGCACCTGACCAATCGCATCCTCCCACGTGTCACTCGCTCATCAGGTGCGTCGACGCGATGTTCAACTGGGCGACGTTGAAGCTGCAGTGCCGGCGAGATCTAGACGGGTGCCGCGTCCTCATCAACAAGGTCGTGGAGATCCAGCCGGAGCTGAGAGACCACCGGCTGGTGAAAGCGCTGAGGGGGGAGGAGGAGGCGGTCGAGGCCGCGGGGGGGGGGTTCGCGGACCAGTCGTGACTGACGCGCGGCCGCGACGGACCGACCCCGAGCGCGATAAGTGTATACGATGAACGACGCGCTCGTGAATGATGCGAATCTACTATTGTATGCTATGCAAACGCTCCTCCCTCGCGTCGTCGAGGGGACGTCCCGCCGCCCGCCCGCCCGCCTCAGACGTCTCCATCCAGAGACTGAGACTTCTCTTCTCTTCTCCCCAAACAGACCTCTCAGACTTCTCTCAGACTTCGATCTCGAACACCTCGTCGCCGCCGCCGTCCGCCCTCGGCGGATCGGGCTTCTTCGCGAGCGGCGCGTCTTTCCAACGCAGCAACGCCCAGTCCACCCCTTTGAAAAACGGGTGCGCCTTGACCTCCTCCGCGCCCCCTCTCGTCCCCAACCGCTCGCTCGGATCGCGTCGCAGCAGCTGCGAGAGCAAATCCTTCAGCTCCGGGCTCGTCGGCGGGTTCGACGGGAAGCTGAGCGGCTGAGAGATGATGTTCTGAAACGTCGTTCCATACGAGCGATGATATCGGGGTGGAGTTGAAAGGCGTCAGAAGCGGAGTTGAAAGGCGTCGAAGGCGGGGATTGAAAGCGAGGGACCCTGGGCGGAGAGAGACGACGGGAGAGAAAGTCCTTAAGGATCGGCGTTCACCACGCGAACGGGGTCGTATGGGAACCAGTGTGATACTAGAACGCGCCTGAAACGTCTGCTCGCGTTTCGACGCGCGAAACGGCGTCAGCCCGAACACGCACTCGTGGATGAAGATGCCGAGCTCCCACCAGTCGATCGAGCTCGTGTGCCCCGTGCTGTTCAACACCTCCGGGGCGAGGTACTCTTCCGTGCCGACGAAGGAGTTGGTGAACGCGAACGGCTCCGCGACGAGGCGCGGGGTGTCGCGGCGGGTCGCGGGGTTCGAGCCGCCGCCGCCGCCCTTGCCGCAGAAGCCCCCCCCACCTCTTGAACTCGAACTCTCCGAGCCGGCGTCCGACGGCCGACGCTCCTTCTTCCCGCCGCCGCCGCTTCCCCCCCCGCCGCCGCTCCCTCTCCCGCTCCCGCTCGTCGTCGCGCTCCCGCCGCCGGCCACGACGTCCTCGCCCTTGCCGTCGATCATGACGACGTGCGCGCGGCTCGACGCGCAGTAGGAGAGGTCAAAGTCCGTCACGATGACGTGTCCGTTCCGACGCAACAAAATGTTCTCCGGCTTCAAGTCGCGATAGATGAAGCCCATCAGGTGGAGGTACTGCAGCGCGCACAGAACCTCCGCGGCGTAAAACTTGGTCGTCGCCTCGGTGAAGCGCTTCCCGGGCTGCTTTTGCAGCGTCTCGTACAGCTCGCCGCCCTCGCAGTACTCCATCAAAAAGTACAGGTGCGTGTCCGTCTGAAACGCCGAGTACAGCGTCGCGACGAACGGGTGATCGACCGCCTCGAGAATTCGACCCTCCGTCCGCACGCGATGAAGCTTGTTTCGATCCACCATCTCCTGCTTCACGAGAACTTTCATCGCGAACTTCGCGCTCGGCGCGTCGCGCAGGCTCACGAGGTGCACCGCGCCGACGTCGCCGTGCCCGAGCCGCGTCAACGGCGTGAAATCCTCCGGCGCCAAACGCTCTATACAGGCGAACGTCGGGGTGGAGTTGAAAGGCGTCAGTTGAAGTTGAAAGGCAACGCGGGCGGGGATTGAAACCGAGGGGTGGGATGGGCGGAGAGATGCGCCGGGAGAGAAAGTCCTTAAGGATCGGCGTTCACCGCGCCGACGCGGTCGTATGGGGACCAGTCAGTGTGAGATGGAACGCGCCTGGTCTCCCCGCCGCCTTGTGCGCGGCCACGATCTTCCGCAGCGCCGCCCAGTTCGCGTCTCCGGCCTGGTGCGGCTTCGGCGCGCCGAGGCGGCCGACCATCCTCGCCCACGGCAGCTCGCCGTCCGCTGCAGTGAGCCCGCCGATCGCTTCCAAGACTTTTTTCGTCGCGGCTTTCGACTTTGACTTGCCCTCGTCGTCGCCCGAGTGCCGCGGCGTCGGCGCCTTCGTCTGCCTCAGAAGCTCGACGCTGTCAAGGCGGCGGCCGTCCGCGTCCGTGTACACGGTCACGTCCACCTGCACCCCCGCGAAGAACCTGACCTCGCCCGCGTGGTCCCTGACGGGCGCGAGCGTGAACATGTTCCAGAACGGTTTCCCTTGCTTCGTGTAGTTGAGCAGGCGAACCGTGCACTCTCGGTTGTCTTTGATCGCGTTCCGAATCTCCTTCACCGCGTCGCGGTCCGTCCCCGCGCCCTGCAAGAACCGGCAGTTCCGCCCCAAGATCTCCTCGCGGCCGTACCCGGTGAAATCCAAGAACCCGTCGGACGCGAACACGATCGGGCAATCCGGCAGCGACGGGTCGCTGATGAGAAACGACTGCTGAATGCGTTCCATCGTCGTCGCCATGTCCAGCCCCTCTCTCGCGCGCGAGTTCCTCGTCGCGTCCGCGTCGATCCCCTCGCCCTTCATGACCGCCTTCTCCACGTCCTCCACGCCCGGGTAGTTCTGGTCCTTGAGTCTCTGGTCGTACCGAACGAGCAGCGGCAAGCCTTTCTCGTCTTTGGGTCGAGGGTCCGTACGAGCGAGCGATGATATCGGGGTGGAGTTGAAAGGCGTCAGAAGCAAGCGGAGTTGAAAGGAGGTGTCGAGGTGCGTCGGGATTGAAACCGAGGGACCCTGATGGGCGGAGAGATGCGCCGCAGGGAAGAAAAGTCATCAAGAGACGGCGTTCACCACGCCGACGCGGTCGTACGGTAACCAGTGCCCGGAGATGACAGAACGCGCCTTTGGCGCCGACGACGCCGCCGTCGCCGACGGTTCGTCCCACCTCGCCCTCCGTCCGGTCCGTTACGTCCACCTGCACGCCGATGAACTTCGCGACCGTGCCGTCCTCCATCTTCACCGGCGCGATCGTGAGAAGGTTCCAGAACGGCGTCCCGTCCTTCTTGTAGTTTTGGAGTCTGAGGGTCGTTCCATACGAGCGAACGTCGGGGTGGAGTCGAAAGGCGTCAGTTGGAGTTGAAAGGCGTCGAGGGCGGGGATTGAAAGCGAGGGACCCTGGGCGGAGAGACACGCCGGGAAAAGTCCTTAAGGATCGGCGTTCACCACGCCAACGCGGTCGTATGGCGACCAGTGTATAGAACGCGCCTGATGGTCAAACGCTCGCCTTTTTGCACGGCGTCGCGAATCTTTTGCACGTCGTCGCGATCGGTGTCTTCGCCCTGCAGGAACCTGCAGTTGCGGTTGATCACCTCCTCCGCGGAGTACCCGGTCATCTTCAAGAACCCGTCGGACGCGTACACGATCGGACAATCCGGCAGCGTCGGGTCGCTGACCGTGAACGTGTGCCGGACCGACGCCAGCGCCATCGTCAACCCTTTCGACGCCTCGGGCGCGGCGATCCCGCCGCTCTCGTCGACGGTGTATGACACACCCTGCGGCATCTTATCCGGCGGGACCTGACCGGACATCGCCGCCATGACGCGCCGCGCCGCGCCGCCGCGATCGGCCCTAGATTCGAACGCGACGACGCCGGGGAGAGATCGATCGACTGACGACGCGGAGATCGATCGATCCAGCTGGCGCCGCGCCGGGCGGATCGGACGGAAAGCTCCGGATAACGTTCGCGCGCGCGACGCGTTCGACGCGCGTCGTCCCCGACGCGACGCTCCGGCGCTCGACGCGAGATTCGACGCGCGCGCGCGTGATCGAGGACCGGCGCTCGGCGCTCGTCGTCCGTGCGCGACGCGGGTGCGGGTATGGCGACGCGTCACCGCGGAGGACTGATCGATAAAAAACCACGTGGTGCAGACGAGATGGTAGCAATTTGGTGTGCCGATGCCGAACCTCTCGGATTATCTCGGCCAATCGAAGGTCCGGAGTCCGTTTTCTGACTAGTTTCTCATACAAAACGTACTGTACTAGCTAGATATCATACTACTTTCGTACTTTCGGCGCCGCCCGATCGAGCTCGTTCGCGGACCGATACCGCGGCTACGACGCGGTCGTCGCGGCGACGAGGGGCTCGCGCGCGCGCGGAGGCGGCGGCGGCGGCTTCTGTTTCGGAGCCCCCTCCGCCACCGCCGCTTTCTCGCCTCTTTTCTCGCCGCCTTTTTCGCCGCCTTTCTCGACGCGGCGGCGCCTCGGCGGCCGCCGCCGCGACGCGCCGCCCGTCGCGTCGGGCGAATCAGCGCCTCCGTCCGCGCCGCCGCCCGCGCCCGCCTTCTCCTTAGTATCCTTCTCCCTCTTCCGCGGCCGTCGCTTCGCGCCGCCGCCGCTCGGTTTTTTCGCGCCTCCCTTCTCCGCGGGGGGCGACTCCGCGCCCTTCTTCTTCTTTTTCTCGGCACCCGCCGGTTTCTCTCTCGGCTTCTTCGCCTTCGCCTTCGCCTCCGCTCTCGCGGCTTCCTCAGCTCTCGCGGCTTCCTCCCTAGCTTCCGCCGCCTCCGCCGCCTCCGCGACCGCGAGCGCCCTCGCCGCCGCCTTCGCCGCCTTGATGTTCTCCTCCTCCGCGGTCAAGATATCCCGCAGACCCCCTCCCGCGAGCGGCGGCGGCGAATCCGGGACGTACCACGACCGGCTCTGCGCGCCGTCGACCGCGAACCCGCCGGTGACGCGGCGCGGCGACGACGACGACGTATTATTATTATACGACGATGCATACGCCGCCGCGGCTTCTTCTTCTTCGCGTTGAATCGCCGCGAGCGACGGCGACGTCCCGCCGCCCGCGGGGCTCCGCGACGACGAAAAAGAAGACGCGCCGCCGCCACCGCCCCACGCGTTCGACGTAGGCGAGGTAACGCCATCGACGCTGCCGTTTCCGGTTCTTCGCGCGGCGCCGCGGCCGCCGTACGACGCGCCGAGCCCCGCGAGCGCGCCGAGGGAGAGCGTCACCGCGCCGACGACGGGAGAGGAGCCGCCGCCGTCGTCGCACCGAGGAGGACGCGAGGGCAAACGCGAGGGCAAACGTGCGGCGGCGGCGGCGTACGCTTCGCCCGCCGCCGCCGCCGCCGCGGACTCGCGCGCCTGCGCGTCGAGGATCGCGCGCATGCCGCCGCCTCCCATCGGGCTTCGAGCGCCAGCGCCGCCCGCGACGACGGTGGGCGACGCGGCGCCGCCGCCCCCCGCGGCGGACCACGCCGGAGTCGTCGCCGCCGCGACTGACGCGACGTCTTCGTCCTCCTCCGCCGCCGCCGCCGAAGACCTCGCCAACGCCCGGGAGAGCCCGCCGGCGAGGAAGAACGACCGACCACCGCGCGACGCCGTGCGGTGCGCTCTCGACGCCGCCGCCTCCGCGGCGCGACGCGTGTTGGAGGACGCGACCGACCGCGTGTCGGACAGTGTCGGACATTGTCGGACAGAAGGCGCCGCGCCGCGGACGAGCGGCGCCGTCGGCGCCGTCAGCCAGCTCGTCCCGCGCGGCGCGATCGTCGGCGTCGTCGGGGACAGCGGCGGAAGGCCCTCCCCGGGGCGATGTTCCGATCGTCTTCGTCTTCGCGGCGGCGGCGGCGGCGGCGCGGGCGGGTCGACCCTGACGCGCGCGACGAGCTCGGAGACGGCGACGCGTCCACTTCGCGCGCGCACGCCCTCGTCGTCGTCGTCCTCCTCCTCCTCCTCCTCGTCGTCGTCGTCGTCGGTGACGTCGTCGCGCCCCGCGGCGCGCGCGAACGCGCGCTCGATGTCCCTGAGCGCCGGCGACGCGTCCCTCCCCCCGCGCAGACACTCGCAGTTTCGCTCCGCGAGCGCGGCGTCGAGGTTCGCCAGCGCGAAGAACCTGAGGGTCATTTTCCATACGAAGCGAATGACGGGGTGAAGTTGAAAGGCGTCAGACGGAGTCGAAAGGCGTCGAGGGCGGGGATTGAAAGCGAGGGGTGGGCGGAGAGAGACGCCGGGCAAAGTCCTTAAGGAACGGCGTTCACCACGCCGACGCGGTCGTATGGGGACCAGTGTGAGGAGAAGAACCTCGCGTACGACGCGAGCGCGTCGGCGCCGAGCGCGATGGCGAGGTCCAAGACGTCCACGACGTTCGAGACGTCGAGGACGCGCGTCGCGAGGACGCGCTGGGCGATGCGCGAGAGACGCGGGACGACGGCGGCGGCGGGACCGCGACCGTCGTCGTCGTCGTCGCTTTCGCTTTCGCTTTCGCTTTCGTCGTCGCTTTTCTCGTCGCCGCCGCCGCCGCCGCCTGCGTGGGTGAAGCGATCGGTCAGTCGAACGTCTTACCGGTCAAACGTACGTTGAAAGGGAATCGCGGGTGAAGAGTGACGACGGGAAAAGTCCTTAAGGAACGGCGTGCACCACGCGAACGGGGTCGTATGGGAAGCAGTCTCACCGCCGCCGCCGCCGCCGCCGTCGTCGCCGCCGCTCGTCGGTTCGTCGTCGAACGCCGGACGAAACGCGCGGGACATGACGAGCGCGTGCTTCTCGCCGAGGGCGACCGCGACCGCGCGTTTGACGCCGTGCGGCGCGCGGCGCGGCGCGCGCGATCCGGTCGAGAAACTCGGCACCCTGCGAACGCCGAACCCGCCGCCGTCGAAACTTCTCCCGCCGAAACTTTTCCCCGGGGACGACGCGAACGAGCACCCCGGGGGAAACGCGCCGCCGCCGCCGCCGCCGCCGCCTTCGTCGTCGTCGTCGTCGTCCACAAACGCTCCACATTCATACGTTACATCCTTTACTTCTGTTGGTGGTTCTTCCCACGTGTACACGTCGCCCGCGTCCGTGACCGCGGCGAACCGATGCTTCGCCGCGGCGATCGACGTCGCGACGTCGTCGCCGACGCCGACGCCCCGGACGCGTTCGGGGGTCGCTCGCGCGTCGCCCGCGCGCCATCGCATCACGGCGCCGTCGCTCGTCAGCGCGAGGTTATGCTCGCACCCGGCGGCGACGGCTTGGACGCGAACCGTCGTTGAAGAAGAAGAAGAAGAAGATGATGAATCGTCATCCGCGCGCGCCGGGAACCTACGAAGCGATGTCGGGGTGGAGTTGAAAGGCGTCAGATGGAGTTGAAAGGCGCCGAGGGCGGGGATTGAAAGCGAGGTGTGGGCGGAGAGATGCGCCGGGCGAAGTCCTTAAGGATCGGCGTTCACCACGCCGACGGGGTCGTATGGGGACCAGTGTATAGAACGCACCGCACGCGCGTCGCGCTCGAGTCGCCTCGCCCCCACTGCCACGCCGCGCCGTCCGCGGTCGTCGCGACGGCGTGGTGCTTCGCGGCGGACACCGATGCGACGCGTCGCGGCTTCAGCTGCTCGATCGCGCGCGGCGTCGCGATGTGCGCGCTCTGAATGCCGGTCTGGCCGTGCCCGAGCTGCCCTCGCGCGTTGCATCCGAACGAAAACGCCTCCCCGTCGGACGTCACGACGACGGAGTAACGATTAGACGCGGCGACGGCGACGACGCGACGTCTCTCGAGCGCGCCGCGCACGCGCCGCGGCGTCGGCTGGCTCCCCGTCTCCGCGGCGGCGGCGGCGGCGACGACGTCCGCGGCGTCGTCCTCGAGGACGTATCCTAAGCGCCCGTCCGCGGCGAGCCCCCAGGCGTAGCACTCGCCGTCGTCGGTCGCGACGAGCGAGTGATGCTTTCCCGCGGCGACGGTGACGACGCGGCGGCGAACGCCGAACCCGCGGACGCGTCGCGGGAGGAGCACCGCCTCGTCGCCGTCGTGGATCTTCGCGTCGCGGAGGCCCAGGCGCCCGCCTCTGCCGTGGCCCCACGCGCGCAGCGTCCCGTCCGCGCACGCGGCGAGGCCGTGGAACTTCGAGCAGCTCACGGCGAGTACTCCGCCTCCGGAGTGATGAATGATGGCGTCCGACATCTCGTCGTCGTCGTCGGGCGCCGGCGACGCGACGGCGAGGACGTCGAGCCTTCTCGGCGCGGGCGCGTCGTCGACCGCGCCCGTGCCGAGCTGGAAGTTCACCCCGGATCCCCAGCTGTAGACGTCGCACGGCGTCGCCTCGCGCTGCTGCGACGTCCACGGCGACGTCCACGCCGACGTCCACGGCAAGAGACGCTTGCATCGCGCGGTGAGAAGATCCAGCGGCGTCCGCCCGCGGTGATCCGCCGGCGAGTGCAGCGACGCGCCGCCGCGCTCGAGGAGGACCGCCGCGACGCGGAGGTGGCCGCGATGCAGCGCGCGATGCAGCGGCGTCCATCCTGACTCGGCGTCGACGTCGGCGACGATGGACGACGCGCCTCGCGCGAGCAGACGCGCGGCGCGTCGTGGGGAGGACGCGAGATGCAGCGGGGTCACGCCCCAGCGGTTGGCGCGCGCGTCGCCGCTCGAGCTCGACGGCGACCTCGGCATCGGGCGCCGCCGCCGCGACGGTCGCCCGTCCGCCCTGCCGCGCCTTCGCCTCTGACAGCTGTGCGCTTTTTTTTCTCGGACAGGACAAGTCAGGTCAAGTGTCGCTGTCGACTCGTTTCTCGGAAACTCGAACGCCGGCGCCACTGTGCGCGCCGCGGGGCGTCATCGCCGACATCGAAAACATGTCCGACATCGAAAACATGTCCTTCGAAGACCCGTGGAGCGCGTCGGAAGACGATGAGGAGTCGAGCGCGTCGGAAGACGAGGAGGAGCCCTCCGCCTTCTGTAAACACCTGTTGAAAGAGCTCCGCCGGGCCTATGACCAGCTCGTGGAAAAAAGAGTCGAGCTCCGGCAAGTGAACGCGGCGCACGCTGAGACGGCGCGAGCGCTCTTGGAAGGGAGGAACATGTCGTTCAACCCGAACGAGCAGCTCGCAAGCGTGATCTTGTCCCACGTCCACGACCTTCCAACGCGCCTGGCGCTGTCGCAGGTGGACAAAACCTTCCTCGCGGCTTCGAAGCAAGACGCGAGCTTGCCGGGCCCGGAGGTGTTGTTCGCGTTCGCCGAGAGGTGTGAGGATTACCGTATTTCCAGTGGTATATACGATTTCAAGCCGTGTATCCAGTGGTGCGAACGAGCGTACGCGGCGGGTCACCCCGATGCGATCCTTCAGCTCGGGTTTTGCTACTACTACGGCAACGGAGTCGAGCGTGACTACGCGAAAGCTTTCGAGTTGTTCAGCGAAGGCGCCGAGAAGGGCTGTGCATATGCCATGTACTGGATCGGCCAGTGTTACCATTTAGGCGACGGTGTCGAGCAAGACATGCCCACGGCGATCGAATGGAATCGCAAGGCTGCGGCGAAAGGTAACAGGCATTCACAGGCATGGCTCGCAGAACACGACGACTTCGTGAACTTGTGAGCGCGCGAAAGAGAGCGCGACGAGAACACCGCGACGACGATGTAACGCGACGTGCATCACTCCAACCCCACGGCCCGCAGTATCTTCGGCATATCGTCCGGGATCTCCACCAGCCCCCCCCCGCACACCCCCCCAACCTCCACGTTCTCGATCCCGTCGCGCTTCACCTCGCTCCACGCCGCGAGCCCCTCCGTCACGGCGAGGCTGGACGCCCTCCGAACGAACCGTAACATCCAATCGCGGTCGTCGCCGAGGTACGCGTTCACGACCCGCCCGCTCGTGGCCTCGCGCAGGTGTTTCCACTCCGGGCCGCTCGTGCCGAACGTGCAGCCGACGAGGACGACGTCGCGGATCAGACCGCGGCCGCGGCCGCCGGCGGTTTTGGCGGTCTTATCATCTTCTTCTTCTTCTTCTTCGCGGTTTCCGCCGTTTCCGCCGTTTCCGCCGCCGCTGTCGTCGTCGTATTCGTTCCGTCCGCATAAGATCTCCGCGGCTTTCGCGATGACGACGCACCCGAGGCTGTACCCGACCAACGTCACCGGGCGATTCCCTTGCTGGCGTCTCAGGAGCGCGTTCGCGAGCTCGATTCCCGCGTCCGCGGCTCGAGATTCCACCACCGACCACGGCGAGTCGATGAACGACGCGGTGTTTAACAACGCGACGGGCCACGCCACCGCGGCGGCGATCGACGCGAACGCGGTCTGCGATTGGACGAGAGCACGACGCGTGGATTCACAGATCCATCAGTCAGTTCGCGTGATGATTGGATTGGATCGTAGATATATTCGCTGACGTGGCAAAACGAGCGGTGGCGGGCGCGTACCTGCGCGACGATGCCCTTCGCGGCGTATCCCGCGACGTGCTCCTTCCCGAAACTCGCGAGGTGCCTCCCGAGGTCGCTCAGCGCCGCGTGCTCCCACGCGACGACGTGCTGCTCCCCGTGCTTCAGCGGCCATTGCCGCTGCAGCTCCGCGGCGGCGGCGGCTTCTTCGTCCGCGGATCTCGGCGTCTCCAAAACTTTCGTCGCGGCGACGACGCCGTCCCAGAGTTGAATCTCCGGGAGCGCGCCGCTCAACGCGCCGGGACCAGCCTCCGCGTTTGCGCTCGCGCGTAAGTTGCGCCGCAGCCACAACTCGACGCGGTCCGGGTCTTCCTCGGGTTCCGATGCTGCGTCTGGGGTGGGGGTGCTAGGGGTATTATCATCGCTGGATTTAGGGTTCCCGTCGCGGAGGAGCTCGGCGGCGTAGTCGAGGGAAATCACCGAGTCCCCGCCAACGGCGGCGCCTTCGCGCTCTTCCTCCGCCGTCGCGAGTCGAACTTTCGCGTCCGCGGCGGTCCCGACGGCCAGGGCGACGAGCACGGACCCGGGGGCGACACCCGCGTTGGCGGCCGCGCCGCCGCGCGTCGCGCGGACGACGACGACGTCGCCCGTGGTCGCGTCCCTCGCGAGCGTCATTCCGCATCGGCCGCAATCGAACGACGTCGCCGACGACGAATCAGAGGCTGCCACGTCGGAAGATATTTCTTCCGACGCGTCAGCGCCGCCATCACCGCCTCCGCCGCCTTCACCCGACTTCAGCACGTCGTCGCGGTCGAGCACCGCGGAGTACACGCCGTCGGAGACCCCCCACGCGCGGAAGAGATCCGCGGGATCTCTCGTGAACCCCGGAACGAACAGGTACACGCTCATGCCGACCCCCTCGTTCCGCAGCGGCAGGAACGAAAACTGCGTCAACCCCGACGTCCGGCGCGCCATCCTCCACCCCGTGAGCCCCGCGCCGATGCCGCCGAACAGCGCGGTGATCCCCGCGGCGCCGCCGAAGGTGGCCACGACGGTCGACGCGGCGGCGGCGGCGGCGCCGAGCGCGCCGCCAGCCGCGGCGAGTCCCGAGATGGATCCCATCAACGCCGGCGCGGCGAGGCCGCCGGTGATGAACAGCAGCGCGCCGCCGACGGCCGCCGCGGCGCCGACGGACGTCCATCGCGTGACGTTATCCCCGAGCGACGCCTCTCTTTTCGTCCACGACGACCACGACGTTCCTCCTCCTCTTCCTTTTTCGTTTTTTGTTTTTTCATCCGCCGCCGCCGCCGCCGCCGCGGACGCCCTGAGGGTCGTTTGATTGGTGGGTGATGTGGCGGGAAGTGATGTGATTGGTTAGTTATTTGATGACGTGGATGTTTCATTGGACGAGAGCGACGGAGAGACACGCCGGGGAAAGTCCTTAAGGAACGGCGGTCACCGCGCCGACGCGGTCGTATGGGGACCAGTGCGAGATGGGACGCACTCCACGGCTGCCTTCAAGTACGCCCCGAGCGCGTCCTCCAGCGCGAGCATCGTCTCCCACTCCACGTTCGCCACCTTCGCGAGTCTCCGAACCGCCGCGGACGCGGCCGCGGGGGGAACGAAGAGGGAGATGTCGGACGCCGCCGCGTCCCGCCGGCGCCTCAATCCCTCGCTGGCTTCCTCCGCGGCGACGCCGTAGACCACCGCGGCGAGGATCTCGCGCCATCGCGTCGCGCGCTCCTCGTCGCTCTCCGCCTCCGGCGCCACCGCGCGCGCGAACGAGCGCGACGCGTCGCTCATCCGCGTTGCGAGGTCCGCCACCGTCCTCGGCGCGGGCGTCAGCAGCGGCTCGACCGCGGCGACGCGGTCGTCGTCGAGCTCGAGGATCTTCGTAGACACGAGTCGAAGGAACGCGCGCGCCGCGCGCGCGTCGCCGTCGAGGCCGACGGCGACGCACGCGAGCGCGCCGGCGACGGCCATCTTCTCCGCGCGCTCGAGCGACTTGAGCGGGTCGCCGCGCACGACGAGCTCGAGCAGCGCGGCCGCAGCCTCCTCCGCGCTCGACGGCCTCGAAGCGCTCGTCGACGTCGTCGACGACGCGCGCGAGATGGTCCTCTTACTCGTCGTCGTCGTCGCGGGAGGAGGGGCGGCGCGGTCGTCCGTCGCCGCGACGTCGACGGCCGCGACCGCGGAGGCGACGGCGTCCACTTCCGCCGCCGCCGCCGCGTCGGCGTCGTCCGCCGAAGACATCCTCGGCCGCGCGCGAGGGAGTGACGACGAGAGGCGGGCGCGTCGAGGTGACATCAGATCGTGACGACGACCGTCTCACAGCACAGCTGTGTTCGATACGTTTTCTCGAAAATCATAATTGCGCGCGCGCCGCTCGCGGCGGGACGGACGCTCGCCATGGCGTCCATCTCCCCCGCGACGCCGTACCCCGACAAATACCACGCCGCGACGCGCGCCGGCCGCGTCGTCGAGCGCACGGCGTCGGACGAGACCAAGCTCCTCCTCTACGCGCTGCGCTCGCAGGCGACGAGCGGCCCGTGCGTCATCCAGAGCAAGTGGGGGATGGAGATCGAGGCGCGCGCGAAGTACGAGACGTGGTGCAACCTGGGGAAGATGGAGACGTTCGAGGCGATGCGGCTGTACGTCAAGCTCATCGACGAGGAGAGGCCGGAGTGGTGGAAGAGCGTCCCGAGCGAGGCGGACTTGGCGCGCGAGGACGCGGAGGTGGAGGCGAGATCGGCGAGATCGCCGCTCAAGCCGCGCGGGAATAAATCATCGCATCATCGCGCGTGGCTCGCGCCCCCGTCGCGGCTCGGGTCGATCCTGAGCGAGTACCCCGCGGGACTCGCCGCGCTCGCGCCGGGACGGTGGGCGACGCCGGGGCACCGACACGGCGGCGGGACAGCCGTTTCGGTAGCCGTTTCGGAGTCGCCGCCGGCGCGGTACCAACACGGCGCGTGCGTCGCCGGGACGAAGATGTTCATCGTCGGCGGATCCCGCGGATCTCGATTCCTCGCCGACGCGCACGTGCTTGACCTAAAAACGCTCGAGTGGTCGGCGTTACACACCCCGAGCGGCGCCGACCCGCTGCCCGCGTGCGCGGGACACAGGCTGCTGTCGCACGAGGGCGAGATCTATCTCGTCGGCGGCGCGTTCGGCGGCGGCGGATGGCTCGAACCGAAGCGCTCGCTCTCGGATTTGCGCGATCGCGAATCCGTCGTCGTGTTGCGAGCGGACGTCGACGCGAACGCGCGAACGATCGAGTGGAAACTCGCGCCGTGCACTGGACCCGACGCCCCGAGCGCGCGGAGAGGGATGAGCGTCACGCGCGTCGGGGACGAGTTCGTGCTCTTCGGCGGAGAGGACCGAGGGAGGGATCGATCGTATAAAAACGACGCGTGGGCGTTGCACGTCAAGACGTTGCGATGGCGATGCGTGCACGCGGGGAGTAGTCGTCCGCGAGACGGGAGCGGGAAGAAGAATAAGGGGGGTAATAACGCTTATTCCGCGGACGTTACCACTACACAATCAGAGGAGGTGGTGCCGAGAGCGAGGTGCGAGCACGTCGCGTGCGCGTGGGGCGACGACCAGCTCATCGTCCACGGCGGCGCAGGCGCGTCCTCAGCGGGGTGCTTCGACGACGTCTTCGTCCTCGACCTCGCCACGTCTAAGTGGGCGGCGTGGCGACCGGCCGGGCCGACGCCCGCCCCCAGGGCTGGGCACGCCGCGGTCGTGATCCGCGACCGGTACTGGTGCGTGATCGGCGGCGGGAACGACGCGACGTCAGTCGGCGAGCTGCGCTCGGCGGCGTTGGACCTGCGCGAATCGCGGTGGGTCGATCTCGGCGCCGACGCCGACGCTGCCGACGAATCAGACGCCGCCACGTCGGACGACGCGGACGAATCAGACTCTTCTTCGTCGCGCTGCGCGTTTCCCACGCCCGCGGTCTGCGGCGAGGGCATGTCCGCGTGCGTCGTGGAGTCCGCGAGCGGCGACGCCGCGCTGATCGCGTTCGGGGGGTACGACGGCGCGACGCGGCGGGACGTGCAGGCGTTTCGATTCCCCGACGCGTTTCCCGCGGCGCCTCCCCCATCCCCCGCGAAGAAGAAGGAGAAGAAGGAGAAGAAGGCGGCCGGGACGGCGGGGACCTCGTCGGCGCCGCTCGAGCGCGCGACGTCGTTGGACGCGGGCGGCGCGAAGACCCAATCAGATTCTTCCACGTCGGCGTCCACGTCGGCGTCCACGTCATCGGCGACGGACGCGCTCGCGTCCGACAACCTCCGCCTTCGCGGCGAAAACGCGCGGCTTCGCGACGACGCGCGACGCGTCCTCGCGCAGCACACCGCGCTCGCGAACGCTCTGGAGCAGACCGAGCGCGATCGCGCGCGCGCGGTCGCGGATCGCGACGCGACCGCGAAGAGCCTCGCGGCGTCGAGGACGGCGGCGGCGGCGGCGACGGCGGCGTTGGACGAGGCTCGCGGGGAGATCGCGGCGGCGGCGGGGGAGAGGGACGCGCTGCGGGCGAGGGTCGAGGCGCTCGAGCGGAGAGTGCGCGACCTCGGCGGCGAGGAGGAGGAGGAGGATAAGACCCCGAAAAAAGGATGGTTCGCGTCCTTGCTCCTCGGCGACGATTAAGCAAGCGCGCGAGCGATATCATATCTATTACGAGTAAGTTGTTACTCGCGCGAATTTATAAAACGTACGATGTCATAAAAACGCACGCGCGCGTCCGCGCTCGTCACACGCTTCGCATGATGTCCTCGATGTCCTTCACCGTCTTCGGGCACGTCGTGAGATTATCCACGCCGTCGCTCGTGACGACGAGGTTATCCTCGATGCGCACGCCGCCCACCGGCCGAAACGTCGCCACGACGTCGGCGTCTAAAAAATCCCGCGTCGTCGCGTCCTCCATCGCGGGTCCGAGCAACCCGTCGACGAAGTAGATCCCGGGCTCGCACGTCACCACCTGGCCCTCGAGCAGCGTCTCCGGGACCGGGCCTCCCGGGCCGACGTCGTGGACTTGCAACCCGAGCAGATGCCCGAGCGAGTGCGGCAGGAACAGCGAGACGACGCCCGCGGCGACCGCGCTCTCCGCGGTTCTGAGGGTCGAGGGTCGGGGCCAGGGCGGCGTTCAAAGGCGTCAGAAGCGGAGTTGAAAGGCATCGCGGTGTGTCGGGATCGAAACCGAGGGACCCTGGGCGGAGAGAAACGCTCGCGGCAAAAGTCCTTAAGAAACGGCGTTCACCACGCCGACGCGGTCGTACGGGGACCAGTGTGGTGAGATGACAGAACGCGCCTGTCTCTCTTGATCACCCCCAGGTCGATCAGGCGCTGCGCGGTGCGAACCTTCGCGCTCTCGCCGATCGCGCGCCAGTTGATCCCCGCCCTGCACGCGTCGATCGCCGCGCACTGGACGTCCAACACCGCCTCGTAGACGTCTTTTCGAATCGCGTCGAAGACCCCGCCGACCGGAAACGTCCGCGTGATGTCCGCGGTGTACCCGCGCCATTCCGCGCCGGCGTCGATGAGAATCAACTCGCGCGGCGCGACGAACGCGTCGTTTCGCTCGTAGTGCAAAGTCGCCGCGTTCCGCCCGCCGCCGACGATGGACGGGTACCCGAGGTGAAGCAAACCCTCGCGCATGCAGTGCGCCTGGAACGCCGCCTCGAGTTCGTACTCGTGAACGCCGCCGCGAGCGCTCTTCGCGGCGATCGCGGCGGCGCGCATCACCTCCGCGTGCGCGTCGCCGCTCACCGCGTTGGCGCGGCGAAGGCAATCGATCTCATCCTCCGTCTTGACGTGCCGCGCGCGCGCGAGGACGCGGTCGAGCGCGGTCCGGTCCACCCGCAGCGAGGCGAGCAGCGAGTTATGGGTCTGGTGCGACGCCTCGCGGTTATTTGTCGCTTTCGAGGAGTCGTCTACTACGTCTCTCGCGAGATCGTGCCCCGGTCGGAAGATGGTCTCTCCCTCGCGCGCGCCCATCGCCGCGAGCGCGTCGCTCCACTCGTCGTCGTAGAAGACGGCATCCGCGCCCGTGCGCGCCCGCAGCGCCTCCGCGCTCGGCTGCGCGCCGCACCAGACCTCGTGCTCGACGTCGCGGCGCGGCGCGACGAGCACGAACCGATCGCGCGATGGCGTCGTCGTCGCGTCGCCGCCGTCGCCACCATCATCGTCGCGTCGGAGGAGCGCGTGGTAGCCGGGATCTTCGACGCCGGTGAGGTAGAGGAACGACGGCTCCTGGCGGAAGCGCGCGTGGCCTTCCACGCCGTTGCGCGTCTGCTCGCGCCCCGCGGGGACGTGCACGAGCTTGTTCGCGGGGAGCGCGTCGAGGACCTTGGCGCGATGCGACGCGTGCGACGGCGCGGGGAGCGGGAGCGACGGCGACGATTGTTTCGACGATCGTTTCGAGGGAGTCGATCTCGACGACGTCGTCGCGGCGTCCGCGGCCGCGGCGACCGCGCGCCGCGACCGCGCGCCGCGCGAAGCGACGACGCGCGACGACGACGACGACGACGCGAGCGAGGGGGGACACGACGCCATCGTGGCGGTCGTCGCGCGGAGCGGAGTGCGGAGGAGGAAGCGAAGGCGATAGACGGGGAGTACTGTAGACGTGGCGTGCCGGCCGAAAGGTTGCTGTGCGTGTCGGATCAGATCTCGCTCACGGCGGGACCTCCGAAACGGAAATCGCTACGAGACGAAGTCTACGGGTTCATCCCCCGGACGCCTCCCCCCCCTCATCCGCTCTCTCCTCCTCCTCCTCCTCCTCCTCCTCCTCGCAGTCCTCGCGCCACAGCCGCAGGTACTGCGCCGTCTCGTTGATGATCTGCATGGAGCGTCGCGACGTCGGGGTGAAGTTCATAGGCGTCAGGTGGAGTTGAAAGGCGTCGATGGCGGGGATTGAAAGCGATGGGTGCGCGGAGAGAAACGCCGGGAAAAGTCCTTAAGGAACGGCGTTCACCACGCGAACGCGGTCGTATGGGGACCAGTGTGAGACAGAACGCGGACGAGGACGCGCCTGCATCGCGAAACCGTCCATCCCGAGGTGGTTCGTCCGCCGCCTGGATCCGAGCCGTTCCGTACGAAACGAGCGATCGGTCAGTTGAAAGGAAGGGACCCACGCGATCAAATGTTGAAACCGAGTGGTGGGTGAAAAACGAAATGTGTTCAGCACGCGACGCACCTTGAAAACGGATTCTCGCACTCGGTCGCCGCGCCCTCGACGCCGAGGAGCGCGAACGCGACGCACGCGACCGCGACGGGCGTGCCCCAGCCCCAAAACTTTTGAAACACGAACGGCAGCGACACCAGGTACCCCATCAGAAACGTGCGGAGGTGCGTGACGTAGACGATGGGCAGCCGCGTCGCGCGGACGCGCTCCTGGACGCCGCACTTGTCGACGAGCTCGTCGATTTGGAAGTTGAGCCGCGTGTACACCTCACCGGCGAGAATCGGGTGCAGACGTCTCCGACGGTCTTGTCCGACGCGCTGTCCGACATTCTGTCCGACACTTCGCGTGGATGCCACGTCGTCGTCCGACGCTCGGTGGCGTCTCGTCGACCCGGCCCCCCCTCGCGCGCCGACGATCCACGCGCCGCGCCCGTCGCCGTGGCTCGCGTCGCCCGCGTCCGTCGCGAGCGTCGCGACGCCGACCGCCGCGCGCATCCGCCGCGCGCAAAACAACGGCCAGTGCGTCGCGCGGCGCGTCATCTCGTCCACCTATTGTGGGTTATCCATACAAAGCGATGATATATGGATGGAGTTGAAACCCGTCAGTTGAAGTTGAAAGGCATCGAGGTGTGTCGGGATTGAAACCGATGGAGGGGTGGCGGGCGGAGAGACGCGCGCGCTGGGAAAAGAAAATATTATCATAATCTAAGAAACGGCGCGCGCCGCGCCGCCGACGCGGTCGCACGGGGACCGGCGTAAGGAGAACGAACGCACCTCCTCCTCGGTCAAGACGCCGTCCAGCTCGATCGCGGGGATCCGTTCATCGCGCCGGAGGTGGCACTTGACCGCGACCGCGAACGCGGCGAACCATCGAAGGATTTCCTCGCACTCGTGCGGCGCCACGTCCGCGAGCGCGACGACGGCGTCGTCACACTGAGGGCCATTCCATACAAAGCGACGTCGGGGTGGAGTTCAAAGGCGTCAGCAGGAGTTGAAAGGCGTCGAGGACGGGCATTGAAATCGAGGGGTGGGCGGAGATAGACGACGGCAAAAGTCCTTAAGGATCGGCGTGCACCACGCCGACGCGGTCGTATGGGGACCAGTGTATAGAACGCACCAGATTCCGACCGCGCATGACGATCGCGCCCCACGCCGCGCGGCAGTCCCAAAACCGTATCGCCGCGCGGTTCAGGCGAAACACGAGCATGAACGCGAGCAGAGAGAAGATCAAGGCGTACGCGCGCTCGAACGCAGTGAGGTCCCAGTCCAGCGCGTCGACGTTCCGCGCGAGCGCGCACCAGACGACTGAGGGGAAAATAGTTCATCGTTCAGTTGAAAGGGGACGCGATCAAGTGTTGAAACCGGGAGATGAGTGAAAAACGTTTGTATAGAACGCACCTGAGACGGCGACGCACAGCGCCCACGGCCACTTGAAGTTGTTCACCGCGCGCGCGCGCGTCACGAAGACGGTGTCGCTCCACGAGCGGTAGTCGAACTGCTTGCCTTGGAACGCGTTGGAGGCGGTGAAGTGCGAGGAGCGGCGAGAGACGCGCGTTGGGTCGAGCATCGTGTCCCACAGTCGGCCGACGCGCGGGGGGCATCTCGGCACCCTCGACGCGAATTTCGCATCGTCGAGCGGTGGTTCATCGGAACGATGAAAGCTACCACGACGCGCGGACGTCGACGACGCCTTCTCCCGCGGCGGCGCGCCGCCGGGGGACGCGACGTCGTCGCCGACGTTCAGAACGACGCTCGCGAGCGGCGTCGTCATCGCGGCGGCGAGAGGCGACGACGTGCGACGACGACGCGACGCGTTGTGATTCTGTCTGTTGTTGAGTCGGGTTATTATCCGCTGACGTCGACGACGCGACAACTCGACGCGACGCGTTTCGCTTTTCGTTGCAACGCTCGCTCATCAGAATAAATTCCAGGCGCCCCCTCGAGCCAGGGCGCCCGCCGCGGTTCGATCCACCCCACCCCCCTCCCGTCCTCCTCCTGCGCTCACTCACTTCGCGAACCCGCCGTAGATGACGTCGACACTCTTCGGATCGATCCTGTACGCGACGCGCCCGTCGTCGTCGCGCCCCGCCTGGAGCGTGAACCCGACGCAGCCGCAGTTGACGATCTGCGTGGGTGAAGCGATCGGTCAGTCGAACGTCTTACCGGTCAAACGTACGTTGAAAGGGAAACGCGGGTGAAGAGTGACGACGGGGAAAGTCCTCAAGGAACGGCGTGCACATCGCGAACGGGGTCGTATGGGAAGCAGTCTCACCTTCTTCTTCTTCGCGACGTGGTCCGAGCGCCGCGGTAAAAACGCCTTGAAAAACTCCTTGAACCACAGCGAGTGCCCGCCGACGATGACGCAGTCAGCGTCCTTCGTGTTCTCCACGACCCACGCCGCGAACTCGAGCAGCGCGTCGTTGCCGCACCGATCGACTTTCTTATTCCCCTCGTTGTTCCGCGCGTCGCACGACGGAATCTGATGCGTAGCGTCGAGGGTCCGCAGTACGAAGCGACATGCGTCGGGGTGGAGTTCAGGGGTGCGTCAGAAGCGGAGTTAAAAGGCGTCGAGGTTTGTCGGGGATTGAAACCGTGGTGTGGGCGGAGAGAAACGCCTTTCGGGAAGTAAAATCCTTAAGGATCGGCGTTCACCACGCGAACGCGGTCGTACGGGGACCAGTGTGAGATGACAAAAAGAACGCGCCTGATCCATCGTCTCGCCGCCGCCGATCTTCGCCTCCACGCCGTCAAGCGGCACCGCCTCGCCGCGCCGCGCGATGGCGTACGCGTCGACGTTCCGCGCCATCTCCTGCAGCGCGGAGTGCACGATGATCTTCTCGCGCGTGCGCGCGATGCGGTCCCAGAACCCGATCGCGATCGTCGCGACCGCGCGGCGGAGGTTCGACCCGACGAGGATCGATCTGAGGGTAATTAATTGTCCATACGAGCGAACGTCGGGGTGGAGTTCAAAGGCGTCAGAAGCGGAGTTGAAAGGCAACGCGGTGTGTCGGGATTGAAAGCGAGGGGTGATGGGCGGAGAGATGCGCCGGGAAAAGTCCTTAAGGAATGGCGTTCACCACGCCGACGCGGTCGTACGGGGACCGGTGTGAATCAGAACGCGCCTGACGTCGCCGCGGAGCGCCGCGGCGTCCGGGTTCGTCGTCGTCCCGTCCCCCGTCGGCTCGTACGTCTTCAAGAACGCTCTGAGCTCCCGTGCCTGGCGGTACCCGCGGTGCGAAAGCGGCGCGTCCACGAAGAACGAGCCGCGCGAGAAAATCACCGCGGCCTCGTGGAGAAGCCCCCACGCGAGCCGCAGCGGGAAGCCCGGCCCGAATCCTCGGTTGAAGACCTCGTTCCACGTGCTCTCGCCGTGACGCACGAAGATCACGCGCTTCTCTCGCGGCGGCGATAGGGCGACGTCCGCGACGACGACGTCCGGGTCCGGGCGCGTCTTCGGCCAGCCGCTCTTCTCGCGCGACAGCGCGAGATGGCGGACCGAGCGCGCGAAGAGCGACGTCTTGAAGAGGACGATGCGCGCGAGCGGGGAGGAGCCCGCGGCGAGGACGAGGGCGAAGTAGACGCCCATGAGAAAGAGCGCGCACGCGAGGAGCGCGATCGGATCCAGCGCGAGGACGCGCGACAGGAGGAGAGAGGAGGAGGACGCGGCGACCGGGGGCGGCGCGGGCATGATAGATAGGACGATATGCGCGCGACGACGGGCCGGGGCGCGGCGTCGCGTCGGAGTGATGATGACGAGCGAAGGATATTCTGTCTGAGTGCTTCTGTCGGACTCTGCTGCTGAGAGAGCTTTCATAATCGACGCCGATACCATCGTTGACCAGCAGACCGCGCGCGAACAGACTTGATGATGAACGAACGACGGAAGCGGCGGAGGTGCCTTCTTCGCGCCAGATCGAACCGCGCGCGCCGAGGCGGTCGGAAGGACGCGACGGGACGCGACGGGACATAGGATCGATCGCGCGCCGTCCGTCCGCGCCCATGCCTCTCCTCCCCTCGGCGCTCTTCTCCTCCCTCCCCGACGCGATGCTCGCGCCGTGGAGGAAGCTCCGCGAGATGGCGCGCGATCTCGTCGCCGCCGCGCTGCGCTCGCGCGGCCCGATCCCAGAACACGTCGCGATCGTGATGGACGGTAACCGACGCTTCGCCGCGTCGCGGTCGCTCCCAACGGGCGTCGGGCACAGCGCGGGCGCGGACAAGCTCGTGGACGTCATGCGCTGGTGCCACCTCCTCGGCGTGCGCGTCCTGAGCGTCTACGCGTTCTCGAGCGAGAACTTCGCGCGGCCGCGAGACGAGCTCGACGCGCTGTTTTCGCTCGCGGAGACTCGCTTCGACGATCTGGCGACGCACCCCGCGGTGACGGAGCGACGCGTCCGCGTCCGCGTGCTCGGCGACCTCGCGTCGCTGCCGAAGGGGGTCAGGGACGCCGCGGAGAGGGTGACGGCGGCGACGGCGGCGCACGACGGGCCGAGGCTGGACGTGTACTTCGCGTACACGGGGCGAGGGGACGTCGTCGGCGCGGTGAACGCGGCGTCGGACGCGGCGGCGGCGGCGGCGGCGGCGCGGAGACGCGGAGGAAGAGGCGGCGGCGGCGACGACGACCTCGACCTCGACCTCGACCTCGAGCCCGCGACGGAGGAGACGCTCGAGCGGTGCATGCGCGGCGGCGCGTGCGCGGAGGACGGAACGTCGACGACCGTCGCGGTCGACCTCCTCGTGCGCACGTCCGGGGAGACGCGACTGTCCGACTTTACGCTCTGGGGGATCAGGCGCGTTCTGTCATCTCACACTGGTTCCCGTACGACCGCGTCGGCGCGGTGCACGCCGATCCTTGAGGACTTTCTCTCCCGGCGCCCTCTCCGTCGCTCTCGTCCAATGAAACGTCCACGTCATCAACTAACTAACCAATCACAACATTTCCCGCCGCGTCGCCCGCCGATCAAACGACCCTCAGCAAACACGCGGTGCTGTGCTTCGCGGACGTGTTGTGGCCGGACTTTTCGTTCGCGGACATGTGCCACGCGGTGTGGACGTATCAGAAGTCCGCCGCGCACGCGAGGGAGGGGCGCGCGCGGATGGAGGCGAGAGCGCGGGAGAGAAGGGCGGCGGAAGACGCGGCGAGGCGGGGAAGGGAGGGAGGGGAGGGGACGCGCGTTCTTGCGGCGGCGGCGGCGGCGGCGGCGGACGCGGAAGCGAAGCGGCCGAAGCGTCGGCGCGCCGCCGCCGCCGTGCGACGGAAAAATACGACGACGTCGACGGTCGGGAAGGAGAACGACGTTTCCGTGGCGATCGTGAAGCCGATAGACGCGACGAAAGGATCCGCGGTCGCGCCGGCGGCGGCGAGCGTTCGACGCTCCGAGGACTGAACAGAACGAACAGAAGTTTGTAGCTCCTAGAAACGAAACGACGACAGAGGAAACGACGACGTCGCGGACCGCGCCGACGCACTCCCCCCCCCCCCCTTCCCCGCGCGCACGCGTCATGTCTCCCCGCGTCGTCCTGCGCCGCGCGCTCGCGTGCCTCGTCGTCCTCGCCGCCGCGCCGACCGCGCGCGCGTCGAGCGACGCCGCCGCAGACGCCGACGCCTGGCGTCTTGACTTCTCCGAACAAGGCCCGCACGACGTATCCGTCGCGCGCGTCGCGATCCTCCGCGCGCCTCCCGCGATTCCGACCGACGGCGGCGTCCCCACGACCGGCGGCGAGCCCGGCGAGGTCGCGGTGTACTTCCCCACGTCGCCGACGCGTACCGCGCGCGAGCGAGGCGGCGAGAAGCTCGCGTGCGTGCTGTTCGCGCACCCGACGCACGGGTACCGGTTCGAGGTGCGTCCCGCACACTGGTTCCCATACGACCGCGTCGGCGGGGTAAACGCCGATCCTTAAGGACTTTCGCCGGCGCGTCTCTCCGCCCAGGGTCCCTCGCTTTCAATCCCCGCCCTCGATGCCTTTCAACTCCAGCTGACGCCTTTGAACGCCATCCCTACGTTCGCTCGTGTGGAACGACCCTGAGACGTGGGCGTCGAACAACGCGAAGCTTCTGACGCACCTCGCGTCCAGAGGCGTCGTGGTCGTCACGCCGACGCGCGTGGGCGAGCTCTCCGGCGCCGGCGCGGACGCGCCCATCGCGGGCGGGCTGCTTCCGGGCGCGCAGTTCGTGAGGACGCTGTTTCCGCGGTACCAACGCTTTTTACTGCACGCGCTGTCGCAAGTCATGCGGCGGTCGGAGACGCGCGACGACGGGTTCTTCGCGCCGCTGCGAGGCGCGATCGATCCGTTTCGCGCGGCGACGATGGGGTTCAGCGTCGGCGGCGCGCTGGGTGCGTCTTTTGCGTGCACGGTTCGGCGAGTCGTTCGTTCGTTCGTTCGACGCTTCCGTCGACGGCGCACGGCTGTGCTTTTTTCCCGTTTACCCGTCACTCCCTCCTCCTCTCCGCAGCCATCTACGTCGCCGAAGAAGCGCAGCGCGCGATGCCCGGCCGCGTCAAAGCCGTCGTCGCGCTCGCGCCCACCGTGGGAGACATCGAGTACGGCGAGGAGCAGTTCGCCCTGCGCGCGCATCGGCTGACGACGCCGCTCTTGATGACCGCGGGGAGGAACGACGGTGCGTTCATATGAAAGTACACCGGTCCCCATACGACCGCGTCGGCGTCGTGAACGCCGATCCTTAAGGACTTACTACCAACGCGCCCGTTCTCAACAAACAAACAATCTCAATCTCAATCTCATCAGGCATGGGCGGTCTCGACGGCATGGTCAAGTACGGCGACGCCGCGAAACTCGCGCCGCGCGTCGGGATCGTCGTCGAGGCCGGCACCCACTGCCACGTCTTCATCCCGGTCGGCAGCGAGTGCCGAGGTCGACGCGTCGACGTCGGACACGCGTACGCGCTGGACCGCCACGTGGCAACCGCGTTTCTGAATCTCTTCGGCGTGCTGGCCTCCTCGTCCGCCGCGCGCGCGGTCGCCGCGGACGCCGTGTGGGGCGGCAGCGCGGCCCTGAACGCGCTCGGCCCGTGGCGCGTCGCGGTGAAGGCGCGTTCTATCGCACACTGGTCCCCATACGACCGCGTCGGCGTGGTGAACGCCGATCCTTAAGGACTTTCTCTCCCGCCGCGTCTCTGCACCCACCCCTCGCTTTCAATCCCGACACACATCGACGCCTTTGAACTCCACCCCTGACGCCTTTCAACGCCACCCTGACATTCGCTCGTATGGAATGGCCCTAAGTCGCGTCCGCTCGTGCGCCTCGACGCGCTCGCGACGGGGCCCGAGACTGGCTACGCGCTCGATGCGAGCGGGGACGCGTTCGTCGCGGACGTGTCGATTCGCGCGGGCGTCGACCCGTCGACGCGCGGGTGCGCGTGCCCGGTCGTCGTCGACGTCTTGAGTGAGAACGGCGCTGATGGTGATGTTCGCGACGGACTGAGGTGCGTTCTATACACTGGTCCCCATACGACCGCGTTCGCGTGGTGAACGCCGATCCTTAAGGACTTTCGCCGTCGTCTCTCTCCGCCCACCCCTCCCTTTCAATACCCGCCCTCGGCGCCTTTCAACGCCAACTGACGCCTTTCAACTCCACCCCGACGTTCGCTTGTATAGAACGGCCCTGACCGTCTCGCTCGACGCGAACGTCCCGAACGGCGGATCTCCCGCGCAGGCGGTCGGCCGCAGCGTCGAGGCGTACTGCAACGCGCTCGATCGCGCCGAGGGAGAGAACGCGCGCGTGGTGTTGGAGTGGGACAGAGACGCGGCAGCGCGCCATGCGGCGGCGGCGGCGGCGGCCGCGGACAGACTCGCGGAGGCGACCGACGGCTACGGCGCGACGGATTGGAGGGACGCGTTTCTGCTCGGCGCCGGCGGCGGCGCGGCGGCGGCGACGGAGTCGCTCGTCGACCGCGCGACGTCCGCGTTCGTCGGCGGCGGCGGCGGCGGCGCGTCCTCTTTCGACGACGACCGATGGACGAAAGTCGTTCGGCTGCGCGCGATGAACGGCTGCGACGGCGGCAGCGCGGCCTACCTGACCCTGAGGGTCACGCCGCCGGTGGAGGGCGCGGGCGGGGGCGGGGACGTCGTCGTCGCGCGGGGGCCTCGGCCGGACGGGCCGCCGCGAGGGCCGAAACCGGACGGGCCGCCGCGAGGGCCGAAACCGGACGACGGGCCGCCGCCGGGGGCGCTCTCGGGATGACAATGAGGAGACCGGGAGGAGGCGACGGCGGCGCGGCGAAACCAAAACCAAAACCAAAACATACGACGCGAAGACGCTCGACGCTCGACGCGCTCTGTATCATTTTCTATGCCACGTGTCACGCCGAGGGTATCCCCACTTCCGACGCGCGCCACGTGTCACGCCGACGAAGCGCCGCGAGCCACGTGTCACGCCGACGAAGCGCCACGTCATCACGTGTCGACGCCGACGCGGCCGTCCATCCCGTCCAACACCCCGCCCCACGCGCCGTCCGTCGGCGGGAGCTCCGCGGCGAACCGCGCCCACGGCGGCACGCCCGTGCCGCTGCTCCGCACTCTGCCGTCCATTCGCAGACCGACGTACACGCCGACGTCCGCGGCGACGTTCGCGTCGCCCTTTTGCTCGTCGATCCACGCGATCCATTTTTCGCTCTTGGGGTCGTTCGGTCCGCGCGAAGAGAGCGACGAACGTCGGGGCGGAGTCGTGAGGCGTCAGTTGATGAAGTCGAGAGGCGTCGAGGTGTGTGCGTCGGGATTGAAAACGAGGGGTGGGTGGTGGGCGGAGAAATGCGCCCGCCGGGAAGTACGAAAGTCCTTAAGGATCGGCGTTCACCACGCGAACGCGGTCGTATGGGGACCACAGCAGTGTGATGATACTAGAACGCGCCTTGATCGGCGCCGCGCGGAACCGCCTGTCGTCCTCCGACGGCGGCGGCAGAATCGACGCGTCTCCCGACGTCACCACCGGCACGAGCAGCACGCCTCGCCGCGTCAGCTCCTCCCTGTGAGCCTCCGCGGCGTTCACGGACTCCACGCAGTGCTCCGCGCTCCCGGCGGCGATGACGACGCGCGAGAACCCTCTGAGTTGGGCCATGGAGACGCGCTTGCCGCTTCCGCCGCCGAGCTGGCACTTCAGCGCGCCAAGGCGTTCCTCGCGGGATATCCGCGCCATCTGCTTGTCGCGCCCCTCCGCGTCCTTCTTGTAGAAGAACGCGAAGAACGCGGCGCACAGGAGGTCGACGCCCATGTTCTGCAGCGAGTCCTCGAGCGGCGGCGCGGACGGCGCGCCGAGCGCCTTCGTGACCGCCTGAAGCGTCGCGATGCCGAGGCCGAGCGTCGCGTTCGCGGCGAACGCGCCGAAGAGGAACATGCGCGCGGTGCGGAACGGCGCCTGCGCTTCCGACCGCATCTTCGTCTCGTTGCTGAACCCGGAGGTGTCCACGCTGCCGTCATCGCGGACTCTTCCCTTTCCTCCTCTCGTCGCCGACGCGACGACGACGTGCCGAGTCCGATCGGAAGTCGTCGAGGATCGTCGCGACGGCGACGGCGTCGCCGCGACGGCGACGGCGACGCCGCGCGCGCGGAGGCGCGGCGCGAACGCGCGGCGCGAGGTGGGCGACGACGACGCGACGCGCGTCGTCGTCGTCGTCGTCGCCGCCGCCGCCGTCGCGATGGGAGCGGCGTACATCGTTCGCGTCGCGCGCGAATAACTGACGACGTGGCGAGTCCACCATCCCCTCCTCTCCCTCTCCCGGAACCACGGGGCGCTCGCCCCTCAGGTTCGAGCCACGATCAATTAGACCGTTGATTCCTGGTTTATGCCCTGCGATGACTCACCCGAAATCCATCGCGCAATCCGAGCTGGCATTACTCGGAGGGCTCTTTTTCTCGGAACGGCAGAATCGCGCGCGCGAGGAGCACGCTCGCCGCGCGAAGAGAGGACCACCGCGAGCTCGCGCACGCGGGCGTTTCCCTGCGCACGCGCGTCGCCGCGTCGTCGTCGATCGACGCGCGAGAGGCGCGCGTCTGCGCGCGCGCGCGGCGCGGGGCGCGATCGCGCGCGACCGTCATCTTTTTCGGTTTTCCGTTGAGATCAAGCATCTGACATCGACGCGAGGACCGACGCGAGGCGACCGTCGCGGGGGCCATGAGCGCGTCCGGAACGATGCGGATCCTCCCCGCGATCGCGCCGTCGACGAGCGGCCGCGGCGGCGCGAGCGCGTCGTCGCGCCGCGACGTCACGCGCTCCGCCCGCGGCGCGCGACAATCGTCAGGGTCCGGAGTCAGGGTTAACACCGGAACGACGCGCCGACGCGACGACGACAATCATCGTCAGCGAGATCCTCCGCCGGCGCTGGACGCCGCCGCCGTCGTCGCGCCCGTCCCCGCGCCGAGAACGCGCCCAGGCGCCGCCGCGGAGGAGAGCTCCTCGGCGCCGCACCAGCGCGGGGACGTCGCCGCGCGCGTCTCCACCGACTCCCCCACGGGAGGCGACGTAGACGTGGCCGCCATGCGAGAGCGCCTGAAGGAAAAGCAGCAGATGCTGCGAGATAAGCTCGCGCACAGAAAAGCGCTGCAGACGGAGCTCAGCGAACACCTCCGCAAGACCAAGACCGCCGCTCGCGGCGCCGCGATGGGCGCGCCGCACGGGTCCGCCAACGCGGTCGTCCCGGTGCCGCCGCCGCCGCCGGAGCGCGTCGTGCGGAACCGCGCGCTCGGGCACGGGAACCTGAAGAGGGACGACGACGACGACGACGATTCGATCTGGCACGAAGCTCGAGGCGCCGCGCGGCCGGACATGGAGACGGGGAAATTCATCCCGGTGATCAAACCGCCGGAGGAGACGGGGCCGCCGCCGGCGACGATGATGAAACCGCCGCAGCGCGCCGGGTTTATGCCGCAGATCGAGCGGACGGCGAAACCCGAGCCGCAAAATCCAGTCGTGTCGCCGCCGCCGCCGCCCGCGCCGGTGGAGCAGCAGCAACAACAACAACCCGCCGCGCCGCCGCCCGCGCCGGTGGAGCAGCAGCAGCAACAACAACCCGCCGCGCCGCCGCCCGCGCCGGTGGAGCAGCAGCAACACCAACAACAACCGATGTCACAAGAAGCGGCTCCCGTCGCGGCGCCCGAACCCGCGGCGCCGCCGGCGCCGCCGCCGCAGCCGCGCCTGAGCGCAGCGCCGCCGCCGCCGGCGCCGGCGCCGCCGAAACCCGTCGACGCGAGGCAACCCGTCGCGTACGAGCCACCGACGCCGACGACGACGGGATCGGTTCCGACGGGGTCGTGGAAGCCGGTGAACCCGCTCGAGCGCGGGAACAAGCCGCTCAACCCGGGCGGGAGCGCGGAGAAGATGCAGCAGGCGTACAAACCGCACGCGCCGCCGAAGGCGCCGCCGGTGCCGGGCAACGCGCCCGTGCCCGTTCCGGGCGTGGCGCCGGTGCAGGGCGGCGCGAGGACGCTCGAGGACCTCGCGCGTGAGGAGGTGGCGTACCCGGAACCGCGGTACGTCCCGGGGCAAGGCCCGCCCGTGCAGCCGGACGCGTTGCCGTGGGTGGAACCGCCCGCGCCGCCGCCGCCGCCGCCGATGACGGCGGCGGCGCCGCCCGCGCACGTCGCCGCGGCATCGATACCCGCGCCCGCGCCCGCGAGACCGCCGGCGCAGCCGGTGCCGATGCGGCCGCCGCCCGCGCCGCCGCCAATGCCGTCGATCGTCGCGCCGCCGCCGCCGCGGTTCGATCCGCCGGCGGCGGCGATGCCGCCGCCCGCGCCGCCGCCGCCGCCGCCGGTGCCGTCGGCGGCGGTCGTGACGCCGCCGCCGCCCGGGGTGATCACGCCGCCGCCGTCGTTCGCGCCGCCGGATCTGACGCCGCCGCCGGACCTGGACGCGGCGCAGAGCGCGGCGGACATCGCGGCGGCGTTGCCGACGCCGATGGTGGAGCCCACGGTTTTGATTCCGGGTATCATCGAACCCCCGCCCGGTCTGGGTGGAGGGGTCGCCGGCACGGTCGCCGGCACGGTCGCCGGCACGGTCGCCGGCACTGCCGCCGCGGGGATCAACACCGTCGAGGAGGTGTTGCTGTGCAAGGAGAAGCTCAACATCGTCGTCGTCGCGTCCGAATGCGCGCCGTTCGCCAAGACGGGCGGCTTGGGCGACGTCGCCGCGGCGCTTCCGAAGGCGCTGCGACGCCGCGGGCACCGCGTCATGGTCGTCATGCCGCGCTACAAAGACTACCAGGGCGTCTTCGACACGTCCGTGCGCGTGCACTACAACATCATGGGCGCCAACACGGAGGTTGGCTACTTTCACATGTACAAAAACGACGTGGACTACGTCTTCGTGGATCACGTGGCGTATCACGCCGTCGCCGGCGACATCTACGCGGGCGACCGCGAGGAGGCCAACTTCCGGAACGCGATGCTGTGTCAGGCTGCGATCGAGGCGGTGTGGCACGTCAAGTGCGGGCCGGAGGGCGACACGCCGTACGGCGACAGCGACTTGGTCTTCCTCGCGAACGACTGGCACACCGCGTTGCTGCCCGTGATGCTGCAGGCGTTTTACCGCGATCACGGCAAGTTTGAGTTCGCGCGGTCCGTCTTCGTCATTCACAACATGGCGTTTCAGGGCCGAGGCCCTCTCGTCGAGTTCGACAAGCTCGGCCTTCCCGCGGACTACAAAGACCACTTCTTCCTGGACGATCCGTTCGGAGGCGAGTGCATGAACACGATGCAGGCGGGCTTGAGGTTGGCGACGAAGGTCATCGCCGTCTCCAGCGGATACGCGTGGGAGATCACCACCGACGCCGGCGGCTGGGGCCTCGCGCCGTTGCTCCGCGAGTTTGGCGAGAAGCTCACCGGGGTCGTCAACGGGATCGATCTCGACGAGTGGTCCCCGGAGAAGGACGAGCACCTGGACAAAGACGGCTACTCGCGCTACGAGCCGACCGCGGAGGGGCTCATGGGCGGGAAGAAGCTGTGTAAGGCGGCGTTGCAGCGGCAATTCGGCTTGCCGGAACGCGACGACGTCCCGGTCCTGGGGTTCATCGGAAGGCTCGATCACCAGAAGGGCGTCGACCTGATCACGGAGATCGCGCCGTGGCTCATGGGCCAGGACGTCCAGCTCGTCATGCTCGGCAGCGGCCGCGAGGACCTCGAGGAGCTTCTGAAGAATTTGGAAAACAACAACCGCGAGCGGTGCCGGTGCTGGGTCGGCTTCAGGCGCGTTCTGATTCATTCACGCCGGTCCCCGTACGACCGCGTCGGCGTGGTGAACGCCGATCCTTAAGGACTTTCCTTTCTTACCCGGCGTATGTTTCTCTTCGCCGCGCACCCCTCGGTTTCCTCGGTTTCAATCTCCGCCCGCGACGCCTTTCAACTCCGCTTCTGACGCCTTTCAACTCCGCCCCGACGTCGCTTTTTCGTACGGACCCTCCACCCTCAGCGTCGAGATGGCGCATCGCATCACCGCGGGGTGCGACATCCTGCTGATGCCGTCTCGGTTTGAACCGTGCGGGCTGAACCAGCTGTACGCGATGAGATACGGCACCGTCCCGGTCGTGCACGCCGTCGGCGGGTTGCGAGAGACGGTGATCCCTTTCAACCCGAAGAACGACACCGGCACGGGGTGGCAGTTCGACGAGGCGTCCGAGGCGAAGTTTCAGGAGGCGGTCGGGTACGCGATCGGAACGTTCAGAAACAACGCGGCGGATTTCCAGAAGATTCAGACGCGAGGGATGGAGCAGGACCTGTCGTGGGAGCTCGCGGCGGAGAAGTACGAAGAGAAGCTCATCGAGGCGAAGTACTCGTGGTGACCGACGCTCTCGGAGCGGAGAGAGGAAGGGCGAAAACATATTATTTTCACATCAGGCAAGAGAGAAATTCGTTACAAACTAATTGCTCATACGATTCGCCGCGTACGTACAATACTACGCGTACACGCTTCGCCGTGTTCACCCGTGCGGTATTCCCTGCCAAAAAAAAGTCGGCGCACCCAGATTGATTCGGCGGCGGCGGGGCGGCGCGCCCTCGGCACGTTCGACATGGCGACGCAAATCGACCAGGTCGTGCAGGTCCTGCAGGCGACCCTCAGCGCGGACGAACACACGCGGCACCAGGCGGAGCAGTACCTCACGCAGCACGCGTACGCCAAGTCGCACGTCGTCGTGCTCATGCAAGTGGCGACCGCGCCGCAGGCTGACGCGTCCATGCGTCAGTCCGCGACGATCAACCTGAAGAACCTCATCAAGAAGGGGTGGGACCCGCGACGCGAGGACGCCGCGCGTCTGCACGAGGAGGACAAGGCGACCGTGCGCGCGAACGTCCTCGAGGCGCTGATACAGAGCCCCGAGATCGTGCGGTCGCAGCTGAACGAGTGCGTGAAGGTGATCGCGAACGCGGACTTCCCCGAGCGATGGCCGAACCTCCTGGAGACGCTCGTGGGATACCTCGCCACGGACGACGTCCCGCGCGTATACGGCGCGGTGACCGTGATCTCGGTCTTGTGCAGGAAGTACGAGTACAAGGACAAGGACGAGCGCCTCGCGCTGACGCCGGTGATCAACGCCGCGTTTCCTCGCCTGCTTCAGATGCTGCAGTCGCTCCTCGCGATGGAAGACAAACGCGAAGACGCGCAGCTCGCGCTCCTCGTCAAAGCGATCGTGAAGACGTACTGGAGCGCGACGTACTTGGACATCCCGGACGCGCTGATGCGCGGGGACGTGTACGGCGCGTGGATACAATGCATGCACGCCATCATCGTGATGCCCGTGCCGGAGAGAGGACAGCCCGCGGATCCGGCGGAGCGGAAACACTTCCCGTGGTGGAAAGCGAAGAAGTGGGCGCTTCACGTCGCGAACAGGATGTTCCAGCGGTACGGCAACCCGAAGCAGTGCAAGCCGGAGCACAAGCCGTTCGCGGAGGCGTTCAAGCGCGACTGCTCGTGCGCGTTCTTGGAGTCGTACGTTCGGTTGCTGTCAGGCGCGTTCTATACACTGGTTCCCATACGACCGCGTCGGCGCGGTGAACGCCGATCCTTAAGGACTTTACTTCCCGGCGCATCTCTCCGCCCATCACCCCTCGCTTTAAATCCCGACACACCTCGACGCCTTTCAACTTCAACTGACGCCTTTGAACTCCACCCCGACGTTCGCTCGTATGGAACGGCTCTCAGTCTTACCCGCCGGCGGGTTCCTCCCGGATAGGATAATAAACCTCGCGCTGCAGTACCTCACCACCGCGCTGACGGGGTCGAACACGTACAAGATGATGCGGCCGCTGCTCGACGATATCGTGTTCCAGATCGCGTTCCCGCAGCTGTGCCACAACGCGGCCGACCAAGAGCTCTGGGACACAGACCCGAACGAGGTGGTACGGAAAGGGTACGACATCATAGAGGAGATGTACTCGCCGCGCACCGCCGCCGTGAACTTCATCGTCGAGCTGTGCCGGTGTCGATCGAAAGAGAACCTGCCCAAGGTGATGGGGTTCCTGATGCAGATCTTCGCGCGGTACGCGGAGGCGACGCGCGCGAACGGACCCGCGGCGACGCCGCACCCCGAGCTCGGCGCGGCGTTGCACGCCATCGGGTCGCTGCAAGATAAGCTCAAGTCGATGACGGGGTACAAGGAACAGATCGAGCCCATGCTCATGGCGCACGTCGCGCCGTGTTTCGCGTCGCCGTTCCCGCACGTCCGCGCGAAAGCGTGCTGGTGCGCGGGGGTGTACGCGGAGATCGAGTTCCAAAACCCCGCCAACTTTCTCGCGCTCTTCGGCGGCGTCGTCGCCGCGTTGAAGGACGATCAACTCCCCGTGAAGGTCGACGCCACGACCGCGCTCGGGTCGTTCGTGGAGGCGGCGGAGGACATCGAGCAGCTGAAACCTATCCTCCCGCAGCTCCTGGATGAGTTCTTCAAGCTCATGAACGAGGTCGAGAGCGAGGACCTGGTGTTCACGCTCGAGACGATCGTCGAAAAGTTTGGAGAGGACATTGCGCCGTACGCCCTCGGCCTCGCGCAAAATCTCGCCGCCGCGTTTTGGAAGCTGACCAACTCGCAGGACGACAAGGACGACGACGACATGAACGGCGCGCTCGCGTGCGTGGGGTGCCTGCGCGCGATCGCGACGATATTGGAGTCGATATCGACGCTGCCGCACTTGTACGGACAAATAGAGCCGACGCTGATGCCGATTCTGAGGAAGATGCTGACGCAAGAGGGGTACGACGTGTACGAGGAAATTTTGGAGATTTGCTCGTACATCACCTACTACTCCCCGACCGTGACGCCCGCGATGTGGGAGCTGTGGCCGATCATGTTCGACGCGCTCGAGAGCTGGGGGATCCAATACTTCGAGAACGTGCTCGTGCCTCTGGATAACTACATCTCCAGAGGCACCGAGCATTTTCTCGCGGCGCCGCGGTATCGCGACGACGTCCTGCGCCTGTGCGGCACGGTGATCCTCGCGAACGAGTTCCCCGAGCCGGAGTGCCTCCCCGCGCCGAAGCTCATGGAGTGCGTGCTGCAAAACTGCCGCGGGCGCGTGGATGACGTCGTCCCGGGGTACCTCGCCGTCGCGCTCGAGCGACTGCCGAGGTGCAAGGGGAAGTATCTCAAGGATTTGCTGATCCAAGTCGTCGCCAACTGCCTGTACTACGACGCGCCGTTGACGCTTCGCACGCTCGAGAAGAACGGCAAGACGAACGACGCGCTGTCCGCGTGGTTCGCCATGCTCAGCGCGCGCACGCCGAACGGGAAGCGAAAACATCACAAGCGCGAGCACGACAAGAAGGTGTGCGCGTTGGGGCTGACGGCGCTGTTGCGCGCGCCCGCGGAGGCGATGCCGCCCGCGGTGGCGCAAGGGTTGGGGTCGATAACGTCCGTGCTCGTGGCGTTACTCGATGATCTGAAGACGCAGATGACGGAGAGGAAGGATATGGAGGAGAACGACTACCGCGGGCACGGGTTCTGGGGCGGCGGCGACACGGACGACGAGGGCGAGTACGTCGACGAAGACCTCGGCGACGGCGGCGACGACGACCCGGAGGATGAAAAAGAACCTCTCGACGAGGAAGCGCTGCGAGCGCTCGCGATGAAAGCGCGCAAGTTTGGGCAGTTCGACCCCAGAGGGGGCGACGACGACGACGACGACAGCGACGACGACGGGATGCTCACGGACGACGAGTGCGTGACGAGCCCGATGGACGACGTCGACGCGTTTGTGGCGTTCGAGGAGACGATGCGAGGCGCGAGCGCGGGCGATCCCGGGAGGTTCAACGCGATGACGGGGGGGATGGATCAGGTGCGTTCTATCTTACACTGGTCCCCGTACAACCCCGTCGGCGTGGTGAACGCCGATCCTTAAGGACTTTCTCTCCCGGCGTGTCTCTCCGCCCAGGGTCCCTCGCTTTCAATCCCCGCCCTCGACGCCTTTCAACTACAGCTGACGCCTTTGAACTCCGCCCCGACGTCGCTTTGTATGGAACGACCCTCAGGCGCAGCAGGGGTTGCTGAACGCGATGATCGCGCACGCGGAGGTGCGACGGCGGGAGATCGCGGAGGAGAAAGCGGAGAAAGCGGAGGAGGCGGCGAAGAAGGCGGCGAAAGGAGGAGGCGCGAGCTGACCCGAAGGCAGTCGTTACGGTAGTAGCGGATTGGATTTTGGTAGACGTTTTTTCCTTACTGTACGACAACATGACGTCGTCGTCGCGTCCGTCTTCTAAGCGAGCTCGTTCGCTCGTTCGCTCGTTCGCTCGCCGGCCGCGTCCGGTCTGATCGCGCGGGAGGCGCATTCGTCGAGACTCCATCGCCCTCCGCCCCGGTCGAGTGGCTGCTCGACTTTATGGGCGGGGGTTCACATCGGTCTCCTACGCCGTTCCCGTCGCGACGCCGGCGCTTCGATGAAGCCGACGGGCGAATATTTCTAGTAGTCGTACCGCGGGCGCCCGTCGACGCGACGACGAGCCCCTCAGATCATCTTTCCTCCTCCGATCGACGCGCGCGCGCGCTATCATATCATATTACGCGGCGGTCTTCTGCATCTGCTTGAGGATGTTGGTGGCCTTGTTGATGGCGCCCTCCTGCTTCTTCCACTCGCGTTGCTTCCGCTTGAGCTCGCTCTCGGCTTCGGAGCGCGCCTTGCGAATCTCCTTGAGCTCGTCGGCTTTCTGATTTGCGATCTCCTTGAGCGCTTCCACGCTCTTGCCCTCGTGCTTCTCGATGAACGCGATCTCGTTCTTCGCGCAGCCCTTCTTCGTGGCGGCGTCGCACACCGGCTTGTTGAGCTTGGACTCGGCGAAGCTCTTGAGCGAGCTGAAGTCGCGCCCCTGCTTGTAATCCTTCCCTTTCTTGTCCCCGCTCATGAAGTACTTGATGGTGGGGTACCCCTGCACGCCCATGCGCTGGCAGGTGCCCTGTCCGTCCGCGGTGCAGTCCACGTCGACGATGAGCACGGATGGGTGGTCGGCGTAGTGTCCTCCCAGCTTGTCCCAGTCCGGCTTCATCGACTTGCAGTGGCCTCACCACGGCGCGAGGAACTTGACGAACGCGTTCTTGCCGCTGCCGAGGACGACGCGATCGAAGTTGCCGTCGCCCGCCTGCACGACGCCCTTGCTCGCGGAGGCGAGCGAGACGAGCGCGGCGAAGATGAGCGCCAGGAGGGCGCCCGAGACACGGAGGGAGGCCATCGCGATGGCGCCGGGGAGGGACCCCGTGATCGCGTCAGATCTGGTGTGATCCGAGGAAGGAAGGGATCCGAAGTTTTATTTGACGGACGAAACGCGAACGCAGCGCAGCGAGGTGCTAACATAAATACCTGCTGCGGTGCTACGTTGCTGTGCCTATCACATCTACTAAAAAGGGAGGGCATACACTATATCGCGACGCGTCTCCGTCCTTCTCACTCGTCCGGCATCAAGACCAAGTCCCTCTCCAACTCCATCTTGTAACACAGCCACACGAGGTACTTGAACGGGATCTCTCTCCCGCCAGCCTTGTTCACGCGGCACCGCCGCGGAATCAACGTCTGGACTTTGTCCGCGTCGAGCAGCTCCCTGAGGGTCGAGGGTCGAGGGTCCACGCGAAGCGAACGTCGGGGTGGAGTCGAAAGGCGTCAGGCGGCGGAGTCGAAAGGCGTCATAGGGTCGGGCTTTGAAAGCGAGGGACCCTGGGCGGAGAGACGCGACGGGAAGCGAAGTCCTTACAGTAAGGAATGAAGTTCACGACGCCGACGCGGTCCGGTCGTACGGGGACCGGCGCGAGATGAATTATGGGACGCGCCTGACGAACTGCGCGTGCAGCACCCCGATGGGCAGCAACAGACAGAAGGGCACGTCCGCGCGCACTAACGCCGCGATCACGCGCTCTTTCACGCCCTTCCCCGTGTACGGCGGGTTATCGATCACCGCGGCGAGAGACTTCACGAACGCGCGGTCGTTGACGCGTTTAAAAAAGTCATCCTTCGTGTGCACGACGCGACGGAACCCAGCCTCTCGCATGCGAATCCCCGCGGTGCCGTCGTAGTAGAACGGCGCCCAGACTTTCTTCGCGATGTACGCGCTGAGGTGCGGCGCGAGCGCGCGCCAGGTGCGCGCGGACGTCGCCCACTCGTCGTCCTCGACGCTCATGCCTCCGTCGCTTCGTCCGTACGAACCGAACGCGCCCGTCCGAGGCACGACGGCGGCCGCGGGCCCCGCGGGAGAACGACGAGATCCGGCGCGCGCGTCGTCGTCGTCCGAGGCGTCGTCGTCCGAGGCCGTCGCGACGGCGTCGCGCGGCGGGTCGACGCGCGCGCGCTTCTTCTCGTCGTCGCGCTCGTCGTCGTCGTCGTCACTCGGCACCTTTTTCTTTTTCGACGACGACGACGGCGCGCCCCCGCGCGCCGCCGCCGTCGCGGGCGACGCGTTGCTCTTGCGCTCCCTCCGCGCGCGCTGCTTCGCGGCTCGGCGCTCCGCGGGCGTGCTGCCGCCGCGGGTGGGCGCGCCCATGGCGACGGCGCGTCGTGCGCGCGCGCGTCGGGGTGTGGCGACCGCGCGCGCCGGCCGCCGTCCATCCATCCGAAAAGGGCGCACTTTTCTCTGCTGTTCCAAAAATAAAAAATAAACGAGTGGCGAGGAATATCCCCTCTGGGACGACGCTTTATTGACACACCGCCGCGCCGCGCGCACGCAGACGTGGACGCGCTCCGAACGCGCGCGCGACACGATGCCCGAACTCACCGCGACGTCGTTCGGCGGCGTCGACGCCCCCGCGGCGCTCGTCTTCGGTGCGTCCGCCGTGGGAGGAACCTCCGTCCCGTCGCGACGCGTTTTCGTCCGTCGTCGTCATCCGTCCCGGCACGGAGCGCTTATTATCCCGTGTTCACGAATAACGCGTGCCCGGTTTCGTCGCGCGCGCCGCTGACCCCCGTCCGTCCCTCCGTCCCGCGACTCTCCTCTCCTCATGATCTACTTTCTCTCTCTCCAGACTGCGACGGGACGCTCGTGGACACGATGGGCGCGTTCTACCTCGCGGACCGCAAGACGTGCGAGGAGGTCGGAATGACCATGTCGAAGAAGCAGTTCTACGACCTCGCCGGCGTGCCCATTCGAGAGATCTTCCGCATCCTCTCCGAAGAGCAAGGGACGTCGCCGGACCTCGACGCGATGGCGGCGCGATGCAAAGAACTCGCGGATGACATCATGAAACACGGCCCGGCGCTCATCGAGCCCGTGGCGCAGATCGCGCGCGATGCGGTCGCCGCGGGGATACCCGTCGCGGTCGCGTCGAGCGGCGTGCGGGATACCGTCCGCGCGCACCTCGACGGGCACGGCGTCTTAGGCGCGTTCTATACACTGGTTCCCATACGACCCCGTCGGCGTGGTGAACGCCGATCCTTAAGGACTTTTGCCGTCGTCTCTCTCCGCCCACTCCACGCTTTCAATCCCGACACACCTCGACGCCTTTCAACTCCGTCTGACGCCTTTCGACTCCACCCCGACGTTCGCTCGTATGGAACGACCCTTAGGTCTGTTCCAGCACGTCGTCACGTGCGAGGACGTGGAGTTTGGGAAGCCCGCGCCGGATCTGTATCTGCTCGCGGCGAAGAAGCTCGGCGTGGATCCGACGAGGTGCGTCGCGTACGAGGACGCGGAGCTCGGGATGGAGAGCGCGCGGCGCGCCGGGATGGTCGTCGTGGACGTGCGCAAGCTGGCGGGGTACCCGTGCGACGATTACCTCGACGTCGAGGAGTGAAGAAGAGCGAGGTCGGCGCGGGATCGGTGAACGAGTTGGTTACGATGCGATGATAGATGGAAGAGGGGGGAGGGGGGTGCTCATGATAGCGTAGTAGCGTTGTTTTTAATTAAGGTGGGCGGGTCGACGGGTTCTCGTTTCATTCGTGTATACGTCGCGTCGCGTCGCGTCGCCGTAAATAGACGCCTCATCGTCGCGAGACCTCGCCCGTCCGTCAGACCTCCATGTTCTCGTCCGCGCCGCCTCCTCCTCCTCCTCCTCCTCCTCCCGCTTCGAACTCCTCCTGCGCTTCTCTGCAGTGCTTCTCGTACTCCAACAGACACGTCTCGTAGTTCCTTCGCATCTGGAACCCCGCGCTCGTCTGCCCGCTGAGATTTTTCCCCAGCGTCCGACAGACGTCCATCCACCGCTTGTGCCGGCACACCTCCTCGTACCCGTCCCTCTTCCTCACCTCGTTGAACACCTTCGCGAGGTCCAACGGGCCGCGACAAAACACCGGGATCTTGAGGTGACCGCCCCTGGACTCGTGGAACCGTCGGAGTTTCCCCTCGAACTCCGTCTCATCCACGGGCGGCGG